CAGCCTTTTGTGCCCAATTTGTTTTTCATTACGGTTTCATCCAACTTACAATGATTGTACAACTATCGAATCAGGCGTCCCGCGCATGTCCAAACGTCTTCCTGGTTCTGTATTTATATATCGTCTATTGAAAAATAAACAACACAAGCCGGCCGACGACGCCACGACACAGCCCAAGCGCACTCGAAATCGCCTCCTAATACTAATGCATCAAGATTCCATTCCGAACATCATACGCTGAACACTATAGGATCAAACATAAAACCATTATCGGACATTTATAGACTACTAAAAAAATACGTGAAATCGAGCAAACAGCTGGATAACGTGTTATGAAGCGCTCCGGAAAAAAATAATAGAACGTACCATTGATAGCGGAAGGGCGGTGTGCCTGCGGGCTGCGGGAATGTAAGGGCGGCGTCCCCGCCTGGGGCCGCCCTCACGGTCTGCTGGCCCCTGGGAAAGGCCGGGGGCTCCATGGGGCTCCAGTCCAGTGCTCACGGGCCGCGCGCGCCTGGCCGTGTGCGCGCGCCCACAACTGAGCGCGGTCTTTCTATAAATAATACGGAAAAATGTGATGCGTGCTCGCGGCGAATTTTGTACGTAGCGAATATTTTGCTAATGTCGTGTATGTCGTCGACGCAATATTCAGCCGATTGCAAGATGCGGTTGAAACGAAACGCCACCCGAGAAAGATCAAATCGGTCATGTCCTTATTCTGTGTCCTTGCAGACTGCATTCCATCCTAAAGCTAAAGTAAAATTAGCAAAAGTGTAATGTAAAGAAAAAGTAGTCTACTACAGAGAAACGATAGCTTTCCTTATGTCTCTATGGTTAGTCTATTTGTTCAAGCAATATGATGTCATGGATAAAGTGGTCATGAAAGCATTTTGCGTTCATGGCTACTGCCTATCCTTGGCAGCTCGTATGCTGTAGTGGTCTTTGATCATCGAACTGGCCATATATTACAGTCTTAATATAATATAAATGCGGAATTTGTGAGTAAAAATGGTAGAAACTACTGAACAGATTCTGATGTATATTTACTGTAATATAGCTTACACATCGAAATAATACATAGGCAAAAAAATTCATGTGGGTGAAACCGCAAGCACAGCTAGTCTCCTATGTAAATTGCACCATTATTTTTATTTATTATTAATTTCCTGCCTGTAATGTTTCATAATGCATACCTAGTCCATATTAGTCTAATGAATTATCGTTCATCAATTCGAAAATATAATTCATTAAAATGTATATTTGCGCATAAATTCATATGTTAAATTTAATTATGGCAAACTTCAATTTTTTAACTATACTGCCCTATGTAAATATTAAACGGAAAAGAAAAAGGGGTATAATTAAATAAACAGGTTTTTAAATGAAACACCAATTGACATTTAATGACGAAATTTTATTTCTTGTTGTCTAAAATATATTGTATTACATCGTCTTAACAACACAGAATTATTATTCATTGAATTACATTTTTGAGACGACACTTTTGTCTGTATAACTGGCTGTCCATACAGATACGCTCCATAAATAATCTCAAAAATGTAAAACAGGAACCAGACATGAATCTATCAGTTATACATCGAATGGTAACATATCATCAAAATGTAAACATGCTAACTACTACATTTAAAAGTTAATGTACGTCGTGCCACGGAGTGTTTAGTTATCTAAACTCACAAGAGATAATTCAATTCCAGCGGACAGAAAAACATTTCTTAATCACTGAAGCTACAAACTAACATGCAAATTGTTATAACATTGTTCAATACAATTTAAATTATGAGAATATTTTATTAAACCCTATATTTAAAAATATATTTTGCCAAAAAGACAACCATTATAATCTAATGCTAATTCGTAAAAGATGAGAATGACGATAGAAGAAAGACGTCACATTCTAAGTGCATATCACGTGACGTCTGAGAAACGAAACAATTTGGTAATTTCAAATCTGTTCCCACATAATGAGAAGTGTATGTAACATACTAAAATAGGTAATCAACAATAACTTATGGACTAATTAAAAGTATATTAATAAAAGTAAAATTATTTAGTTTTTATTACTCATGCTTATTTTATAGGCTTAGATTCGTTCCCAATAAAAATAACAATTAAATTATAGAACTGGTACCAATATGGATAATCCTAATTGTTTGTCTTACTAGAAGTATTGCGAGGGTTTGCTCCTCTCCCCGTTATATTAATAACTTACACCCAGTTATAGTATCTTAACTAATCTAACAAAAAGTATATAATAAAATAAAAAAATATAAAAATCAAACCATTCTCTAAAGTTTTAATCTGGCGTCGTGAGCGTCCGGTTTGGTGGACTATCAGTAGCTGGCTATAGAACAACCGTGAGTATATTTGAGATCGACTTATTAATATACAACCATATATTATTTCGTAATATTCAGACAGACATATAAGTAAATTATTTTAAAATATTAACTATAAAGAGAGCAACAGATGAGTACCTTACCAGTTCTCAACTAAAATCATCAACTGAACTGGACTGTAGGTTTAAATAAAAACTATTAATAAATGCATAAGTGACTAAAATATTCTATAATAATAAATGCTTTTAAAATTATACTTCATGAGCAAGGAAAGTTAAATAAATAACATTATAATCCTCATGTTATAGTATGTGCGGGTGACAATTAATATTATATGTATTAAAATAGAAAAAGGCCAACCAATACACAAGTTCCAACAAGACAGACAATTGAAAACAAGATTTAAAGAAATTGTGAGAAAATATCAATTACGATTTTAATAGATTGATTACAAAACTAACCAAATGTAATTTGAAGTGTCACTCACACTAATCTACAACGTGGGGAGTATAATAATAATTGTATTCAACGAATAACCATATTAAATGCACAAATAACTAAATAATAGTCACAGAGTTGTTCTGAGAACATACCAGGCCCTTGTGCTATTACTAAAATATGTAACTCAGTATAAAGTACATTCAGCGTAAAATTTTGTATATAAAGCTCTTCCTTGAATTACCTAATATTCTATAATTGTCTAGATTTATAAATGCAAAATAGTCGTACAATATTTAAAATCAGTTTTTCATATAATTGTAATATACGTTGGTTTGTGCACATTTCATTTGGCTATGTACTATGTTCTATTACACTGTACTCATAAAGATGAACTCTTGTAATCTTCCAGAGGTTTTACAGTAGTTTTAAAGCGTGGAGCCAAAGTGTAAGAATTTGACTACTATGTCACAGTAACATTACAGATAAATGTAAACTTATTCCAAAAAATGTTATTTTGACAAGGTATAAAGTCTTTTCACATATTTTGTATCAAAATTAGTTTATAAATTTTCAATGAAATTAATTACTGTGCACAAACACTATTATACATTTGATTTGGTCACATTAACACTTGTTAGTGTTTACTAACGTAATATTTCTGCGCATCGTAAGGAATAACAATTCGTAAGTCAGTCGTACAATAAGCTCTTGATTTGTCTAAATTATATTTGAAATATGTTTTGTATATGTATAAAAAATACATAATTCGTCTTGAGGTTAACGCGTTATTACGTGAGTAAAATTAACAAGTACAAAGACGATAGGTAATTATTTAAACTTGTGTATATAATAGAGTACCAATAGAGGTTGGGATTCATAAAAAAAATCATTTTTGAGAGGATAGTCGGGTAGGGCCCTGACTATTTAAAGCAGTCTTTAAATCAGTCTAAATACAGTTAATAAGAATAGAGAGACTAAATATAATTGATATAAAAATTATATATCACTATAATATAAAATATAGACTGCGAAATAACTTATTTTTCATGTAAAATTTGGTGATAAAGTCTTTTGAATTCATACAACATTGTTACTAAATATAATATACTTTATATATTTTTATTTCTCATCAATATTATTGAACGTGTTTATAAATTTCTTTTTGAAGGTCTCAATCATGTGTATTAGAACACATTAGTAATTATTACGTGAAAAACAGGTATGGTATATTTGTCTAATGATTAATATACACAATACTTTTGTGTTATTAACTCGTAAAATTGTCAACAATAAAAACGAAATACTTAAAAACTGCCATTATTTTTACTAAAACATAAATTTTACTTTTGGTAGGTTGTAGTCGTATTATGAAAAAAATTACTTAAAAACTAACGTAATATAGAAATATGTTAATTGACAAGTCGACAGCAATTTAATGAGATGATATATTAATTAAATTTTCAAGAATTCATACATTGAGAAAAGGTAATTATTTATTATCTCTTCAAAAAGGGTGTTTGTAAATAGATATTGTAATAAAAAGAGAGAAAAGAATAGATATCAACACCAGATTGGTGTTTAGAGGTAGACTTCACGAGAAATAAAATCTAAAAACACAATTCCATATGTATTTAGATTATTCTGGTAGAGAATTTTGATTATGTCAGAAAAATAATAAGTGTAAAATATATATGATAGAACAGTAATAGAATATGGGGAATAGGGATGGCAGACCGCATTAGTTAAAAAAAAATACAAATTAAATAAAAGAAAGTGTCAGTGTATAATTAGATAGTACAATGATTCAGGTGTAATCAGAGAAATGAATAATGTCACCTCATATGAACCACAATACAATTAATTTCATATACCCAGCCAAGTTATATGAAAGTAATCATATTATAATAAAAATCATATACAGCGAGCATTTTAACCCCTCAGACTGATTTATTTATTATTAGTATGATTGATTTTGTTTCTGTTTAAGTTTTAAATGCAATTAATAAGAATGATAATCGACAGAAAAATTGCAAAAAAATTAAATAAAGAGATATCTTAAAAGTCTAATCTCATACATTCGAAAATCTTATCTAAATGTATAAGAATATAATATCTGTATAAGAATATCATATCTATATAATCTAAACACATCGACGTGCTATTTGTAGAAAATTTACAAGTTAGAATTGAATTTTGTTAGTGTATCAGTTTCAGCACCAACTTGTATTTAGTACAAAAACTCTTTGGTTTGGTCTGAGTAGCCTCGATTTAGTATATGTAGTTGTTATTGGATAGCATAAAATCTCATTTCGTATTAAAATGAAATGTAAACTGTATGTCTCATAAACAGAATATATGTTGTATAACAATTGCTTCTAACTGGGCTCATTGTAAAAAATGTTGTTTGATCAACATATTTAGAAAAATTTCTTTCCGAATGATTGATTGATGACTGTAGATCACATGTTGCGGTACTGAACAGCACTGGTTGTCACGTGTTAGCATTTAATCTATCACATAGGTGAACAGTGTTTTATATACGCCCTAAATTTTTGGTAAACTTTATAGAAAAGTCGTGAAAAACTTAAACGATTATTTGTCGTTAACAAAGTATGGCTAAAAATATATAATCTTAGGTATAATAACAAAATGATCCCTTAAATATATAATGTAATAAAAAGTATTTATCTAAATTATATTCTTACAATGTATAAATGAAATTAGCAGACTATAGAAAATGCCAAAATACCAAATAGCTTACAGTTAATGAAAACGCTGATGCGGAAACCGCACTCAACGCTGGGTGTAAGTGGCTTTAAAAATGGCTCATTGGAATTCTACATGTCTGTTAATAGTTTAAAAGCCTCTTGATGGCAAATTCAATATATTACTTATATACCCTTAGCATATAAAGGTATATAAGTAACGGTTCGCTACTTATACATAAATCAGAAAATACATATAATTTACTACAGTAAACGGACAGTTAAGGTGAAAGATAATTTTGTGCAGTAAATACCGATGACATTCAGATGGCGCTATGAAGTATATAATAAAATTCTCTCAAACTACAAGCCCCTCTATTTTGCCCAAGCCTATAACACTTGGTCACAAATATTTTGTTTCACTACGAAAAGATGACGCTAAATTGAAACTTCAGGTGTTTCGATTTTGCTGTGTACTGTAATACGGATTTATTTTGAGGAATAGCGCCATCTACATTTTTCAACTATAAAGGCTAAGTATGTAAAACGTGGCTATTACAACAAATTCTTTTCGACATTCTAATATTTCGTAGTAGAGGTTTTTATTTTAAAACTTTAGCACAAATGTAATTTAATTAGTCTATATATTATTTAAAGTATATTTACCGTAATAACAACATCCACATGAACCATATTCATAAAATTTTCTATTTCGACTATTTCTACTTGTTTTGATCCAAATTAAAAAGAGATAAAACCACTCCAATTGCTAAGACAGATTTGAAGTTTACAATACAGTAAATAAGTTTGCGTTAATAATGACACCATTAGAATATAATTAGACTGCAACAGCCTGCTCGGCGCATTTGTCGTTGACAATGGCCTGGCAGACGCCAGTACTCATGTTCCCGTTGACGTCATCCATAACCGCGGTGGAGGCCAGCTCGGTGACAGTGGCCGCCCTGTTCGTGTCGTCGCGGATCTTCACGTACGTGTGCCTGGGAACGCACTCTGACGACGACGATGAGAAACTCCTACGACGGTTGTTCAGCGCACTCCTCGGGATTAGCCTGTTGAAAGCTTCTTCGCGTCTGTAAAAAAATATAACGTATTTTCTTCCGCATGACAAAAGCGGTGATACCACACCTTAAACTATTTCCGTATTTATTGATATGAATGGATTTTGTAAACTATTACCGCGATGACAAGCCTTGGTACAGGTTTTTTCGAATATCTTTCTCTTGCGTGGATATATTGTATCGTGCTCTTATAAACTATGTCATATTGTATTCTTAAAAAAGGAAAATATTATTGTGAAATATCTTTAAAAATGACTAGGATTCTAGAGAGTGAAAACCTAGAAGCCGAATACCAAATTGATAAATCGAATATCCTTAGTCTGTTTAACATATAAGTGAAAATATAATAATAAAATTGACCAACATAGTAAGAGAGTTATAAATGAACTTCATTTATATATATTTAATCCACTTCATCAGTAAAAATTAGGACTCAGGAGTTTATCTATATGAACGACTTACTTATCGCATTTATCATAACCATAAGAATTTATAAATGCTTAAAATAAAGTTATGCTCCAAATTGTAGTTTTATAGACTTAGTAGATTCAGACTAAAGATTTCATAAATACCGATTAGAAAAAATTTTTATCACTTACTTAGCTATATCCTCCTCTCGCTGCTCAAGAAGCAGTCGAACTGCGCAGCTCTCCATGTATATTTTCTGAGCATCTCGCTCTAAAATCCTGTTTATCATTTTCTGCCTTTTAAAGCTTTTTGGTGGTTTCGGCAGTTCATAACGAGGTTGATTTATAGCTAACCTGAAGTGACAAATTAGATGCACGTTATAAATCCGATCCACAACATTTTTTTTTGTTAAATCTATAATTTGGCCGCCATATCTTCACTCTTTTGATACACCACAAAACCGTAAACCGTAATTTAAGAAGGTTTATTCAGAAGTATTTTTAAAATAATGTTATCAGCCCTTTTTTAATATTGTTCAGCTATTCAAGATTAATTTTAAAATCAATATGGCTGGAAAACCATCTCCCCCAAAAACAGAATTCGTAGTACAATCACTGGGAAGTGCTTAGTGATTGTACTACGAATTCTCGATTCATCAAATGACCTCTAGTGCCTGCGTTAATCTGGCAACTTAATAAAACTAATCAGTATGTTATGAGTTTATATGTTATACGTAAAGAATGAAAATTGTCATTACATAACTATTATAGAATAAAAACACTGTCACAGCTACATAACAGTAAGTCATCTATATATGAACATCACCACGTCCTTTTCACCAGAATATTTCCAGCTAAAAATACCTACATACATGTGACGCCCGTGGATTCACACGTTCATGCGTTGCTATTCCGGGGCACAAAGTCTTGCCTACTATATTCTACTATATAATTTCACTGCCTTAACTCGCCCTTTAACCGAAACACAAAGCAATGCTTGCCTCTTGTAATAGATGGGAGATCTACCTACGCAGAGTACTTCATACAAAGTACTTCATCTAGTAGAAATATAGATAAACTCTTTATAAAATAAATTGTACAAATTAAATAAAAATGGGAGAGAGGCTTTATGTGTCGGAAATATGAAGAGGCAAATAGAAATGCTGCAAATAAATCTGCAGCGCTGACATTCTTTTGGCTTCTATAATTGAATATACATACATATAAATATGTATACTATATTTGTGTGTTTATAACTACATAAATAACTTCGGTATAATGTATTTAAATACGTACCAGCCGTTTCTCTTATGCTCCTCCACTTCTTCCATCCAGCTGTTCTGCAGCATGCTGAACCGATCGTCGGGCGTTTCGCCCAATTCGCGCAATGCGATCGGCAGCGTCTCTACTATATTGTCGAACGTCGGTCTGTCCATCACATTAATATTATTACAGTAATCAAAGGCACATTTCGACCACAAAAAGGTATAATAAATACATATATGGGTAATAAATAAACATTTTTGGCACGGTTATCAAATTTTTATTTGTACGAATTCTTTAATACCAAATATTCAATTTTGTACCTACTATTCATGAATTACAATTATTACGAAATGCCACCGCGCTGCTTTACATACGTAACTCACATAAGTCAATTTGCGGTAAAAATACAGTAATATTTTTTTATGTAATTTAAATAGAAAACAACATTTAACTATTTTTTTATGCAAATTAAATTCGAAACCGAGTTATTGGTCGACCTATTGATAAGTGGTAATCCTCGCCTATATACACGAATAGCAATATGGAAATCACATAAGCATGTAACATCAATTACACTACCTACTCCTTGCCATACCAGAGAACTCTGATGTCATGCCTCTTATCCTGTAATTAGTTATATTCCCTCCGGGCGCGTAAAGTCGTAAACCCTTTGCGTAAAGTGGGTAAGCATACAGGGTGGGTCACCTTTATAACTGTATGTATATATTTATTATCTGTATCTTGAGATATACTAAAATCCTCAAATGTCGCCGATATGTGACGAACACTGTCTGTTTTTCTGTTTAACTGCTTGTATGTTAAGGTTTCATGTCAGAAACAGCTGGAGTAAATGACATTTAATAACAATAAAGGTTAAAAACAAAATAGAACATTAAAGAAAACATGATACTCAATTTTAATAAATTATATATTATTGTTAATTAGTTTATTAATAAAATAATAGACTGTTTTATATAGATTATTTATTTATTTTTCTCTTTTGTTCATCAAACACTAGCTGACCAGCGCAACTTCGTTTGCGTCACAATTCCTCTATTGTTACATTTTTCATTGCAGTTCCGCTCCTGGAGCTTGTTGCATAATGTTATATAGCTTATAACATCATGCTATGAGCTATAAACCTACCTTCATAAATGTCAATTTTTCGAACATTATCGAACACTAATATGGTTTACAAAATCGATTCAGTACATCCATAATACAAGCTCACGACCTCATAAACTTTACCTATTTAATATATTGGTTTAATATCGACAGTATCTAATAATGTTAAACGAAATCAAGACTAGGACGAAGTCATGGACACTACTTAATAGATAAATGAATATAAAGTGGAGGAAGGGATTGTCAGTAACGGGGAATAGTAACTGCATTGCTACCATGTTAGGTCGACCTCCACACGGTCCAGCTGGAAACCATCGTGATTAATTCCTGGCGAATTTATATCGAAGGTTAACTGTCCTGAAATTCATGCTCATCCAGCTTCATTCATGCTCATGTTGCCCCGCCAGCGTATACCGTTAGCGTAGGAGTGTATTACCACTCCATAATCATATATAAAAAAAATGTATAATAATAAAACGTACCTGTCGCGCGGGTTCCTGTACCAGCAATGAGTGATAAGCAGCCGGAGTTGTTCAGGGAACGTGGACGGCAGCGCGAGTGACAATTTTTCGCTACCCACACCAAATGTCACCGCACACGTCGACAAGCCGTCATATGGCACCTTCTGTAAACGTATCAACGTAGATTTGAATTGAAGAAGAAGAGAGAAGAAGAAGAAGAAATTGTTTATGTGTACAAATTGCTCATACGCCCTGTACGCATAGTACACATAAACTGATACAGATTATAAAATAAAACAAGATTAGCAGCTCTAATAGTCAAGAAATGTTACTAAAATCATATTATCAGACTTAAACGAAATAAAAGTCATACAAGTAGATAAAGAACATGAATTCACACTTGTATAATTTAAAAGTATTGAAACAACGCAAGCTTAATATAATTAACAGTTGACATCAATTCATTAACATTGCAACGATTTTATAAAAAAAAGTAGCTGTAGTCGACAGTCGTTGCAATGCTACAAAAAATATTAAAGTGCTTAATTACATAATGTTAAAGATGTCATATAAATAGATAAAGAATATAGATTCAAAATGGATGTATGTAATATTAAAAAATAAAGAAACAACGCAAGCTAATACGTATAATTAAATTTTGACATCAAATCTTTAACATTACATGCATTTTATAAAAAAAAGTAGCTGAAGTCCACACGGATTATAATGCTACGAAAAAGAATAGAGTGCTTAATTGCATAATTTAAAAAAAGTCATAAATACATAGATACAGGACATGCAACCTTGATATACGTAAAAATTTAAAGTAATGTAACAACGCAAGCCTGATAGAATTAACAGTAGATATCAATTCATTAACATTGCATCGATTTTATTAAAAAGATGTAGCTGTAGTCGACATCAATTGTAATGCTACAAAAAATAATAGAGTGCTTAATAGCATAATGTTAAAGAAGTCATATAAATAGATAAAGGACATGCATTCATAACTGATATATTATTTAAAATTTTAAAATAATGAAACAACGCCAGCTAGTATACTTAACAGTTGACGTTATGTCATTAACATTGCATCTATATAAAATAATAGAGTGCTTAATTGCGCAATGTTAAGGATGTCATGTATATATATAGAGAACATGCATATATGTATTGATTGTAAAATTTAACAGTAATGTAGCAACGCAAGCTTAATATAATTAAGTGTTGACGTCAATTCATTAACATTGCATCCATTTAATAAGCAGCTGGAGTCGATACGCATTGTAATGCTACAAAAAATAATACTGCTTAATTGCATAGTGTTAAGAAGTCATATAAATAGATAAAGGACATGCAATCTTGATGTATGTAAAATTTAACAGTAATGAAACAACGCGAGCCTGATTTAATTAACAATTGCCACTATATCATTAACATTGCATCTATTTTGTAGAAAAAAAAAATAGCTGTAGTCCATACGCTTGGTAATCCTACAAAAAATAAGAGTGCTTAGTTGCATAATGTTGAAGGGGTTATACAAATATATAAAGAACATGCAAACTTGATATATATAAAATTTAAAAGTAATGAAACAACGCAAGCTGCTATAATTAAGTGTTGACATATATTCATTAACATTGCATCTATTTTATAGAAAAAAAAAGTAGCTGTAATCGACAGGAATTGTAATGCTACAAACAATAATAGAGTGCTTATTTGCATATTGTTAAAGAAGTCATATAAATAGATAAAGGACGTGCAATCTTGATGTATGTAAAATTTAAGAGTAATGAAAGAACGCAAGCTTGATACAAAACAATTGACACTATATCATTAACATTGCATCTATTTTATAGAAAAAAAGGACAAAGGAGTCGACACGAATTGCTTGCGAATGCTACAGAAAATAATAAAGTGCTTAATTGCATAATGTTAAAGAAAAGTCATAGAAGTGGATAAAGGACATGCAAATTTGATATATGTAAAATTTAAAAGTAATGAAACAACGCAAGCTTTATATAATTAAACGTTGACATCCATTCATTAACATTGCATCACATATTAAAAAGATGTAGCTATAGTCGACGCCGTTGCAATGCCAAAATAGTGCTTAGTTGCATAATGTTGAAATTGCTTTTTAATTATTTCTTTGTTCAAAGTAACTCACGCCAGCAAAAGGTGACATACCAAAAATATTTTCTATTTTATTTATGTAGAATTTGGTCAGAAATCACAAGTCACAATCTGATCAATGTTTAGAGGACAAACATACAGACATATTTTTATTTATACAAAAGATGTATTCTAAGGCGCTCAGCTTTGACTGTATCATTTCTAAAGAAATAAACTAACAGTTTTATTATAATATTCATTCTATTATAACATCTACTAATATTCACCAACACACACCTTTTTCTGTCATCTCTTTACTTTCCAAATTCCATATATATATATACATACATTTGTCGTAACAAGTACATACAAGATCATATAAATAACGTAGCATACAAGATCTCAAAAATGTTTCGTTCAAATAATTCCCATTTATTGCAACGCTGTCGCCATTACTTACATTTCTTGAACTATTCTTCTTCGCAGTTTGATATTATTCACGGTCGTTTCAATAATATAAAAATTATAAATACATAATCAATAACGCAGTAAAACAAGACAAAACAAAAGAAATAATGGGGTCAGCCATCCATTAGCATATTTATACTTTACTGCCTTGGTGGTTTAACAGATTAGCACACTGGCTTACTTCCAATGGTCACAGGTTCGATTCCTTGCGGGCTACAAATATTTGTATGTTTCTCGTATTGTTTATATTGCACTTGGTGTTTTCTTTTATATATATATATATATTTTGTAAGTATTTATAGAAAAAGTCCAGTAGTACAAGCTCTGCTTAGGTTAGGACGCAAGGCAATGTGATTTGCCCAATACAAATTATTACCATATAGTTATTATAAATGCAAAATTGTGTACTAAATAGCTATACACATATTAATATAATTTGACATGAAGATAGGTTCTTTCACGAGGACCGACATAGGCTATATCTAAAAAAAAGCAGGCGAAGTCTGTACTGTAGGTATTATATAATAGCAAATGCAGTAATTAAACTAAACAATACTCCTATCTATATGTTAATCATTCATACTAAAAAACGTTTGGGTGTACTAAAATTTAACCCATTACAATAAAAATTTATAGACTAGTAATTGTAGGATATATACGCACAGCTAGATATCTATCATATGATACATTGTGTAAAACCTTCGGTTCTATAATAGAAATGCACGCGAGCTAGATAAATATCGTAAATAATAAATTATCAGATGCCATACCTACAAACAGCGACGCTCGACATTTTCTTTAATTGCAACGTGAGCCATAAATGGCGCGATCGATTCAGAATCAGGGCATTTTAAAATATGCACGTGCAGACTTTTGTTGCAATCGATTGAGTTCAAATAACCGAGTCAAATATATGAAATAGTTGATTCGACAACATTTGCCCTTGTGCAAGTCATAATAGTTTTAAAAAAAGACTGTTGCTAAGTACATATCAAACATACCTAATATGTCTTACGCCTTCCTTTATTATACATATGAAATTCTAGTGTAATTTTTAATGTAGAATAAAAAGAAATATATTACCAGCACCACCTCTCAAAACAAATTTGCATGTTTATATTATTTTTTCGTAACAAACTGTGTGAAAACGTCATACAATAAATTTAAAAATACTAATACTAGTCGCATTTTTGTAATAATGTTGTAATATTGTTAGTTAATCCTAATAAATGGAAACAAATTTTATTCAGTTTCTCTGCAAATTATTGTTACTATTTATTAAATAACTATTTCGCCATAAAAAATACTGACAAATTAGTATCTACACTAAGTCCGGTAGTAAGTACCATACTTTATAATTTATGTATTTTCCAAACAATGCAGTATAAAACAATTGCATAAAAAATTTCTGTTATGCTATTTTGATTCAATCACAGAATCCTGTTGTTCTGTTTTTCGAATAGTAAAAAAATGCTAATGGATGCTAGGCATATTATTCACAGTCGATTCATTCCATAAACAAAAACAGACAGGGTTAAAATATAAAACTAGCTATTTTTTAAATAATAGAATAAATAAAGGTTACTTAAATTGGTTTAATTAGTATTTAATATAATTTATTTTATTGTCCGACCTAAAAAAACAATTTTGTGCGGGGAAAAAGATCAATAAAATAGACTGTTATTTATTTCTAGATACATATCAAACATAGTCATAACAATTTTTATCAGCAAACAAGCACAGTACAATAAATGCAGAGGCAATCATAATTTTAAATTGATTGGTACTAATAATCATAAACGATGTATCGAAGTCTACAAAATAGATTTTTTGTAGTGTACCTAAAAATATCATTATTTAGTTATTGTATTTCCAATGTTCGGAATTGCTTTTTATCAGTCAATTTAGTTGTTAAGTTAACATGTTAAACTAGCTGACCCTGCGACTTTGTACTAATGATATGTATATATATGTCCTGTATTTATATATATATATATATATATATATATATATATATATATATATATATATATATATATATATATATATATATATATATAATGTAACTTTTAAGTATGTAAACCGACAGAAATAAAATAAAAACTAAATAAGTAATGTGAATCTTATCACAACACATTAATAAAAACCGCAATGAAATCAGTATCAGCCGTTTCTGAGATTATCGCGCACAAATACACAGAGATATAAACATTGTTTTTGTTTCTTTATATTGTTAGTCTCTCAATATATTTTTTTCTATTTTTATGTACAGACAGCAACCAGATATATTTTTTATAATACTATCCCTAAAATATACCATTCTCATGTCAGTCTTAGTTGCATACTTCTCCGAAACTGCTTGTCCGATTTTGATGAATTTTATATGTACATTCGGTAGGTGAGAAAATAGGTTGTTATGTATTTTTTATACACCTAAGTGATAAAGGTGGCACGGCCCACAAAGAACTTCTTTATATTTTGTCAAAAAAATATATTTTATTTTTATGAAATGGCATTAAAAATACATACAACCCTAAATTCTCACCCTTCTACCGCCAAATTCCTCAAGATGAATTATTTATTAATTATACCTAGATAAGTCTAGATAGTTGCATATTACTAACCTGAGTCAGCAGCTCCCACAGCACGACGCCGTAGGACCACACATCGATGCGGTCCGAAGCCCGTTTCCTGAGTATGAGCTCAGGAGCCATCCAGCTGATGGTTCCCGTGTAAGTCATTACCACACTGGAGTCGTTCCACATACGGGACAGTCCGAAGTCCGTCACCTTGGCCACTAACTCATCCGCTATGAGGACGCTACAAATCGGAATATTTTATAAGACTATTTATCGTATAAAACAGACCGAAAAAAGATGGATGGACTGTGTGCAAGACGGTATTAAATAATGAGATGACTGCGAATAGGGTTGAATTAAGAGAATGGAAGAGTCCAGGTGTTGAACACAATGCAGTCGATGCTTTAGAAAATCTACCTCTGTTAAATAATAGTAACATAATAATTTCATTGTACGTTGTCCATTGCTGTATTTAGGGCAAAGGCGGCTACAAGGAACAGCCTTGCTCTAGTTTTATTAAATGATACCCTGCAACTGCAACTATCACTTTATACATTGCCGTCCTTTTAAAATCTTTAATAGAGAATCGAGTGCCAATTATGTATTGGAAAAATTGTTGGGTTGGCTTACCGATACTTGGAGCTATAAATGGAATGTAGGTCTATTACAAATACTTAAATAAATCAATAAAAGAAAAAGCGAGGAGTACTTGTAAAAAGCTAGATTGCTTTAGAATTCATGTTTAAATTACAACTAAGTTTTAATGCGATTATATTGGCAGTTAAAATTGAAATTAAAAAATCTATTATTCATGTAGGACATTTTAGGCGCTTATGAAAGTCAATTAAGTATCATTATATTCTCTACGATCCAGTTAAGTCTATAGAATTGAGAAGTTTCTACAATTGAGAAGAACTGGCATGTAACTCGACTGAATTTCTTTATTTATTTTAACAACTTTTACTTAATTAGGTGTCTATGTCATGTGTGTTCGTTAAATTAAAATCCCGTGCATGAACAACTATTGCCATGCACGTTTGCATTTAACTCATGTTGTTCAGATTACCTAAGAAAATTACATTAACCACTCCAGAGGCATTACTATCAGCAGAAATAAACATAATATACACAGATTAATTAAATTGCACTTACTTGGGACTCTTGAGGTCACGGTGGATGATCTTTTGCTTATGCAAGTATTGCATAGCGGAGGCGATCTCGATAGCCCACTTGACCACTTTGGTGGTGACGATGCGGGAGCCGCCATGTATGTAGCTGAATAGAGAGCCATACTGGCAGAACTCCATCACGATGCCGTGCCTTGTAGGCTCCGTGCACACACCACGGAAACGCACTACAATTAACACATAATATATTCAATTTGAAGCCGTAAATATGTATCTCATTCTCATAAACCCCTTCCGGGTTTAACCTATTTATATACTATATATATGTATATGCGTAATTATTATATAGCCTATGAGAAATCAACTTAAACTTACCAATATTATTATGCTTTATTTCCCGCAGATACTTCATATCAAGCTCCTTCTTGTCGTTGACCATCTTGAACGCCACAATCTCCCCATTGTACCAGGCGGAGTACACATTACCATATGCCCCCGCGCCTATGTACTCACGGAGAACGAGGTTTTCATACGAAATCTCCCACACGTCTTCTGTAACAACTATTAATATTTGAAATTAACGATAGATCTTGTTACATTTTGAGAACAAATTTACTTCAGTTGAAGTAAGAAATCCATACAAACATATTCGTAATTCAAAATTCCATATGAAAAAAGAGTGTCTGTCTGCCTGCTACCTTTGAACCTGCCAGCGACGGCTAAACGAACCCTTTTATTTGAGCCTAGCTGTACTCGCGACTTCGTCCTCGTGAAAATTAACTTTATTTTTCTAAAATAAAAGTAGCCTAAGTTACCCCTTATTACTAACTACCTGCCAAAAACGGTCCCTTCAAAATCGGTCCAGCCATTGCAGAGATGAGCCGGAACAATCAGACAGACAAAAATGATAAAAAATGTTATTTTGGTGTATGGTACCGTATTTATATGCATATAGTAAAAAATGGTTATCACAATATAACAAACAGACACTCCAATTTTATTTATATGTATAGATGTATTAACTCAGAAAAGTAAAATAAAGTAAAAAGTCGCGATTACTCTTACGCGACTATTTTTGCCTTTTTGTGTTTATCTTTTGATACGAGTATGATTGTTTGTATCGGTCTGGGTGTTTTCTATGTATAATATGTATGTATTTACAAAAAAAATCTATGTATATGTATCAGTTATCTAGTACCCATAATACAAGTTTTAGCTAACTTAACTTGGGTCTAGATGGCGCTGTGTGAATTGTCCTGAGATTATTATTATTATTATTATTATTATAAATGCGAAAGTGTATCTGTATGTATGCCTGTTTATTACCTTTTGACATTAACGGCTGAAATGTTCTTAATGAAATTTCAAATAAAGATTGTCGATATTTAAACAGGATGACATTACAGAAATTTCTATGTAAATTAATTTACACCAATTTTCTTACATTCTAAACTAATCTTTTGGAACTAAATCTTAATTAATATAAAAAAATTGACTTGGTTTAATAAAAAACAATACTAAAAATAGACGAAGTCAAGAACTATAAAGTTATATATTTTTTTTTTAAATAAGTACTTTGTAATTAGTATTATTATATATAAAGCATATAAACCTATTTTGTATATAGCATTTGGAATGCATAAATATTGCATTTTCTATTTCAATACATTTCGTAAACTATTTTGCACATCTGTGCTTAAAATTCAGGCCATGCTAAAAATGTGTGTCCATTAATACTTCCTGCCGACTCTCCGGTAACGGAAACTTCCGGAGTAACTTGGTTTGTTATACTAAAATAAATGGCGAAAACGGCAAGCTCGCCCCCACGTTAGATTCAAATATATCCAGCGAAATGTGAGCACTTCAAATGTTGCCACCACGAAGTTGTTAGTTTACAATTCCTCACCCCACCTCCCCTACTTTCCTAAACATCTGCATCGTATAAATAAAATTATCGCCATTTTTGACTCGGAAAATTTAATATTCTGCCTACCCTTTGATACACAGATACGTCCTACACCATGTTACATTTGTCTACACTAATCATTTGAATACGCTTGTATTCAAATACTATGTATAAAGTCAACATCGTATTATTCAGTTCTTGCTGTCGGATCGATAACTAATCTACGTGTAATACGGAAATGCCGCGGGAAAACCCCAGCTTACGGTACATAACAAATGTCAAAAGTACTAACCAAAATATCCTATACTAACTGTTACCAGCGACTCCATTCGATTTTATGAGATAAAAGATACTCAATATCATCTTCGTGATAGATCTATCTTTACTTATGTACTTTACATTAAATTTCATTAATATGATCACTAATTCAGTCCTGATAATTAACAATTTCGCATTTATAATATTAGTATGGATATACTAATTAATCAACGCGACAACAGTGATCCTAGCTAGCCTAGATTTAATTAGATTAATTTAATTATAACAATCACTGGCAAGTCTTTCATTTAACTTGCCATGTTCAAATTTAATCTTACTTAAAGTAGTTTCTACAATCTCTGGATATTCTATTGGACTTACTATGTTTAACTTTAATTTATCTTACAGTAGCTATGAAGAAGTTCCCGTTAATGTGAATTGTTCTTATACTGCACTAGAGAAGTGTCTCGGCATGGCAAGAGTGCAATATATTATTTTGTAGCATCCCTTTATAAACATAAAAATAAAGTAAGAAAGTGTCTCGCTTTTACTACTACACGGCTGAAATAGATCTTAATAAAATTTGACATGAAGATAGTGTTATGAGAATTTACGTAGGTAACTAGCTACTTAATAAAGTAAATAATAAAATCTACTTTTATAACACTAGGTCCAACAAAGATCCGTGGGGTAAAGGGGAGTGAGTAATGTGGACTAATTATTCCATTGCTAGCAATGTACTATGTCATATTGACCTCCACGCGGTTCCCCCTGAAATCCATCGTGGTAAGTTGTTGATGGCTAACTGACCTGACCTCATAGTAATTTTATCATCCTCCACGGGTACTCCGCCAGCGTAAACCGTTAGCTCAGGTGGGTGCCCCATACCATTATGATCAATAAAAAAAAAAACAAAGACCCGTGACAATTGAGGAAATGGTCCAACGCAGCACTAGAACTCATTGCTAATTGCTTACCATCAAGCACCCGGTCTACTCTGGAAACTAGACCCGATACATTGTCTTAGCATTGTGTCGTATCTCATTTATTGTACTCTTGAATTAATCTCTAGGGATCATTAATGGAAAGTTGAGACACTATTACAATGTTTGACAGGGTTTGTGACATGACATTTCAAATCGTATATATCTAAGAATTAAATAAATAACCCCGGACAATTAACACAACGCCATCTAGTCACACGGTAAGCAGAGCTCGTGTTATGAGTACTAGATAACTGATATAATATACATAGAAAACATCCAAACCGATGCAAACAATCATACTCATGAATACAAATGTTTGTGTCGTGCGACGAAACGAACCCGCGACCATCGGTAATAAAGCGTTGTTCTGAACCACTAGACCACCGAAGCCATCAATTGGACTTACAAATCTAAACTATTATTGAAAAGCCTAAAAAATACCTAATATCCAGTAAAAGTCCAAAATATGTGAGTTCACACTAGAGGGAGTCTCACAAATGTGGGCAATTGTGACCAGAATGGGTGGTTTCAATGTAAAAACCAAACTAACATTGTTATACATTTATTGTGTTTAGTCTTCATTACATTTCGAAAGAACAATACAATCCAAGCAAACATGGATTATAAAAAAATCGATATCGAGATTAAACTCTTAAACTTAGGCATGCTATGAGCGAATGGAACTTTCAGAACAAAAGCTGTAGCTAGAAGTAGTATGTAGGCGTCGACTAAAAATAACAGCTATTATTTATTCTTCGTAAATGTAATTGGACAACTAAAGTACTCTTCACCATTGTATATCACGTTTGTTAATTCCACTAAATATAAATTGCATGACATACGGGAAGTATAAGGATTTACTTCATTAAAATCTCGAATTTAAACTTGCAAAAAAATAATTCAATGTATGCATTAATTATAAAACGCCCAATATTCAAATGTCGAGGATCCAATTTCACACCACGCTACTTTTATTGAGATATTTCGCAATAAAATTAACAATAAGTAATACGAGTTTTGAAATTAATGAATGCTGATCATACATAATTAAAATTGGGGTCAAATAATGTCCGATTGCATCAAAAATGCAACTTAAAACCCACTCTTTTATTTGAAAAATTAATATTGATTTAGTTATATTGTTTAGCCAGCCTCGGTGGTCTAGTGGTTTAGCACACCGCTTTACTATCCGATGGTCGTGAGTTCGATTCCTCGCACGGTACAAACATTTGTAATCATGAGTATGATTGTTTGTATCGGTCTGGGTGTTTTCTATGTATAATATGTATTTATTTACAAAAATGTATCCATGTATTTATATCAGTTGTCTAGTACCTATAACACAAGCTCTGCTTAGGTTGGGACTAGATGGCGTGAATTGTCCTGAGATATCTTTTTCTTTATTGTTATTTTTATTATTATTATTAATCTTTCTTGTAATTTACATAGGTATATTGCTAATATATGCATAAAAATGACCCTTTATTAAATCTTATGTGCAGTTATGAATTAGGATGTTATCCGCTTCCATGTTCGATTTAAATCTAAATAGTCTAAGGCAGATTAAAAGATATTGTAGTTTATGATATTATGCCAACATCCTGTATGTATATAATATTACGTAATATTATATAAGTGAAATAAATTTAAATCCTATTGTGAAATAAATTCTATTTAGCAACAGCCCAGCTTCGTTAATATAATGATATAAGCCCGGGAACGTGCACCGAGGTGACCTTGAACTCCGCCTGCGCAGCAACAGCCCGGGCCACCCCAGCTACGTAGAGCCACCCACTACGAGTGCACTTGCACTTGCATCCACCCTATAGCTAATATGACCGTGAATTGAGCTTTGAACGACGTAGTCCCTTTTACGAGACTTCTTTGTCCCCAGGCAGAGCAAAATACTTCCGTTTTTTTTGTTAATATAATAAACATTAATTATAAATAAAAGTTTTGATCGAGGTAGACTTGCTGGAAATTCTTATTCTAATTATATAAATCTTTGTAAAAAATTGGCATAAAGATCATGTAATTACGATTAAAAGTACTGTAGATATTGCTTATCTTAGTCTCGCATATTTCTATTGCCAAGCAGCTTGCTTTCTAAGCTGTGTTTTGGTTAAAGGGTTGAGATTAGGCAGTAATTTAAACGGTAAGATCACTACATCTTAATTTTCTGTCATGGCAACGCATGAGTGGTATCTCGGACGTCATATGATCAAGTGATGTTTATGGTGATATTCTCGTATATACCTATAGGCAACGGTTACCACTTACCATCAGGTGCCATTGTTTGCTATTCCAATTACTCAAAAAACGTATACGAGGATCCCAACATTTTAATAAAAATAACATGGAAGAACAATACAAATAAGGTACGTTAATATATTGTTCTCTGTATTTTTATTCCATATATACGTCCCAATATGACAAAAAAAACATCACCGTGGCTATGAATACCATTTCCAATTTCCAGTGATAGATACAAGCTTAAAAAAATCCGTTCTGTTTTTCTTCAAACCTTTATTTCAAACACCGTAAAATTACATTGTCTCTTGTCGTTAATAAATAAATAAATCTAACAATTGTTTATTACGCTGAATGGACTTATTCTTTAACCGAAATTCAATAAAAGCCTTTTAATATAAAATATAAAAAATGTTGGCGAATAAAGTAATAAATGGATAGTAAATATATTTATAATTCAATCGTGTTTCTCCCTAGACAATTAATTGTTTCATTACTTGTCCTCCAAGATTGCTCCCGCGCCCTCTAAGCTAGTTCATAATTTTAAATCAAAGATCGCCGGAACAGAATGCCAAACATCAATTCCTCTATTACGATGTTATGTAATGCATGCATTCACATTGATGTATTGCGTCGCATCTACCGGTCGACACGTGTAGGTGGGTGGTCTGGGTACATATGAACCCGCTGTAAAATCAATTTCATTTAATACTGGGGGAGCTTGCAGCGGGTGCAACCTTGAACTCTCCCAGGCGCTGCGTTACCCTGCTACCCGTGCATCGCAAACCACCCGGCGCCCGTTTCCATGGAGCTCTGCTCTAGGACGCGCCCCTGAACTCCCTACCCACCCCCTATATAATCCTCTCCGACGGACGCACTCCCACACCTTCACCCTTTTACATTTGTAATATGGAATTTATAGAAGTTCACCGACGATATAAAGGAAGTCCTCGATACGCCTGCATTATACATTAATAATAATAATAGACGTAGAAATTTTTGTGTTTCGTTTAAGAAATCTTCATCAACATCATTTCTTTTAACATTGTCAGTGTTTTGTGAGTTTCACCCATAGGGACAAGTCTATCATCCCATCAAAGGGAGCTAACTAAAATAAATAATCATAATATCCGTTAAATATTCATACACCGCGACAATTCATACGGTCCACCAGAGATTGTGTTATGGGTACCTAGATAACTGGCAGAAATACTTAATACATTTTTTTAACATAGAAAATATATTTTTTTATATATTGGGGGAGTTAGAGCTATTGTTAGGTGCTAAGATCTGTTACACTGCGACCTGTACAGTTTATATGTACAGAACAATATGTACAGGTACATATTGTTCTGGTCCTCATATATATAAAATACCTAGATAGAAACAAACAATCATACTCATGAATACAAATGTTTACGCCGTGCGAGGAATCGAATCCGCGATTATCATGTAGTAAACCGCAAGACTACCGAGGCCATACGACTATGTTATATGTTACAATTATTAACGACGTATTGTACATGAATTTTAATTATTATTTTCCTCAAAGGTTTACTTTCATGTTCCGACATTCAATATTCAAAATAAATAAATAATTTTTCTGTTGGTATTAATTAACAGTAGTTACGTAATCATCAACGCTCTTGTTACATATCTTTTTAAGAATATTTCACGTCAAATTGAAGCTTGAAATTCGGAAAATTAATTTACATTTTATAATTATATTCACATCCAATGCGGACGTATGATATAAAAAAAATGTTAAGTAAATTTGCTGTTTTAACTACTACCTATAAATTTTTATATTTGGCATATTTGGTAAAAAGATATTTTATAATGATAGTAAATAATGATAGTTTTTTATGTGAATATGATTTTTTACGAGCGTTACTGTACTTTTATTTGTAGTCATGTACTTTTTATTACGACTGGAACAACAAACAAGGTGACGGTCATCGGTGTATGATGGAAAGTGATAAACGTCATCAATAGTACCGTGGCGAGATATAACAAAATGAAACATAATATCGGTACTACCACTCACGTTAATTCCGAAGATTTAAATGTAGCCTCAGCCTCAGTACGCAATAATCTCGACAGACTATAACATGGTGTTTTCAAGAAGGACATATTATGGTTTCTTAAGAGTCAGCTACGCGCACGTGATACCCCTAGTGTTTCAGACGTCCGTAGGTCCGTAGGTCCGTAGACGTAGGTGTAAGCGTTTACCATCAGATGGATTGTACGCTTGTTTGCCAACTACGTAGTATAAAAGAAAAATCCGCTGCCGTAGGCTTAATAAATATAATAAGTTAAAGCCCATTAAAAATAATAAGTCAATAATCTAAAATAGATTTAAACGGTAAGGATCGTCTAGTTTATTCGCTTAAAAACTACCCTTTGAGAGGCTTATGTTAATCTCTTTGGCCGGGGCACGGTCGATATGTCTGATATAAATCCAATCTGAAAATATTCCTAATGAGTAGGTACGTTTATTGTAGGTATTTGTAGATTGTAGTTATATTGATATTAACAATGTATTCTTGACATTGAATTATTAATAACAGTAGGCTAATATCGTAAAACAATATAATAAACAGGTATGATACAAATTGTAGGTATGCAATCCGTCGGTGACCTTTACCGACGTGCCCGGACAAGTAATCAACTAATCAATGCAGCCTCAGACTGATACTGACACTGACCCGGATGTCAGGTCAAGGGCAACACGAGCGCAGCTGCCGGGATATGCAATCGGGAGAAATGGTGGGAGCCTGTGGGAGGTAAACATAGGTAGCTAGCTAGCATAGCATAGCCTTTGTATACAAAATATGCAATTAAGGCAAAATAATAGGTAAACACGACTAAGGGATGAAGGTATAATATATACGTGTTAATTTATAATAGACTTGGGTTTCTCCTGGGCTGACGGCCTCGGTGCTCTAGCAGTTTAGCACGCCGCTTTAATTCGGATGTTCGCGGATTCGATTCCTTATATGGTGCAAACATTTAATTTTGTAGTCATGAATATTTGTATCTAAGTATGAATATCAGTTGTTTAGTACCCATAGATCAAGCTCGGCTTATCGTGGGTCTAGATGGTGCTGTGTTAATTGTCTAGGGTGATTTATTCTTTTTATTAATTAAAAAAGTTTGTCATAATAGCAGCGCCTGCAATTTCTCCGTTCGTCTGTCTGTCATTAATACAATTGAGGTGTTTTGCAAAAGAGATCCAGAATTTAATATAAAATGGGAATCCGAATACTATTATTTTGTAAATTTTTTTTTGCCATCGATACGGTTATTTTCGATTTATCAAAACTTATACCATTTCTCAATAGATTAAATTGGTTGTTTCACTTAACTACTCATATTTCTCGAAATTATAATGCTGTTTTGTTTCTAAGTCGTTATTTTGAACGCTTTTCTTTTTTTCAGACTACTTTAATACTGTTGGCTGCAGCTGACCTTTAGCTTCACCGGTCGATAGGGGGCGAGTGCAGATGGCATTCCAAACCAAAGTAAGGACTTATGGAGCGGCTGAAGGCTATCTCCCGCCTGAAGAATACTACTTAGTCGGATCGATCCGAGTGTTTGTCTTGAATGAGAGGAGATGTATAACAAGTGTTTAAGTACTGGTGATTTTTGTATTTTTTATTATATTTGCGTTACATATAAATGAATAAAAAAAAGTCAAAATAATAATTTATAGACGCTTCTTCTATCACGTAAAATGATTCAGCGGCGCCTTCTCTTGACTCGATGAACTGAAAATACTTTTGTATAAATAAATGTGACTTACTGGGTGGAGCTGGCTTCGGTTTCTTCCAGAACTTTGAAGCTATAAGCAAATAAATATGACTGATCCTAGCGCCGCAGAACCAATCTGAGGGTTGCACAACCTCATCCGTTTCCACGATGCTCGCCATTTGATAGTCGTTCTGCATATCCGCCATTTTTGATTTTCGAGTTGTTCTGTCTACCAGCACACCTGACGATAAGATAATAGGTTTTTACGTGGAAAGATAGAAAGGTCGCCTGATACCCGCCTATTATGATAATAACAGCTATGCCCGTGACCATGCCCTTGTAACTCCGCCATATCAACCAGACTGACAGAGAGGGTAAAGTTGTTTTCAATTCAATTTGACGATTTCTTGACTGCTTTCGGCTTTCATTTTTTTTAGTTGCCCATTCTAACTAATACAATATGATATATGACTGTATATCTATATCTCTGCCTAATACAATTAAATATGTAAGTGAATTAAATTAAATTAATTTCATTTCATTTTATCGACAGCATATTTACACAAATAATATATAATATTATATATAAAATTTTGAATGATTTGTTTTTCTATTTTAAACAATTATTTTTAAAGTAGTAAAGTAACAAATTAATCATTACTTATTGGATCAATTTGATTATACAGTACTGTAATGTAGTGCAATAAAGGGGAAATTTGCTTAGAAAAGCTTCCAGAGATTTCTCATTACTACAAATAAGTAATCTATTACAAAAAAGTCATATAATACAGATATTATATGAACCATAAGAAGTAATGGCAAAATATGGAAGATTTTTAGTTAGAATGGCAGATGCCAGAATGTATTATAAAATTGTCACAGACGGATAATACAGAAGGCTTCACGGGTAAATAAGGGTTAAGTATAAATATAAAACTACCTTAAAAAAATATTTATATAAATATATCTTTAAGGCAGTTTTGAATCTGACGAACCTAATAAGACATTAAACTATTATTTAATTAAAATAAAAAAAAATATTACTTATTAACATACAACTACTAAAATAGTACTGTTAAACCAGTTAAATAGGTTGAAACATTTTTCACCAAATTATTAATTAAATAATGAGTAAAACAAATTCTTGATTTTTTTTAATATAAAAATAAGAAAGAACAGTATATTATTGTATTCAATTTCTTTTTATTTATTGTGTATTTTTTTATTTTATTTAATAGATATATATAAAACTAGGTATCAAATATTATTTAATAAAATTAACGCAGCGAAATTTCTGCGTCTAATAATATTATTAATACGAATATAGAAATAGGTGGAACAAACCACGTTGAAACGCTGACAATAAGTTCAGATACTTTACGTATTTTACCGGAAATTCCGCCGTATGATGTACTGAAAATAAACTTTAAAATATCTAAAAACGTGGGCACGTTAAAATTTAATAGAGTACAGCTTTTGTTTTGGTACTTTATTTCGATGCTAAATTACTGCTTCCAATAGATTCATTACTCCGATAACCTTCGAAACCGAATAATATATAAGTATATATTCTGTTAATACACACAAAACTTTACTGTTTTTATATTATTTAAAGTAACTATAAAATTACTATTTATTTTTGTAGTGTTTGGAGATCAATAATAATAACAAACGTTTCTAATTAATACAACGCTTGTTCAATTAAATATCTTAATCTTATTATAATTTCTGTCTTACCTTTTAGCAGTTCGCTGTAGTCATTCACCTCATACTATATTTACTATTATACTTTAACACTTTTTTTAATAATCAAGGTCAAAGATATGTAAATTCAAAATGCACTGCAGAAAGGTATATAACGTTCTGCGGAGGAATGGTACGAACGACTAACTAAATAGACGACACTGCGTATGTGTGAGCAATGGCGTGGCGGGGATTGCTAATAAATTGTAGCCACATACATGTAGAAGTTTGACATTTTCCTACCTGTCTGACATCTGTCATAGAAATCATAAACAAAGTCTCTGTGATCTGTGACTCATTCAAAGTATTACGCGTTTACATTATCGTAGGGTGGTATCCAGGAATGTTACCAATTTTATGAAATTGATAACAACAAAAAAACTGAAAAATAGTTCAACAATGAGGTTCGTGTTTTATTTTGTATTATGTGTTATTTTTATTACCAAATCTCTAGTTGATCTAAATTAAAAACGTACACAATTTATTATATCGTTGGACCTCATGATTTCATTGGATAAATCTTTATAAAATTCCAAAAGCACTAAACCACGGGTACTAATCATCATATAATAAATACCAGTATTAGTCTATAGATATAGAGCAGGGATGTTATGGATATGAAGTTTCGGATATGGATAGGTTTCGGATATAGGAATAATTATTATACTGGATATGGATACGGATGGGGATATGAAATTATTTCGGATTATCCGTTAATTTCGAATAATTTTAGTTACGGATATTATTTTTTTAAGGAATTTCAAAAGGAAAATACATATAGCTAATAAAATGGTTACATAACGTGTCTCAATTAGTTTTTGTTCCTATCCGATATTACCCAAAACTTTTATTTGCGGTTACGAATTTTTTTTTATATCGGATATTCGATCCGTTACGGTTACGGAGCTCCCTAACATGACTAATATAGAGTATGAATCACATGATTAAATCACCAGCTACCCTCTCTTTGTCACAATATTTTCTTTCTATAATCGTCCGCCGTTTATCGGACACCACTCATTACAAAAGACAAATCGCACATTTATAATGTATCAAATGAAGTTTTGCGTTGTGTTGTAATAGTAGGCGAACGGACATATATTTTCATAGCTTTATGATAATATCAGACGTAGTTTGTGAAATATAATTAAAAACATCTTAAAAGTATAGGGTGTTATAATATATATACTGTTACTGGTGTTATAGTATATATATATATAGTAATTATAATACTATATATTCTATTTACTTACTTATTATTACATTATCATATGGTCTATAGTAATGACTATTTTTGCAAGTTATTAATAAATAATGTTACTTGATTTGTCAATTTTGGTTATGATTTTTCAGTCTACCAGTATATTTTTAATGAATTATAATTCATAAAACAAATGAAACTTTAGACAGATTTAGCATTACTGAAATAAGTGTTGATTATTACACTTTAATTACTCTGTTTTTCTTATTAAATTTTATTACACTGAAGTATATTTTTTTCACTTAGAGCGTTCAAACTAGGTAATAAACACCCGCATGAAAATTATAGCCTGTGTTATTCTGATGTATTAGTTACATATAATACTGTAAAGTTTCAATCAAAATCCGTTCAGTATTTTTTGCGTGAATGAATAACAAACATCCTCACAAACTTTCCCATTTTTAATATTATAACGATGAAGTGCTATTTATTAAAAAAGACATGATTTAAATATAGATAAGATTATAAACAAAATACGGGACATTATTGTAATTTAACTAGCAACAATATTTTATATCACTGTAGCCTTTCTCGGCTACGATAATGTAAACGTACTGTACGACAGTTTTACCACAGTGTACACAATTGTACATTAATTTTCCACTCATAGAGTAGACTTGAGTGAAGATTACTTATATTTGTCTATATTTCCAGACATATACATTTTTTATTCTCTTTCTTTAATTTGTTCCAAGATAATACAGTAATGAATTTGTCAGATATATAGTAATTATTGGATTTTGTTCTATTAAACCGCAAATTTGTACATGTAAGTCTATACAGTTACCGGCGTAATACAATTAATTATATAAACATATTTTTCTAAATATCATTATTGAAATATCACATTCGTTTACAGTAAAAAAAATCAACAGACGTTATCCATATTAATCTGTGACTGGAACTGGAACAATATCAAAAATGGGCAAAAGCACATCGCTAAAGGAATTGTTTTTAATGTATAAAAAATGGGTTATAAGTAATCCCAGCGTGGTAACAGACGTAGAAACGGTGGCTACCTGGTCGTCTTATTTCGTCGCTGGAAAGATTAACAAGTCACCCATAGTGTCAGAACTAGTGTATTCTCTATCTAAATTGCTATCGTTATACAATGACAAACTAATCAGGGAAGCGTATGGCAACGAAGTGCAGTATTACGGCTTCCGAGAGCAGCTGAAAGTGTGGCTCACTATAATTCACTACACAGAGGTATTTGTTGAGTTGGTTGCTAAGGACCGCTGTGCCACACGAGGAAAATGGACAGTAGCTACTTTACTGCAGTTATTCAAATGTTCCTCTGCACTCATACTCCTTTTCAGATATAAAGAGCTCCCTATACAGCATCCTCCGATACCCTCTTTACAGAGAAAACAGTATACTGATGGTAAAGATACAGATGAGAATTCCAATGCATTTTTCACTCTACGTAGATCGGGTAGAGTGATACGCAGGGTTGATGGGGCACCACCAGTGGCTTTCAGAGATTGGCAACCCATTAAAGTTAAAGATGACTCTACAACATTGAATATTGAAGGCAAAGATTTATTGTATGCTGAATCATTACATATATTAAAGCCCCTGGTACATCTCGCCACAATGAGGTTATTTGGTACTAGAGCATGGAAACAATGGTTAGTGGCACTGTGTATTGATATAGCTAGTATGAGGCTTTACAATAGACATATGAAAGAGTTATCATATGAACAAAGGCTAGAGATTAGTCGTAGAAAGCTGGGCCTAGTACTATACTTGCTAAGGAGTCCAATGTATAATGGTTATTCTAAGAATGTCATAGAAAATGTTCTGAAATCAGTAACAGAGAAGTTACCATTTATGTCATTCATATGTTCACCAATTATTCAGTATCTGAGCCATTGGCAAGATATATATTTCTACATGTGGGCCTCATAAACTTTAGTAGAAATGTTAATTATGTGTACACAACTTAATTGCTCTTAAATATTTGTGTGGGGAGATGGGGGTGGTAGTTTTAAGAATGTTTTCCTATTTAATCATTGGGCCTATATACAATAACATTATTAGTAACTATTTTATTAAACTAGCTGTTTATTACAATGTTTCATCTTTGATATTTGTTTGAAAGAAGCATATATTGTCTCTACAATGTTATTGTCTATAAGGTGGAGATATCGAGAAATTGTTCAATTGATATTAATTGTTATATTTAATCTAAGTGGGATTAGTAAAAACCTTTTCGAATACCATAATAAATCGTGTTGAGAACTGTAACCTTTAGTCCACAGTAGAAAAAATATTGACAAGGTATGGGTAGTTAAGCAAAGAATTAGATATAGTACAAGAGAAATTTACAAAAATGGTGATAAGAATGAGCAGTTATTTTTAATTTATTCTAATAAATAAGTGCTAGATAGTTGATATTTAAATTTGACACGGTTGTGATAATAATGTCATCAGGAGAAATGGATAATATTGCAGTTGTCACAGCTAATTTGCAAGTTTAATAGAACTTTACATATTTAATCGACAAAATCTGTTTAATATATAGCCTTTTACATACTGTTATGACTTATCCTGATATTTACTACTTTTGTTGTTATGGTTTAATATGGTGTATATAATAATTATAATTATTTATTATATCTACACATGCTATTATAGTTACGACAAAGCATCTGTCTGTTTCTTAAGAAAATAATGAAATAGTTGCAGATTATATATTGTCAGTAACCTCATATAATTGCTAACCTATATAATTAGTAAAAAGTATATACTTTTATATCTTTTATACATTCCACTTATTATTATATTGATATTTCATCATTTATTAGCTGTTTGCAGTATTGGTAATATTTTACAGAAGCATTGTTTATTTTCACATAAGTAATTTTATGGTTACCTTCACAAAATAGATATTATGTTGTTATGGGCATGCAATGTTGAGAAATGTGGGAAAGTTTAATATTAAAATATGGATATAATTGGGACCCGACAGGAAATGTGTGAAAAATAACAAAAATATAAACATATTAACTAGCTTAGCTAGTTAATAGAATTTATTAATATGTATGTCAAGAAGCTATCAACTAATTCACTGATTAATTCCTTTCAAGGAATCTTATCTCGACTGTACATTGTTTTTGTGCCAACTGTATGAATGAATATAGAAGACTTATTTCACAGATCATAAATTCTTAATAACCTCAGTCTGTTGGTTGAATATTAAACATCAACAAAATTTTCATTTGGTGATATTATAAACATTGATGATATTTTCTGTGAAATAGGATTTTTTTTTTAATACAGTGTACTACAGTACATTGTGTGTGTGTGTGAGGTGTGTGTGTCCTCTTATTTTAATGGACCCATGCCTTGAGAATGACGAAACATATTTTTTGTATGATTGTATAATGTACATGGCCTTAATATTTTTATACATGTTATAATAGATTGTATAAGAGTGTACAAATATTAGGGCATATGTAATTAAATTTTGTATTTTTTTAATTTGTTATAATATGGCATTACATAAATCTTTACATGTAATATAACTGGTGAAATTATGGAATAGACCAGTAGAATTGTGCATTGTTTTTGGTAGTGGTATGGTGGTGGTAGTGAGATTGTGATTGTAAATGATATACGAGTCACGATACAATTACGATATTTGATTGGTAATAATAATGCTAATACGAATATTTGAAGACCATACAGCCTGTTCATTGTGTTAAAATATTCAAATTATGTTTCAATTGATTGTAATTTAAATTTCTAATTCCTTTACACTGGTTTATTTTATATTCAGATATTACTATACTAGCTATATACTTTATATATGCAGATATCCAAAAAAAACAGTCCTGGGTCACTGTCATTGTTAAATTTGAACCAAATTTCTTTTAGTAGCACATTAGTAATTTGATGGTAGAGAATTTTATTGCATGTCATCCGTTCGACAAAAGAAAACTGTTTTTGACTAATCCTTGCAGCGGATAGGGCACACTGCCCCACCTTAGTTCTATTCAAATCTTAACCAGGATGGGTAGTCTGCTGTTTGTGAAATCACTAATCATTTCGAGCATCTAAAATGTGTTATTTTAATAAAATTCAAATAAATACTGATCGAACTATAATGAAATGTGCTTAATTTGTTAATATAGTGACATTACATCCTTTTTTAATATACAAATAGTCTTTTTGATATGTTGTTTACTACAAAATAATATGTTGTACACTGAAAAATAAAAACAGATTTATTATATTGACTATTTTATTGACCTTAATTATAAACAATGACACATTTAAACACCGTCATAGTTATTATTAACTGATAGGAATTTCAACATGGCATAAGAAACAGTTTCAAATATATAACGTAATTAGGTTATCTTAGACAAAGTATTTGTCTCATCTCAATTAGGTATAACATCTATATCTACTTAAAACGTCAGTAATTTCTTTTTTTCAAAATAACGCTACGAAGTAATTTTTTAATCTTGTTTTACTATCAATACATTTACGTCAAAAATAGTTATTCAGTAAAAAAAATAATAAAAAATAGCTTGAATACATATATTTCAAATCACATTTGGTACAGTCAACTTCAAGTAGTGGCGTTGCCGTCAAAATAATTATGACAACTAACGATATCTCAATATGTACTTCACCTCAAAAGCAACTAATAGTATAATTGCTTTGTATACATAAAGTCATGTTTAACTTCAATAAAATAGCATTTTATTATCGTTATCGCACAAAGCGTTCAATATTATCTATCTCAACAACACTATTCTACTTTTAAACATGACCTTAGAATTAATCTTTCTTTTCAATATAATTAGTTACTTAGTTGACGCGAAGTATATGATTCGTTAGTTGTTTACAAGAATTTGATAACTTTAAAATTACAAGATAAGACTTTATAACATATTGATCACAAGCGGTTGATTATTTGTTTAAATAAAGACGACAACTGACGTGAAAAGTAACAAATTACAATGCGAGTAATTTCGTATAGTCGGTACATAGGGTTGATCTAAAAAATAGTAAACACAAAATACTGATACCGATACCTACATACTCCTTTATATTAAAACTTCTAGGTCAATCGCTAGTTTAATGTTTTGATTTTGGAATTCTCAATTAAAACAGAATGTACTATATAAAATACGAGTTACTTGTGATCTGTGAATATTAAATATATTTTTATATAGACTTGTGTATGAACTACTACACTTTGCTTATAATATAAAGATGCAACCACCTGTGCGTTTGATGTGATTATTAATGATACATCATGACAATGCGTACGGCTATGTTGCAATATCTTTATGTGGTGTATTCATGCCCTATAGTCTGAAGTGAGATTTTTAGTGTGGCCTAACTAAGATTTAAACAATGCATGAGTTTTAGGTGTCTCCTGTATAACTTCATATTATGTTAGGCGAGAAGCAAGCCTACATTTGTACGCATTATCTACTGCCATTGTAACATTGAATTCCAGGTATTTGATAGGTATATCCGTAAAAAACTGTGTTTTAAAACATAACTATTGGGGGAAGAGGATGGTTAGTAATAGCCCCAGACTAATAACCCCATTGCTAGCAATATATCACGTCAGGTCGACCTCTACTCGGTACCCCCTGGAAGCCATCGTGGTAAATTCCCATTTGCAAAGATGGACTAACTAACCTGACTTTATGCTCATTTAATCATCCTTCACTGGTGTCCCGCCTGCGTAAACCGTTAGCATAACATTCTCATCCTAAAAAAAATTATTAAGGAACGTTATTGTAATTGTTATGATGCCATATATCGGGAATTGAGAACATAAGCATACAATACAAAGTCAATTACTCATTATTAGAAGATTCTTGTAGCATATCTTAAAGAATACTTTATGAGTACGACAATTAAGTGATACATAATCAAGTTTATACAGTCCATGTCTATTTAATATACATATCGTTGTTTAGTAAAAATAAATGAGTCAAATTAAATAATTATGCCACTTATAACATGTATCAAAAAATTAAATACATATACTAAATACTTACAAATGATCAAAACGTAGAATATACGACATATATATTTGAATATATGAATATTATTAGAAAAAAACAATTTTGTAGAACTGATTTTTTGTCCGATAACGAATATTCTAGAAGTATAATTTCTCCATTAAAACAATACAGATATTACGAATATACAAAAGAATACTCCAATGTACAAAAGCAAATATAGTTTATTCAACACTCTAGCATACAGGACTATGCTACCGTGTGTGTGATAAAAGATCAATTTGTGAAGCTACTGATGCATTTTCAATGTAACAAAGTCATTTTTAGTTCCACCGTGTATTTAGGACCCCAAAATGTCTATTTCATGAAACTTAATCGTATTAAATATATAAAAACATAACCTAAGGACGTAAATTTAAAGTAACGTAAAATATGTTAATCTATCTAAATATTCTAGAACTATTAACCGAGTAATGAGATACTGTGGTTGTGCAGATTACAATTTATTGTGATGTATCCAATATTTATTTATTTTATTCTTATTATGCTAATTTTAACTAAAATATACCAACAAGTAGAATATAAACTAAAGTAAAGTATAAACTATTGCAATAATCATCAAAATCTATCTATAACCAAAGTGCATCACTAGCTTAATAAATTGATATGACAATTTTCTTCAAATGTGATTTAATTTTTACAAATACCATAGACAAAATCTTGGTGTTTTTATATAACTTGGAATGTCATGCGAGTTGACGGTCCATAACTGGTAACGGTCGCCTGTAAACATGAACCATAAACATCACAGAATGTACTGTAACGCCTTTAGTATCTGTCAAACGACAAGCCCCCAACAAGTCAGAAGTCAGATTACTAATGTACTATATATAAATAAAAGTTATATTATACATTTATAATTACATCATAATATAAATGGCTTATATGCAAGCTATAACGGCCGTACGTCAGCACCAAATTTAAAAACTAACTAATATTATACATGTCTTTCGAATGATAATTATTAATAAATAAAAAACCTATCATAAGCATACATTAAATATAGTAAAAATCAACACATGGCTGCCTAGTATATGAAATACGTATAAGGCGACTTCCACCAGATGCACGAATGACATACAATGTTTACTTAAAGGGTGCAAATGGTTCAGAAATAAATGTAGTACACAAGTACCTTTAAAAATATAACAAATATAATCAATATTTTTAGGGCGCCTTAGTTTTATTTTCCACGGGCCTCAGATGGTAAAGTTACGGGTTTTAGTGTATACATAATGTTTCGCATAGTACAATGCGAAACAAATTGATTGAGAATCTTTAAATATAGCTACGTGGTCAAATGAGGAGAACAGTCAATCAATGCATCTGGATATACGGTAGTGCCACATATGTACCATTCACAAGATATAACTAAATAAAATCATATTATGCAAAGAGAATATTATGCCGTGTGCTAAATATTATACATTTATAACTAAAGATTTAATACCTAGCTTAAGATAATAATATAATTTCATAATGACGTCTATCTATATTTTTGCTAATTATATTTAAAAAAATATGTTTATATATTTTAAATGCAATACACATTATTTAATGGCAAATAAATAGTTGCCAGCGTATTATGTATTTATAAATATACTAGTATTATATTTGAACAAAAGTAATACCTATAAAACGCTTAATGCGCTTCGTTAAATTCCGTACATTTGACGGCAGTATTCAGAAATACATACTACGTGATCATAATTGTATTATACAATATTAAACATACGTAGTTACCCTCTCACTTATAAACAGGATATAAACCTATTTAAAAATTAATTGCGGAATAACTCTATGCTACGAGACCAATGGTTAAGATTAATATGATGGATAAAACAAATAAATATAGATATCATAAATGCATATACATCGACAAATACATGCAATTGTACTTGTCCTAAAGTAATAGATATTATGTATAAATATATTTCAAATATGTATTTTAATTTTGGATGGGACAAAATTAAAAGCAAAATATTTTTTGTAATATAAACTGGTTTACCGCACTAATATCATTCAAACTTTGGAGGGATTGTTGTAAACTGTAACACTAAAGTGGCAAAATATACTTCATGGTTCTTTAATAGTATGCTTTTTATAAGTGAGAGGACACATAACAAAATTCTGTATATACGCATATATAACTGCTTTTAAAATACTATTATGAAAAATAATAATATTTTCACCACAAATTCCTAAAGGCAAAATAAAGCGGCGGTTCAAACACCTCCCATTTCGAAATGCTTGTTGTTATGCAAAATAGATTTCATTGTACATTTTAATATAATATTTTGTAGCTATGTCTGAGCCATAAATGGTTATTATGAAAATAGTTTTTCATATACTTACTATTATAATAATGTATATTGAATAGATCAGCTGTATCGACATTTAAACGTCATTGTATTATTACGTATTTGTACTTCTTTTCTGTATTTAGACACGTCCAGGAGCATAAGTCGTGAATGAAACTGTTACTAATTATTGGACAGTAGGAAATATTAAAATCATTAAATTGTGTTTTTTTTAAATGATTTTTTGTTATGTATATTTTAAATAATTTTCAGTTTGAAACAGCATCTCGTATTTATATGTAGTACTAGAAAATGGTTGGTATAACTACAATGAAACATTTTATTTCGCTCAAAACATATGCAGTATACAACAAACAAAGAATACATTATCGGTCTGACCTTGTACATAAAAGAAAACAGAGAATTGTAAGAATACTAGAGAAATTTAAAAGTAGGCTAAGATAGATTTAAACTTAAATTTCAAGAAGTAAATTTGCGAAAGTGGTCATGTCTATCAGTTAATTATATACATACATACATACACATATATTATACTACAATTATCCAATTATGATTTTTGAAACACCTATTCTCCTAATAACTTAATAAGCACTAAGAAAACAAATACTTTGATGCGAATTCAGAATCGCGTAACATTTATAATTGAACATTAATACATCAATCTATTAGAACAATGTTGACAACAATATTTCGTAAAATGACACCAAGTTTTTAATTAGAAGAAAGATTAGTATTCGCTCCTTTGGACTATTTCCACCTTCAATGACTTTATGTATGTATTATGAAAGCATACAGAACATCTGAAGAATATCCCGCGTCTTATACATTTTTCCTATACTGTACATTAAGAATAAATTTCAGATTCATAGATACATTAAAAATAATGATACAATTTGGAGGGTCGAAACTTCCCGTGCTAACAATATCGCTTAATTTATAGAATTGCACTGTAGCATAGAAGGGTTGTGTGAACTCCAAGTTGCAAGAATCTGTAATGTTAAAATTAGTTGCATTAATAACTATTAAAAACACTCATTAAATCAATCCTGATAGGGGAGTGTCAAACTGTCAAATGTTACATTTATCAAAACTGCAACAATTGATAATGCCGATGAGTCCAAATTCCATCAGATTTTTTATGCACCCGCTCGAATTACTTGTAATTTGTCAGCATGTCACTCCATGGCTCATTATTTACAATATTGCATTATCGCCGAACTTACATAGATATGATTAATTCTGCTAATTAAATATAATTTTAAGTCTAATTTATCTGAGACCCCAACGGTCGTAAGTTCAAATCTACCCTAGATAAAAATAAGAATGTTGAATTATATTTTGGATAGACTCTCACCTTCACTCTCTCTCACCTTCAATTACGTTTTTTTTTGTATTTACAAATAATAGACAAGATTTGTGTAAAAAAATTGGAATGATCTAACGAAAAAGTAAAAGAATTTGCAAAAAAATCTAGTTTTAAAAATATATTGTAAGAGAGAATTGAAACTTCTTTTCTCTATTAGTATTGTGTGAAGGAGCCAGTATTATATACTTTAGGTTTGTCTTCACATAAAAACAAACATGCAGAATTAAATAAAATTTTAAATCTTTAAAAAAAGAGCACCTACCGAGTTAGCTACATATTCTCTGCGGTACAATAATAAAGAGCTACTATTGAAGAGTCTTTCGAGTTTTGATTAAAAATTATTTGTATATTATGTTAAATTTATTTAACTCTATCGGGTACTAATTAGTACATGCTCTTGTATTAATTAAAACCAGTTGTATTTATAAATCTTTATCATTAAACAACATTTTATAAGTTCTGACTTATATTGACCTGCAGGCACCTGATTAACATCTGTCAAAGAACTTCCAGAAGCTACACCAATTAGGCAAGTATCTGGTTTTAGTTAGTTTCTTTTCATGATGTACATGAAAAGAAATGGAATATAGCTTAGAATTCCATGGATTCATCATATTTGTGCCCGGACTTGTTTCTAGTTACTTTTCGGGACTACAAGGTAGAAACTTCGAATATTCCGATACTTGTGACACGGGTTTGATCTAAATAATAATAATAAGACTGGACAATTCACACAGCACCACTACTTGCAAGCCAAGCAGCTCATGTGTTATAGGTACTAACAAACGATACAATTGTATAAGTAATTCGTTAATATATTATATTATGAAATACATACATAATATACATAGAAAACACCCAGACCAATACAAAAGTCATGTATAAAAATGTTTTTGCGTCATGCAAGGAATCGAACCTACTATCTTCGGCAGTAAGGTGTGCCAATCACCGAGGTCGCTATAATCAAATAAATATGTTTTCAACTCACTATTTAATTGTTGAGCCAGTCCCATGAGTCGTCATCACTCTTTTTCTTAATAGTGATGTTTTTAATGTCAGGAGGAGGGCTGGATACGCCCACCTGAGACAGGTCGCGTGCATCAAGATTGTTCCGGGTTGTCACAGACTCCTTCCATGGCTGGGTTTGCTCATTCCTGTTTTAATTTTAATACATATGTATATTCGAATTTAGTTGTCTGTGAGCAGTTAGACTGATACGAATGCAAGTCATATATACTAACGTTATTTGATTGTTGTCTTGTACGCTCTGAAATGTAGGCCCAGAAACTATTAGACCGACAATATTTTGCAATAAATACGCAAATACATTTTTTTTAATAATTACATACATATTATAAAACACCAACACAAATAAATATTACCTTTCTATGACTTAATACGGATCTTAATTTGCCTTGAAGATGAAAATTTTCTCTGGAACGAGGACCATGTCTTAAAGAAAGTATTTAACATCAACGTAGTTACATTGGAAGGGATGAATGGATTGTGTGAAAGACGATATGTATAAAAGGAAAGTAAGCTCAGATATGGACTGCTGATAGGGATCAGTGAAAGGAGAGGACATACTGCGCCGACCCCAAATGACGATAAAAAGGCTAGGAAATAATTATTGGTGACGATGAGATGAACATTTTATCCCTAAAGATCAGATGAAGTAACGAGTAATAGTATATGTACATTTAATCTAATATTATAAAGACGTAAAGTTAATGGGTTTAGATGTTCGGTATAATATACACAATTGGCCTGTTTTGAAAATTCTTTAATATTGGATAGGGAAGTTGTAATGAAACATATTACGGAAACGGGGAATCTGTGACCCTGACTAAACGTAAATTGTAAGTGGAAAAATTCCAAAACTGGACTTTGTCTGAATTTTACAAATAAATATCATTTATTCATGTAGGCATTTTAGCCGCTTAAGAATGTCAAGTTTATATTGTTATAATATATTTCTAGCAAAAATTCCTTATGTTAAAAAGTAGATGTTCAAATATCTGAGAAAATTAAATACGTAGGAAACTAGTTTATATATGTTAGATTTTCTCTTAAGTTTTTTATAGTAACTTGTTTTTTTCATAGTATTTGTACTTTTTTGATCCAAGCTCGCCAAAACGCACTGACAAACATACTAAAATTCTAACAATATGGTTTTGGGATCTATCTTTTTATAATTTCTATCCCTTATAATAGTTTTTCACATATATCTTTCATGTACAGACAGTGATCAGTTATAATTTACGTATAGTATAGAGCACCTCCTGGGAAATTAAGTTTCCTAAGTATATATTTTTTTTGTATCCATCTTGCAATCGGTCGAAGACTATGAACAGATGTCGCTGGTAGTGTGATTCCCAGATGGAATCATCGTCTCTTTAGATGGTCCTGATTATTATACCCTGTATTCTGTATACTGACCATTGAGAATACGGTTCCGAGGTGGAACTCCTCATAGCCCCGTAACTCTGCGACTGGTAGTGCCCGGAGTTGCTTGCACGACGAAGGTCAGTCGTCCCTCCGAGCGAGCTCCAACCACCGCGATTATTTACCTGTGACGCAGTCAAATAAACATATACAAAACAATACAATAAAAGAAAATAAACACCGATTTACAACAACAGTAAATGTATACTAAGTGTTTCGTGTTTCATAATGATTCGCAAGTACAAGACCGTCTTTCTCCAATAACCCCGGGTCAATCTTTTTATATATTTTCTTAATTGTTTACTGTTTAACCTATAAGTTTCTTGCTACTTTCTGTTAGATCTGCTCAATCTGATTCTATTTACGACAATATTAGTATAACATCTTTTCAGATTAAATATCTTTTTGGAATTTGTTTGTTCTGTAGTACCTAATCCATGTGTATTTTAAACAATATATAATATTTGATTTTTATGTATTTTATTTACTTATGTATGTTTTATATAAATTTTATATTTTATTATTTATGTATACCTTTAGTAGTTGTACGTGTATGTATTTTGTAATGGAATATTATTTCTGTAACTATAGTGCGCCACCTACCTTTTGACTGTTTAATACTTCTATCTCCCAGGTTGTCTGTAAGAGATTGCTTTAAGCGATAAGGCCGTATTTTGTTAAGCACATCTATGCAAAGTATTGTTTTTTTCTTATTTTTTCTTCAGTGCGCAATATAGAGTTTTATTATTAATGTTATTATTATCAGGGCTGGGCAGTATTTGAATTTTACGTAATTCAAATACAAATTCGTATTTAGTATTTCAATTACTATCTATAAATGGTAACTAGTAATTTGAATTTTGAATAACTGACGCCGAGGTATTTGTAATTAGAATTCAATTCCTTTACTATTAGGCTTTAAATTACATTTTAACAAATATGCCGGTGCGACTTTTATAACATACAAAATGATGCTACGTCACGCATATACATAATTTATCTCTATCAAATTGGAACTAAGAAGCTATTCAAACTAATTATTCTGATTTATGATTTTGATAATTATCTTTGATTAGGCTTTTTATTCATCATTCAGATTAAGTTTACGCCAATACTGCCTAAAATCTGAATGAATAATTCGTATTTTTAATAAATGTACTAAAAATAATTTAATTCGTAATTTATATACTTAAAAGTATTTTGTTTTGTTGAATTTTAAAAACACAGGTATTTTGTAATTTGTATTTTAATTCAAGCATGTATTTTGCCCAGCTCTGATTTTCAGTTGGGTCCACAGTTGTGTTACGGATATCATTAACAACAAAACTCACACTTTCAAGAATTACAATACAAATTAAAAATAATACTAACAAAAGAAATAAACGATATAACAAAATTAAAATTAACTTATTACCCTGATATAAGGTTTCAAAGATTTTAAAAATTTTTTAATAGATAATATTTTGAATATTGAATTTAATTTGAAATTTGAATTTAAAGACCAATTTATATAAAACAAGAATAAACATGCTCCAAGAAAGATCTTTATTTCTTATAGGCCGACCCCGCGGTTCTACTTTTTAATTTGTAAACCAATTGGAATAAAACATACACAATATATCAGTGAAAATCGCACCCGAATCGGTTAAGTCGTTTCTGAGGTTTTCTATTAAATCTTTGATATAGAGACATCTAGCTGATACATTTTTATCATTTATATATAAAAGACATAAAATAATAATAACCCTGGACAATCCACAAATGGCCATCTAGTCCTAAGCTAAGGAGATATGGGTACTAGAGAACTAATAAAAATACTTAAATGCATTTTTTTGTAAATACATACATAATTTACAACCAAACCAATATAAACAAACATACTCATGACTACAAAATTTTGCTACGTGCATGGAATCGAAGTCGTAACTATTAGAAGTGGTATGCTAAGAGTGCTTAAATGAGACTTTACACACATACCCATTCATCTAGTACTGGAACTTTAATGGTAAGATTTTCATTGAATTTTGCTTAATAATTTTTGTATAAAATCCACCACACACACCATTGTAGAGATGGTTACGCCACAGTTAATGAGCTGTTTTCACTCCATTAGTACCTTTAAAAACTTATATCTAGAAAATGTATCGGATTAATAATTGAGACATTTTTATTGTTATTATTTTTTACCTTCTCAGTCACAGTAGATGCCATTTCAGAGACCTTCTGGGTCGCAATGCCACCATAACGGACCGCGCTCTCGGTCGCAGTGCGAGCAGCCTTAGTTACAGACGATGTTAACATTGACCACCCCTGTAACATATCACAATTATATTTACGAACTGACACAAACTAATTGAAGTTCTCAAAATTATTTTGAAGAACAGAATGTTAAAATATTTTGTAAAGGAAGAATTGAGATACAGTAAATTCTTTTTTTTTTAACTACGACGTTGACAAAATGAACAATGACAATACACTTAACCAAACTTAAAAACCAGGGCCATATTTGCGGATTTTATTGTAGTTTTTAGGTTTTTAATTGGTTTCAAATTCAAATTCAAAATCATAGGACATTTTAGCCGCTTACGAACGTAAAATTTTTTACATTATAATTTTTTCTCTACCGTTTGAAAACACAATTGGTTCACTCCTCGGGGCACGATGACGTGTTTCGAGTCCGCTAATAGTTTAAAAATTTTCTACTAACCGAAGCCAACGATGCCAGTGTGTTATCAACCATTTCATTGCCGCTATGTATGGGAGACATAGGCGTCGACTGTGACTGTTTCGGCGTGTTGCCGAATCCGGTGTATCTCCCGCTTCCATATTCGCTACTGTTAATAAGAATTCAAACACAATATTATTTGTCTATTTCTCACCGGTATTTCATTGATTTTCTAAGAAGAGTTACTAAGAATACATATTACTCGAGAATATGAAGATACCTTAAGGATTAAAATAATAAACCAAACTCATTTCTTAAATTAATGGTTCTTATTCGACTGTGTATTCTGTGTGTACGAACTAGTATAAAGTCCAACTGATGGAAAACAGTAGATGTTGCCTAGAGACATAAACACCCCATATCACAAACTATCCTGGTATCCGTGATATACCTCGATATCTTGACAATCCTGAGAACTTAAGTGAGTGAGTTTTTAGAACTGATTTCATATGAAAATCATAATTTTATTGTCATTTTGTGAATACAACGTGCACAAAATAGAATAAAACCTCATTGGGCGTAAAAAAAAGGTGAAGCAATAGCGATTTTACAAATGTATGTGAAATGAAAGTATATAAACGCACTGGTAGCTTATGTTGTTGTCAGATCCGCTGGTGTGAAATGCGTTATCACCAGACGAATAGAAGTCCCTGGACTGAGTCCACTCCGCTGGCTTCTCCACCGTCTCAGGTTTATAGTCCGAGGGGCTCCAAGCACGGCCCTCGGAGAGGGCAATAATCTAAAACAAAATGGCGTATTGTGTTATTATCAGTTTAATAACCTAAAATAAGATACATTTTCTTTGCGCTACATACTGTATACTCACTGTTTTCGCATATTGATCAGTTATTAAATGAAATGTTATTTCGTTCTAGAATTTATATGTTATCCTATACAATATATTTCATTTGGATAAATAAATCATTTTCCAAATTTCATTTTCCTCAACAACTACGATGTTGATTCAAATGTTTATAAACATTTTATGTATATTCATATTATAGAAGTATATAGGTATACTCGTAATTTTTAAATTGTAATGACAATCGAAACTTGTTTCCATTGCTATACTAGGAATATACTCATGGTCGACCTACCTGTTTCCACCTGAAGACAAACGTAGTTGATTCTTGGTCAATTAGCCACGAGGGCTAACTGAACTGACTTTATATTCGTTCTATCATCCTCCACTGGTGGATGTATGCAGGCGGTAGCCCCGATCCATAAATTACGTCATACTAATTAAAGTGATTTTTATCCCTCCCCCATGTCAGAGTTGATAACATTTTAATAATAAAATTGCGTCACTGGTTCGTGTATTTCTAAAATTGAAATGTGATTACACAAAATCTGAGACCCCTTCAGCGAGATTGGAAAGGGATTTAAGACCTTTAAGATCCTTTCGGACAGCGAGAGCTTTCATGATTTTTTACACGAATTTTGTGACTCCTTCAAGTTCTTATTATACAAAGCAATACTACGTCGACTCTCCCCCCTAACATGTAACCTTATTTATTATTCTCTTATATAGTACTGACCCTTTGTTTGTACATAGAAGCAGCTTTAGTATTATACTTCTGTGGTATAGTCATACCAGCTTTGTAGTCCGGTTGACTCTCGAAAAACTCCCGTGCCTTGGCGTTTCCTCCCACCTGGAAGTTTATGAAATTTATGATTTAGAAAAATAACTATTTATTTGGTCATACCTATATTAGTAGGTATATAGAATCCAAATTTAAAATTTTTAACCTAAAAATATTATTACGTATTATAAAACACACTCCCTTGTTGTGTGTCTGTATATTGGCGATAATCTTAAAAACATTGAAAAGGATTTTCATGCAATTTTTTATATGTCAACAGAGTAATTATAAAATTAAAATTTGATTGATAGTATATTGACGAAATTTAAATTTAACCAAGAACTACATATTGTTATAAAATTGTTCGGGTCAATATCAAGCTGTGCATATTTGTAACACATCGAGCGACAGAGTTCTATTCTCATCGTCCAATTCGCCGTTTATAGAACTGAAGTTCAATTACGTCTATTATAGGAGTGATATCTATTATCTCCTCCCGTCAAATAGTCAAATAAGACCTGAATGTTGCTGTCTCGTTATATCAGAAGTGTTTGTGTTTTAGTAATCGATTGGGCATCGATACAATCGTTTGGCACTTAATTGTCTTAGTTGTAGGGACAAACAGACGCGTCTATAACTAAATATTACAAGTATTAATGTCGCATTCTGTGTCTATTAATCATTTGTTAATAGTAATATTCTTAATGAGATGTGAAAATATTGTAACTGGCTAATAAGAAATGTGTTTTTATATCTAAATTTGTATTTTGAAATTTATAGTTCCTTTTTAGATTCTTGTTTTGATACTTCTATTCCTAATTGTCAGTAGTCTATATTAATATATTTTCTCCGTTTTACCTAGTCTTTTTCCTTATTACTACAACAGAAAATATGACTTGTAACACAGGATTTACATTGCTGAGAAGCACCAAAATTTAACAAACGAAATTATTTAACTATGCATTATACTTGGCTACACATTCTATGTGGTTGTAGCCCTCTCATGCATAAACGAAATATCTTCTTGGAAAGTATACTTTCCAAGAAGATATTTCTTATTTCTATATCCTAAGGAGATAAAAACCATTGCTCCTAAGAATATCCTTCAATTATTGTCCCTCACTTGTCTAGGTAGCGAACTTTCAGGGCGAGCATAATAGCCCAAACTACCAATAAAGATATAATAACCTTTTAATAAGTAGATAGTTATTATTCCAAAATCAATAGTTTAAACTAATTTTTCACCTAGAGAATGTAACTGAATATCCTTCATACCGACCATTAATGACCAAAGCAGGACACTAGTGACTTTATGTAATGTTGTGATTAATGTGACTCAAGTAACATCATCGAAAACATACTGTAGGTACAACAAAAAAAATTTAATACTACACTAAGAAATATAATAATAATGTTCCTTTAATTCTTACTGTGAAGTCTGATGTAAAGTTGTTTTTTTGATACAATAAATTTCATTTAATTTGATTAAGTAGGATGTAATAAGGAATACTGAGTAAAGCCTATTATTCTATAAATTATTACTTGGGAGACAACCTTGACTCGCTAAGTTGTTCAGACATGGGATTTTCGATAATTAAAATATATATTACATATTTACGCTATTTGATCGTTATGATATATTTTTTTAAATTTATAAATTATTACTTGGGAGACAACCTTGACTCGGTAAGTTGTTCAGACATGGGATTTTCGATAATTAAATTATATATTACATATTTACGCTATTTGATCGTTATGATATATTTTTTAAATTGAAACAATTTAAAAAGAGAAATTTAGAAATATTACTAGCAGTGTTTCTTGCCAGTACTTTTCAAGTATAGCAGCTAGCATAACTAAAATGTAGAGATAGTGATAAAAATTTATAGGATTAAGTGGCAGAAAGAGTCCTGCATAAATTTTAATAATAACATATTTAATTTGATTTTATTTTCATGTATTTGCCAGTAGGTATATTATTTCCATCGACGTTTTATTATAAACAAAATTACTATTTCCCTATGTTATATTACATTAAATTGTTACTAAATACATAATAACGTTATAAACTAGAAGGTTTGTCTGTTTGACTATCAGTCTGTTTATTACATTTCCACTCTAATGGATTATTTATTATTATTAATTAAACCAGCTAAATAGATGTTAATTAAAATTTATAGGAAGAAATGTACGAAGTATGTTTGTTTCACGAAGACGAAGTATCCTATATCTTAAAAACAGCAGACGTAGTCGTGGTTAATAGTTTGCAAACGTGGTCTATCTTTTTTTATGTGTGAATAATATTTATTATCTGGCAATAATCTTCCAGACCTATGCCTAAAGTTCAAATATTTAACCTAGTGTTGTTTAAATCCAAACGGTTATATCGCTATTTCAGCCGCCAAGCAGTTAGCTTAGTAAGTTATATTTGAAAGATGAGAGAAGGTAGAGAAATTACAAGAAAGGAAGAGAAAGGATAAGATTCCCCATATTCCTTAAGAATGGCAAGAGTGGTATCACGGGCTCACATGATATCGTGATGTCCAAGTGTTGTACATGTTTTGCCTTTATAACTACATTATAAAATAGCTTAACTGAATTAAATGTATTGTAAGCTTTACTTAGTTGCGGACTCAGTTTATTTTATAATAGAAATAAATAATTGACTGACTACTAAAAGTATTAATTCTACGTAGTTGAATTTACATGCACAGTAAATTACAGTAATTGAATTAAATTTTTCAATTAAATAATATTATTCCCTAGACACTCGCTGGTATTAAAAATAACCAGTAATAATTATCACTTTTTTAAATAACAATCATTCTGATCAAGTTATTTAATTTACTTATTTATTTATCAACCCAAAAGTAAAGTCTAGGGAAAGGTTTTTATCATAAAAATTGTGTAATTGTGTAATGACGTTAAAAGCTGATAGCAAAAGCATGTTAGGAAATTGTTTTATTATTATTAGCGAATTTAAACTTCTACTATTATTTTTCACCTTTTTGTTATCGATGAACTGGCATTGCAGTCTCTACAATTCATTCTGCGCATCGCACGCATCTCTGTTGCAAGGTCACTTTACCGGTCGATTCCGAACAGTCTAGCTCTTCAATAAAGGCACCTATGATTTTGCAACGTACGTTGTTAACCAACTGACGCTATATACTCGTACAATTTGATATTAATATCATAATAAATGTGGATTCAAAAATGCTTCAGACGAATTGGAGCAACGGAGTACATGATCACCGATATTTTTAACTCATACTTGTATTGATAAGAAGAAAGAAAAATTCAAGTTCTTTCATTTAATAACCATATAGTGGGAAATAATAACGAACTTAGTATACCTCTTTATTTGAAAAAAAAAACCGCTATTTTCTATTAATAGCCTTGTTTTTCGAATTATCGAAACCCTTTCTTTTGATATTATAGGAGTGCGTTAAAAATAACTTCTCCACGATCCTGGATGTCCTTCGGTTTTAGATTTAGAATGACGTCACATAACTTCTCTCAAACCTCATTGCCGAACTAGGTTTTTAGAAAATTTTAACTAGAACAGTTGATAATCTGCTTCAAAACTGAGTTGCAGAATTTCATTGGAAAATACTTGCAAGTTAAATGAAAGCTTGTAAAAATTTAATTTTATTGTGTTTTATAAACAAGAATAGTTAATAAAATCGTTACTTATTAATTTAAATTTAAAACATAAAGCGATTAAAGTTAAAATTTTACTAGAACGTGTCATGTCAGTATATAGCCATTGCAGTATTGTATTGCACTGCTAAACATATTTCCTACTGTCGGAAACGTAAGTTAAAGCAGAACGCTCTGCAGAAATGTATAAATATAGTTATTTTTATAGAAATCCCTTTATGTCATACTCATATAATATACAAGAAATATATATTTAGCATGTATCTAAAGAGGTGATTACTATAACTTAAAATGTCTTAAGCTTTATTACGTGACTAAATTGCTTTTCATTATTTCGTAAGTGATAGTCTCATAATCCCCAAATACCCCTAAATTGATCACTTTCATAATTATGTTTGAAATAATAAGATCTAATAAGTAAATTATATAAGCTTAACATATTTTACATTATATACACATAATATGATTTTCCTAATCGAATCACAAACAAAAAAGATAAAAGCTATTATTATGAATCCCACGCGTATAAAGTTGCGATCACAGTTAATCATATATATAACAAAATCGTAAATAAGCTGTAGGTACATTCAACCTCCATTTGTAAAAATACAATACTTACGTTACAAAGATAAAAAAAGTTTTAAGAATCTGTTTGTCTGCACGTCAATGTCAGAAATGAAATCCCGTAACATTTAGTCTATGTTTCATTCCAAGCGGTCCATAAACAAAAAAGTTAAGTTAATAGACACTTCTATTCTATTCTCTTTATGGCGAATACTAATGCGGCCGATGTGCGCACAAATTAATTAAATGAATTCGAAAATAGAAAACAGTTTGCAGATACACGAACTTTCTGATGTGAACTTAATTTGGGATTTGTTTGAAAATTAAGCCTATTTTAATCTAATATGAGCCTACTGTCAATTAGTAGTGCATACAATCAATAGAGGGTTAACATAAGAGAATTTCATAACTTAGTTTCAATAGTTGCTATGCAAGTAACGCAAACGGGGTCACTGGGAAATTTAAATAGGGCACGACCTAGGTATATCGATTTACGTGCCCGGGAGTAATAGCTAGGTCTCAACTAAAATTAGATAAATATCACTTTCAGGTCAGGCGAGATTCCTGTTTCATGTTTAGTAAACAAACTTAGCAGATGTTTTTATCCAAAACTAGTCATAATAAAATAAAGTTCGTATCGATATCCATTTATTTTGGACGCCATTATTTCGATATTTTGAACATGATAAGACTGTATTAAATATGGCACCTGATATGATTTTATTAATTGAATACAAACATGAATATTAACTAAGAATTATTTGAGTAACATAAAACGTCTTGCGCAGTTACAAACCAAATCAAAAATAATTTATTCATCTAGGATGCATTTTAGCCGCTTATGAACGTCAAGGATTTTATCTTATTATTTTTTCCCTTCCGTCCAGTTTAGTATACAAATTCAATTTAGAATAACTGGCAAACTCAAAAGTATATTTTTTATAACAGTTTATACAAATTATGTATTTATAAGGTGCTTATGTCTAACACTAAATGAAAATCCCGTGCATGAACAACTATTGCCATGCACGTTTGTCGTATAAGTAATCGTTTAATGAGTAATAAATAGGCTATGCTCTAATAATATGTCTTGTTCTAGCTAAAAAAATTACGAAATTCCATACAAACTTTCATCGGCTATTTTATTTTACAATGATTGAAGAAATAGATATAAGAACTGAAAAGGCATGGAAATATAATACTATTGATCCTTCAAAGAAATAATGAGAAATTAAAAAGAAATATAACAAAATAAATGGATGCGAAATATGGGCACTTACAAAAGAAGAAGAAACCGAATTAAGAACTTGTCAAAGTACCATGGAAAGAAGTACAACAGGAAAGAGGAAAGGGATAAACCACCAAATCAATAGAAATAGAACTAAAACACAGGATATAAATGTCAAAACTAGACAGCTGAAATGGCGCTGGGTTGGATACACATTACGTAGAAAGGATAAATGGAGCAAGGTCACAACTACTCGGTACCCAAGACAAGGACAAAGGAAAAGAGTACGACTAAATAGAAGATGGGAAGATTAAATAGTTAAAACAGCAGGGAAACTATGGACCATAATCACTATAGAGGAGCTATTTACTTGCACGCAAGCAGACGACGAAGTACTATTCGATATAGTGAACAGCAGCAAATAAAATATTATGTCTAAATAAAGGGCTGGGGGCTAATAAAAAGGGTTTTAAGGGTAAAATAGTTACAAACTTTGAACGTTGCATTTATTTATAGTTAATCAATAGCCTAAAAATAATTTACAAGCTTCTAGCTTTAAAACTTACGATAGTTCCATGCAACCTTTCATCTGCCGTTTCAAACCTTTTTTTCTTTATTTATATTTAATCAACAGCCTAAAAATTAACTGTCAAGCCTCTACATTAAAAAATGACGATACTTCCATACAACTTTTCATCCCTTTTTTCGCATTAAAAAATATAGTGTCCTTTCTCAGGGTTTGACAATCTAAAAACCAAATTTCATTTAAATCGGTTCAGTAGTTTTGGCGTGAAAGCGAGACAAACAAGCGAAAGTTACTTCCACATTTATAATATTAGTAAGGATTAATTCCTTAATTGTTTTTGCTAATCTTTAAAATGGCTTAACCTATTTGGGTTTGGATTTCAGAAATGTATTTTGATAAGCTGTACTTAATAATTTGTAACCATTTTATTCCAAACATATTTGGACATAAAAAGTAATAGTTGTAACAAGTCATGGTATTGGGTAATAAAAATATTAATAAATCTTTCTAAAAATCTATTAAAATAAGATTGCATAAAATATTTGAACTTCAGACCTATCTGGAAGATTATTCGATGCACACATATAAAATTGTATCCAAATGAACTCTACAAAAACGAACTGTCAGTGTGGTTGACTCCCTGATATAATCACATGCCATACTGTTAGGATATCCAAAATATAAAAATTTCGCAATTTTAAGGATACTAATACTCGACTTGTCTTTATCCATTTACTTGGGGTTGGCGCAGTGGCATCTTTTACCACTGATCTCTATCTATCTGTCTTACTCTCTTTTTATGCACATTATTATCAATTTTTTCCACTTTTCCTCTTACTATTTAATGATGTATAAAGGATATGTATGTAAATGAATGTAATCATTTACATACATATTAAATACTTTATTTAAAACGTACTTCTCACTCACTGAAGCATGTATAGACGTTACATGCTCCTTCTAAAAAAATCTGATAATGTTTTCTATTCATGGTGCAACATTCATACTGGTCTATCATTCCTGGTTACACACATCAGTCTCAACACTTGTTTCTCTGTTACATCATTCATCCATCACCATCATCATCATCATTAAGTTTCCACATCATATTGGATTAGAAATACCATTTGTGTAAGGCGATTCTACAATGTGCATGGTAAAAGTTTCCGGAATACAGCCATTTAGGATGATCAGTATGGTATTTTAACTTCTAGCGATTTATATCATGAAGACATTCAGAAGCTGATATCAATCTGACACTGTCTATGATTTGCGGTAGAAATTGGGGTTTGGGGTTGCGCTAGCATCTTGAACAGGTTCAAATATGAATATCATATACCTTTATGGTTTATTTTAATTGTTCCAACAACTACTGATACCATTTCATGGTAGCAACACAGGAAGAGAAGAGACTGTGGAACCACATTATGCAACAAATTGTTTAATCTGTGGCATATTTCGACATACATTGCTCATTTTATATGAGCAATGTATGTGCACTGAATGTCTGTCTTTCTGTGAAAGATATATCTATTCCAAGTACCTCGAGATTTCGATTGGTATCAAGAATAATGTCTTGAAAAAAAAGAGAAAGTAAAACACTCAAAAATAAGTATGTGCAGTTATATGTTCTAGCAGTTGAATTGAACGAGATTCTTTTGCCCTAAACTAACTGGATAGAGTGAAGTTTCAATTTCAGACACAAGTTTGGTCACACACTCTATGTACATATATATAACTTGAGCCTGCGAAATAGCAGCATACTCTTATACATAAAAATTAGCATATGAATTTAAGGGAAACACTTTAAAATAGATTTGATGTAAAAATTGGTTTTTGTTGTACTTACAAGAAATAAAATTTCTTTTCCATTAAATTGTATAATAAAAAATATTTTATAGGAAACCTAATTAGTGAATACTGGCTTAAGAGTTTGTGAAAAACAAAAATGTTTAAATATACACAATATTTAAACATTTTTGTTCGCGTAAGTGTGTATATTACTTTAGATACTTTAATATACTCTGTCTTAAGGAGATGTGTGTTGTCAGCCATGACATTACTAATATGACTGTTATTGTTACACTACCCTCCATTGTCAAACATTATTTTTGACTTCCAATAAAGAAATATTATTGTTATATATATAGTATAAATATTCTGTAATCTGGAAATTATCTGGGCAGTGATGGTTTCTAGGTCACTATGGTGGATGGTTGTCAGACAATCTGAATTTCTTTATTCTAAGAAATGTGCAAATGTGTGTCTCTGGTTCAATGTACATTTATTGAGACTACATGTATAGACATTGATTTTGTAAAACTACGAAGTAACGATCATATCCCATACGGACTGAAGTTGCGAAAGTAAAATGTACCAATACTGTATTACAACAGAGCTAAACAAACATTTATTATATGATGGTGACTGATCTAGCTATGTATATTAAATATATGTGAGAACAAAATGGGGACTCACCATCATCTTCTCCAGCTCTATGTCTTTCCATTTGTCCATGGTAACTGATCGTACGAATGACAAGTGTACACCAAGGCTGCGGTGAACGCCAGAACATTCAAGGCAAATCCATACGCCGTAGGTAACGGACACCCATTGAGGATTCAACGTACCGCACTCGAAACATTTCTGCCAGGAAATTGACCATTCTTAAACAATATTCCATATCCATACGGAGCTTAACAGAATCGTAATATTACTTACATGATTATCATCTATAGTTCTGATCGAGTTCAGCTTACGGCGAGTCCGCGGCGAAGCCATTCCTGATACTGGCAAACGCGAAAAAATTTAAGAATTAATGAATTCCTAAAGGACTACACTCCCGAATATGAGGGCCTATCCAAAGAGAATGAAATAATATTATATATCGGAAACGACGAATGCGAATGATGATGGATGACTGAATTTTGAAACGTCACAATTACAAACGGGACATAACTTGACAATTAAAAACTGACAGTGACAATGACATTCTAAATTTATTGACCGACTTTTTTTATTTATTCTGCTTTACGGCTCTGGATATACATCCTTTTGAGCCATTATCAAACTACTTTAAGCAAATGTTGCCAACTACAAAACTATAAAAGATTTTTTTCTTAGACAAATTTTTATTTCCTTTTGTTCCGGCTTAGATTTGGTTTAATTTCAGTCTTACTAAAAATTGTTGTAAACCATATTCAATATATGGTTTACAACAATGTCATATTGAAACAAAATATTTGTCCACTATATTTCTGTTGACATTAAAACAATGGTAAAAGGATAAAGGGCATGATATTTTAGTCCTCCGGAATGGCAACGTATGTGTGGTATCAGTGACATCACATAATCATGTGCTGATGTGCGTAGCACTTCATATATATGTGACATTCGTTTGTTATTCCAACTACATGAGGTATGGGTGTATTGTACAGGGTTTCCCTTGAAAATCAGTTGAGTTGAGTTTGACTGATTATAATAATGTGTTTATTGTTTGTGTAGTTTACACAAGAATATGTAGATACTAGTAAACACTCATTCAGTACAAAATTTATGAGTACAATAGCATTGCACATACTCTCATTGGGAATCATTGTGCTTTATTCAACTCTAACATACCTATCCCTGGTGCCGTGAGTGGTTTAAATCATCTAAATGTAAGGTTCCGTTTTACCATTTTTATTCAGAACCCTAAAAATGGAACACAATCTTAAGAACACAGGGTATCTGACCATTATGGTTGTATTTCCCTCTGATTATAGTAAATCAATTTTAAGGCATTCACAATCAAGAACTAAAGCAATTCTTTTTGGGTTTTAGCCTAGCCTTACAAATAAAATCTACATTTTAACTTTTAAAGACGATATCATCCGTGTATACTTTAATGGTAGGTATATGTAATATATTGTTGCAGGCAAATTAATTAATAGATATAAAATATGATATGGAGTTATTTTTTCGATAAAACTATTGTAATTAAATAGTTTCATCTTGAGACTAATTGTAACTATAGGATTTAATTGGCCAGGTTTGTTTGAATTTAACAAGGAATCGAAGAACACCATTTCTAAATAAAACAAATGAATAATGAGTATGTTTATTAATTCGAATACAGAGTTGCCTAAATCTAATATGAAGAAAATACCCAGTAATTAGGTAAATGGATTAGGACAAAGTTATCCTTAAACTCACAACATCTAGTCAATAATCATGATTTCATATAATATCATGAATCAGATAATATCGAATAAGTAACTACCACTAAGCAGCGGCCTCAGCTCGTCTGCGTACGTATATCTATAAGAATGTAAGAATGAACTGTAATGAATTAATGAATCTTGTTGTTCATATTGCGCGCGGCAGAACACAACCATGTTATTTTGCATCTCCTGTTTTAACTCCTTTGTTCTCATTTTCATAACTTTCTCATTACAATACCTATTAGTCCAAATTACTAAAGGATAAAAACAGATCTTAGATTGAAGAATTTAACATTTTACGCATATTTCTAATATAATAATTTTAAATCTTTCAAATAATGGTCAATGTTATACAGATCTATTTTGTTGTAAAGTTTAATAAAAATTCATTCAGTAATAATGCGTGAAAGATGAACAAACATCCATCTAGACATTAATTCATCCATCCAAACATACATTCCTGTGTACTATATCAAGAAAAGTGCGATTAAATATGTAATATGATTGAATAAGAATGCATGTGCATCAGTTTTTTAATTATCTGATGGACGTTCACGTGGCAACTTCATGCCAGGTGGGCAAGAGGTAATAGCATTTATTACCATCTCCCTGAGTATCTCCACAGTCTCATACTTTGGAAGCAACAGCAGGTTGAAGCAAACAAAGGAGGTGGGCAGACGAGTGAGGTCGTCCCCGGTCTGCAATATGGTCAAGTTGAAATTGCTGAACTCATGGCAGGGAATACGGTAATAGCCGGTCATGAAATGCAGAAGCTTTCTCTTCAGGTCATAATCCATATCGTGGGCCAAGCTCCAGAAGTCTCTGATCAATGGCGAGTCGGCCGAATACCCGCCATCGTATGAAGTACCCCTCTGCAGTACGGTAAAGTCGATCAACTGCAAGTACACGAGTTACATTTACTTAGAGCACATAAAAGTATTTCAAATAAATTTTGTTTATAACTTTTTGATAGAACCCCATTATATTCGTAGCTACCGATATAATTAAACGTTCAAAATATATTCTTTTCTCGAACTACTATTCATATAGTATCAGTTCTCTTAGAACAACGTAATGTTCATACATTACGTTGTTCTAAGAGCAGTGATTTCCAATAGTCTATATTTTACCCGTATTCATTATTCAAAATATCTCGAAATTTAGTCTATCACCATTTTACGATTGAATGTGAAGATAAAATTGTCTGTCTGTATTTAACTACAAAATAGCAACCACAGTTGTAAAACAGCTAGTAGGTATTATTACTTAAATAGTAAGAATAATTTTCAAAAGGATTACCACCCAAGGACATGACTTACCACGGCTGTCACATGACTGGACATTTTAGTGAGCACATAAAAAACCTGTAATTAGAAAGCCTGACTAGCGTAGGTAGTAAGTTATAATGGATATCCCAAACACCAATACAGTTATTTTGCTATACTGAAATACCATTTTATACTATGAGTAATACAGACCTTGAATCCACACATAAAAATCTCCAGTTCCTTAGGTCTGAACATTTTCCACAACGAACTTTTATGCGTTGCCACAACAAATCCGCCGTGGAGGGCTTGGAATTGTTTCTGGACTGACACGTTCAACAGAAAGTCGGCATACAAGTCCACAAACTCCTACAAATAAATAACACAGTGTGTATTTTATATATGTACAAGCGTATCGTCTGTTTTCCTATGCTGCTCTGATTTTTATTCACTGTAAAAATATTGTAAGTATTTTCTGGGAACTATTCTTTAATAGTTTTAGAGGATTTATTTATTGGGATGTTGTATAGGTTTAGTAATTAGAGTACAACAACTATATAGGTACATATTAAGTTATTCAGTTACTCACTGATGTTACATTACTGGGATATAAATGTAATAATAGATGCAAGAGAAGTTATGTAAAATATTTAGCCATTCCTTGATTGCATGGATGATGATTAGCAATTTAGGATTTCTTGTATTGCGTGTATGGGGTAGTATCATAGTGTACAATCGCTGGCAATTGGCTATTTGACAGTTGTAGAAATAAAATATGAAAACTAGTTTTTAGTAAACCGTAATCATACAATATGTTTTTTACATTAAAAAACCTTATTAATATTTTATTTTTGGAAAATATATCTGAGTTTTTTTATCTGTGGTTGACATGGAGCGGCCATGATTGATCATCGTATGACGTCTTAATTCAATAAACAAAACGTTAAGTAATCTCATGTCATTTGTTTTATAGTTCGTTGAGAAAATTCACTCAAATATTTCAATTTGAGTTGTCTAAAGTTTCACGGAATGGAGTTAGGCTATATTAAAACGGATAATGCAAATCTTCCCAGAATAGATTCGTTTATGATTTTTGTTCTGCCGAGTTTATTGTTTAATGTTTATTTTACCAATAGAACCAATTATACTATATTGGATGTAATTTTCCATATCATTAGGTAGTTATAAAGAAAAACAAAGTGTCATTAGGTAGAAAATAGGTTTGTTTATTCTATAGTTTAAGAAGTTAGGTTCGGTTTCATTTATTTTTGGAAAATCAAACATATTGATTTTTTAATACTTACTTTGATGTAAGTATTAAAAATTCACATAGGAATATCGCAGACATATCAGACGTAAGCTGTGAGTCTCAGCGTGTCAATTGTAACCATTGCTTTTGCAATTTGTTGGGATATTGCAACAATTTGTTGCGATATTTAATTGTCGTACTTCGACACATAAGCACGGCATACGTTTTGTAGCTTACCACTTTCACAATTCCAATAATATCTGTATACATACCACTCATAATAGTTAGAGCGCCGTATTAGCCTTGTTTCGTTTATTGAAATATGACGTTATAACTCGGAAATGTCACGTGACATAGTGTTTTAGCGCGAATTTCAAACCAAGAGAAACAAAATTATTTTTCTCTATGAAATAAAGCTTATTTTGAAAATTAGATAATTGTAGGGGGTTTTAAATAAATCTACAAAAATTATAGAATATATTTCAGAAAATTGTCAAGTAGCCAATTATAAATTACTGCAATTGGGTAGTTGTAGTAATGTGTAATTGCTTCTCATCAACTGTTTGAGTGTCAACTTTTAAGTTACAAAAGTCTTTATTAGTGCTTATTTGGTCTTTAGTTGACATATGATTGTAACGTTTCAAACATTCAATGTATCTTTATCGTATTAGCATTTTAGCTGAATTAAACCAATATTTTCTTATATCGTAGATATAACGTTTTGTTTCAATAAGTGTCGAGTGTGGTCAGTCAAGGTACGTGAACAATTTACGTACCTTTTTGTTTGCTTGTGTCACAAAAATGCTGTCACCATTTTCTTTCAGATCATATAATATATTATTACGTTGGGCATCTTGATAGCATATGCGGAAGGTTTGGAAGTACACATTTTGCAAATCATCGCCAGTGTACTCCAACATATTTTGGAGGCCGCGGTACAAGGTCTAAAACAACAGTAATGTATATTTTCTCGCACAAACACACATTTCAGTGTAATACAAAGCTTGTATCGGCAATTGTTACCTCAACGTTGAACCTCTATCCCTAATATAACTTCGGAGATAATGAACTTTCAGTAGAAAGTTCTGCCTAAAGAGGAATCCAGAAGGGGATTTGTCGTTTTTATGATTAGAAACCATTAGAAAGCAGTTTTAATTTATTTAGAGCACTTTATTGCACTAACATTGAAAGGATATGAACAATGAACAAAACATTGCATAAATTTACATATACCTACCTACATATAAGTTATATACAATTTATTAAAGTATTTATGATCTATCGTATCATCTCAAACGATTAAATACGTAGAATTGAGTTTTGCAATATACTTACTGGATTCCAATCTTCTAAATCTTTGTACTGTCCCTTCCTGCCCATTAGCTTTTTAAAAAAGACATCCGGAAAGTTTATCGAAACAAGTACCTTATTGTACATAGCCAGACCCATCAAGATGCCAATCAGTCTGTATTCAGCCATCTGGGAGTTTGAGTTAAACCTGAAATAGTATAACAATGTTTCAATTGATGTATTTATAGCATATTACAATTCTTAAGGCGTCATAACTTAGACCTCAAACTTAGTCCTCAAAAGATCTAATAATTATAATAAAAAATAGTCGATATATAAATCAATGTAACCTTATAAGATAAATTTATTATATTTAAATTAAAACAAATATTCATTAATAATTTAAAAGCTGTCCTCATGTCTGTGAAGCTTTTACCATTTTCCACAATTATCAATCAATCTCTTTAATTGTTGATACGGCACGGCTCAAACTTTACTCTTGATCTGCTTGATGTAACTGTCTTGGTCCTTCTATATTCGATGTCATTAGTTCATCGTGTCGTATCAATTGCATCCACCATCTATTTTCAATGTTAATTATTATCCGTTTCGTTTCTTTAGCTTTGCAGTCATTTCTTATTTTATTACTATTCTTTCCGTCCTTCTTCAAAACCACATTTTAAATACTTCCAATATTAATAAAATTCTACAATCCGTAGACTTATAATACATACTCGACGGCCTAATAAAGAAAGGCCTTTATAATTTATTTGTAAATATTTGACTCAACTGTCTAAGTCGAGTCAAATATTTACTTATCAATTTAATATAAACACTTACCACACAGTATTTGTGTCCGAGAAGTGAATAAAGTTTCCATTTGCAGGATTGAATATGTGGTCGATAATAGTTTGAAAGAATTCCTGAATTTTGCTCCTGCTACTTCCCTCACCGTCAATGAACACTGCTAACTTTTTCTTCAGATCAAAGGGACGGTTTTCTATCACTTTCTCGAGCTACAAAATTCCAATAGGTATACTCAGAAATGTACGAAATAGTTCATAAAACATATTTAAATAGAAAATACTAATACTTTTTGTTTTCTTATTGTACAATATTATATTTATGCATAATACAAAATAGTTTCTCATTTTTTGTTACAAAATACTTAATTTGAATAAAATACGTAATTCATATTGTTATATATAATATATGTATAATTGTTACTAATAGTAGGTAATAAGTCCTAAGAGATATTCTCTCATCTGTTATTTGATAATGGCAATATTTATCAATATGTTAGCTTCAGTTTTCGCATGGACACGCCAATGAGCTTTTATTCAGCTTCTATTCTAAATTTTGAATGAATCTTTGCATATTATAATTGATTGATGTAAAATTTTATGGTTTTAATGCCACAAATTTAATATCTAATATATCAAAGATACGATACATCGATGTGTGGATTATACATATATATATATACAGATAACAGATCAAAACCTAAATAAATTCGTTTTATAGTCAAATAAAGCAAAACGTTCATTAATTTCTAATGAGTTAACACACAGACAGATTGACAAATAGATTTTAAAATGCTGACTAGACGATCAATATCAATACGAATAGTTAGTTTTTACTATATAGTTAGTTATATAAAGGGTTCGAAGCTACGATCATGAGGAGAAATATTGTTTCAAATAGCTACACCGCCTAAGTCCTCGGAAATATGAAACACAGTATATATCTCATATCAGACAATATTTCCTCTTCTGTTTGCAAGAAATCTGTATCTAAAGGTGCATCAATAATAATGTAATAAGAATAAATATTAAACAAGTATAGAAACACTGACCTGCTTAATAGCGTCTTCGACGATATGCTCACTGCGCACCTTCAGCTTCAAATAAAATTTCGGCTTCTGCCCGCGGATCTTAGCCGCAATCTCCTCCGTGTTCATACGGAAATTGGGCTCGGCTTTCACCCTCAACGACTTGGTAGCCGGTGTCAGCATAAATGGGTATTTAAGGAACGGGGAATTCTTATCTGTTTACAGGCCATTTATTTATTAAGTAAACTTATATTACATTTTAACAAAACAGACACTTTGTAAAGAAATGTCTTAATCTGGTAGGGCACTAGAATGTATTTCCAAATGTGAGTCCAATTTGGAAATAAATCTTAAACTTTATAGGTACCAAGAAGTAAAATAACGTAAGCGACCATGTAATATTTAAAGATACATATTTGTGATGAGAACGTTTTTATAATAAATAATAGCATTTATGTAAAGGGATATTTAAGACACATAAATATGCACTTAAACAACGCCAAAGTTTATTATGGAATAAACTATTACATGAATCATTACGATGCGTAGACCTAATTATAATTTTGTTTTGAGGTATGCAATTTATATTAACTTAGTTATATACATATGTTTAAATCTATCATGACATTTTTAATAAATTAAATACTGTAATGGATAATTACTGTGACTGATACAATGCTATTGCTATTCTCCAAATACTGTAAATGACTTGGTAGAGTAAATTAAAACAATCCATGCTCGCTATACAGTTCAAACTTGCGGCGGCGTGACGGGCTTGGTCATTGTGTTCCCTCTAATATAGTTGAGTATAAGCCATCAGCTGGCTCATCCGTCATACTCGTGAACGGGTTGTGCTTGTGAGGACTGGTTTATTCGGGTTACGGCTGCTGATTAAATTATTTCTTTTTGACAAAAATGTAGTATCATATGCGGGTGGCATATACTATTTGAGTTTTGTCAAAAAAAAATAAAGAGAGAAAAATGACCGCTAGGTCACTGTATTCTCCTTTATTTAATTTAAATATAAATCTGTATTTTTGTAATCATGTACAAGCTCATTTGAAAATAATAAGAGCTAAATTTCTTGTCAGTTCTCCTTACGATCTTTTATTTCACTCTGAACTGACGGTAGACTTCACTTATCACAAGTATCTGTAATAGACCTACTGAAATAAAGATATTTTATATATATAAATAAAATATAATAAATATTAATGGAAACCATATAAAAGTAATAAGAATTTAGTTCCTTACCAGAAGTCACTTTAAATCTATTATTCTCATTAAAACCATCTACTTCGTCTTCATTATTCTGATTTTCATCGTCATCCTCCTCCTCTCCGTCATCATCTTCATCATCCTGATTATCCTCATCATCATCCTCGTCCTCATCCTCATCATCATCCGAATCAGAATCTTGTTTATCCCTAATTAATCTATTCAAATCCGCGTTGTAGAATTCCTCAAAAGCTATGTAGGGCTCATCAATGTCCAGCACATCTATGCCTAATTCAACAGCTGTGAGAAAAATACTTAATACAATAATAATATCTAATAAAAATAATTATCATATTGTATTACTAGCCGCTTTCTTTATAATTAATTATACGTAATACCAGCTTTCTACCTATAGCATAGTACGAGCAGTGTCGTCAAAATGAAATTTACAAAAATCTATTTAAATCATGTTATGAAACATATGTACCACTGCTTTTTGGTCTTATCAGTTGATAAGTTACTCAGAATTGCAACACATCAGCGACTTTTTTTATTACAGACAGGGACCGACTTTTCTCGAAAACAAGAACAAGCGAAATGGATATGCTAATCGTGGATGTTGCCAGACTCGTACTCCTACACTTATTTTAAGTGAGTTGTGTAATAAAAGAAGTTACCCAAATCATTGACTTTGTCCTGCTCCTCCGAAGCCTCAATCTTCATTATTAATACATAGTCAATATAATTACTTGGTGACACAGAATTGGTCAATGTCACGGCAGCTTCTTTTGGTTTCGGAATTCCTACATCACCAGCTAGTATACTCGCAAAGTACAAAATCTGTAAATATATTTAATTATAGATATGGACTGGACTTACGTGCTACTTATGAAGAAGGTTTAAATTAAAATAATTTACCATGCCTATAGAATAAATAAATTTTGAAGTTCTTAGACTCTCAAATAAAAATACTGTGAAATGTTTCTATAATAACTAATTAATCGCTATGAAATTTTATACATAGGACAAGGCAACTAATACCAACTTTTTACACTAGTCGGATTTTCTTTAAACAAGTTTGTTTTAGAATTACACATAACTGGATCGAAGATAGCATATAAATTTTATTGAATGTACATGCTAGATAACGAATCGTAATGAATTGTTAGAATAACGATAATAACGAATAAAATACCTTTATATTTACTATAACAACGTTATGTTATTATAGCGTGGACAGAGAGAGGACCTCTTAAATGATAAAATGTTTCATAAGTACTACCTGTAAAAGTATTTTTGGAAGCAACCTTACCCTCACAAATTCCATTGCTGCAATAAGGAAGTCATCGTTTTCAATAGTGTCACGATATTTCTCTTCCCTGGACCTCAGAGATATTACTTCTTGTAATGCCGCTAATATTTGTGGTATATACTTCTTCTCCTGCGCCCACATACGCACCAGACTTGCCTTTGCTATAAAGACCAAAAATTATTAAATTTCTATAAGCCAAGTATTTCTCAACTCTGCGATCACTTACATATTACAATTGATTTACCTAATAAGGTTCTGTTTCAATAAAGATTGAAAGTGATTCTTTAAAAAAATGTTAGAAGGTTACTTTTGCATCGGGACACTGCTCTTGATATACCTTATGTAAACAGCTTGTTAACATACCTTCATATGTTTGAAAGGTTCATAAGTTGATATTTATACTATTTAAAAGGAAAAATATATCACCTTTTACAGAGATATTTTCAACCGCATAGCATAGTGCTTCGAGGCCCATGCCCGCACAGAAGTAAAAGTAGTTGTATCTTTTATTCTTGTTGTTTACCTGTATGAATACAATAATACAATTTACTAGCGACTCAGTATTTATAGTTTTAAACCTTAGATTAAAAGTTAAACCTTAAACAAGCTTATTTCTAAATTTAGTTAGTTGGTGTCGTGTCTGTATTGTATTCTTTTTTTATTATGAAATTTGAGCACAGTCACACCTGATGTTAAGTGATAAACTGTATCACTTCCTGCTCCTGTTGTATAATAAATATAAATAGTTATAAAGTTTGTATTTGTTCAGCTATCTGAGTAGCTCGTAAACCGAATTTGAACCCAACACAAACCAACTTTCTTTCGATAGTACTCGAATACAGAACATGTCCTGGTATTATAGACCTAAAGCAACATTACAATCACAAAAACAATATAAGGTTATTATGTTTAGACTCTCTGAATCTGAAATAATTAAATAAACTGCAGTAATTACAACATAAATAAAACTTTCTACGAATATTGTAGTACACATATTAAAAATTGACGTGTAATACTTAAAAAAAGTTAGTGTAAAGTTCTCTTATATTAATAAACATACCCTGCTGTAGTATTCATAGACTTTACGATGAGATAGTGGATCGAAGATGTGCAGTGGTTCTTCTTCATCTTCGGTATTAGCTGGATCAGCGTCAAAACACGACATCTCAGTTTCTTTTTCTAAAAGGGAAAAAACTGTTGTACATATATAGCAAAATTTCGTATACCATCACGACTGTTATTCCATATGAGTGTTCAAAGGCATTGTTAATTTCCAATATCGTAATGCCGATATTTCACATTTTATTACAACCCTACGTTATAGGGAGACATACCATGTTTGTACCATACATTCGGATTCATTTTTGGTTTTAATATCGGATTTCCTTACCAGGTGAGTCATTTAATGGAACTTACCACACAAACACATTTTTGGTGTGAGCCAGAATTGATCTCATGATATTAGGTGTAAACTCGAATTAATAAATGATTTAGCTATTCTCAGACAAAATTTTCTATTTATTACATTTTTTAACTCGTTTAATTCTACTGTCTCATTCGTAGCATCGTCTTTCTTATCTGATTTGAAATTGTGTGTGTATTTATTTGCTAAGTGAGTTTATTAGATTTTTGGTAATAAAAATGCATATTCAGATAAAAAAATCGTTACATTAATGGAGTTTAAGAGGATATAATATTTAATTATATATTACATATATTTTAATATTGTTGTGTACCCCTAATATTCACATTACCAATACAAGCTTGTTTCCTGAAAATACATACCCAAAGAAGACTTTCTGATCATTTCGCTTATAGCATTCGCTAGAGTCTCCGGTATGATTGATCGAATGGCCTCAACACTCAATTTGCAAAATTCCTCCTCAGGCAGTATATTCCCAAGAGACTTAGAATCGCATTTTTCTTCCAGAGCTAAAATCATGAAGCATGATGTTTTATAGTTAAAAATTGTACATAGTAATCTGCGTGGGTTTTCTGTCTGAGCTATTGCTGCCACCAAAATGCTAGCTTTGTAATAAACTACGTTACGATTTGAGGAGATATGACTATGAAATGGTATGGTTTCATGGTATGGAGACATGACGCCTTATCAATGGTAATGCATGAGGGGTAACACGTACTCCATGTGTTTACCGATAAGTATGTCCGTGGAGCTCATTCCACGGTACCAAGGTATCAGAGCTAGGTAGTATTTGAATTACTCGGATTACAAATACGTAATTGAAAAACAAACACGTATTTGGTATTAGAATTTCGATTACTAAAAGTGTAATTAGTAATTTGTATTTTAAATACATGACCCTGAGTGATTTTCTAATTGAGTAGTATTAAAAATACTTATGGCTTTAAAATATCTACACTAATAATATATAGAGGTAAGGTTTGTATCTTTATTCGTTCAGGGTAATCTACTTATCTGAATTTAAAAAATCTTTAATTGTTAAAATAAGCTACGCTAAAGCACACTACGACCAATAGAAGCGGAACAGCAATGAAAAATGTGGCAAAAAATGAATAATTTTGAGTGCTTCCGCTGCGTGCACTTACTAAACTTTTAAAGTTATGTATGACGGAATATAATATATATATATATATAAATATATATAACGGGATTGTTCTCCTTTAAAAATTCCAAAAAAAGGTCCATGACAACATATTTCTGCCTTTTAAGGTTAACTCACTATAACCTTTTTTGTGGTGATCAAATTTCTTCTGATGTTAATCATTATCCGAATAAATATACGTTATTTATTAGAAGTAATTAATTTTGAACAAAACTGTTCTTTACATCATTTTATTTCAACGAACATTTTAGGAGATCCGAGATATCTTAGTTTTAATAAAATAAGTACCTTACTCACTGACATGTCAACGCAGTTTATAAAATCTCACAAAAACGAATAGCTCAATTGATATTGCATGGAGATAAAGTTTACTTTTTACAGCTGTTAGGGAGTTTCCTAGGCTCCTTAGGTGTCGCATTGCTCCATAATTAGAATACATAAGACTAACAAATTAATATGTCAAACAGTTTAAAAGTTAAACAAATATTGGGCCCGCGTGAAGACTGGGAAGGTTGCTAGTACAGTATAGTGCGGACCGCGAAAAGTAGTACCTCGGACCGTCAATAATGTTAAACGTATTAGTAATTAATGATTTTTTTAAAAAACAAATACGTTCGAGTATTACGGACGCCCACTTAGAAGACACACTTCGAAATTGCTGTTTCTCTAGAATACTAAACTATAAAGAACTGGCTCAAAACCGTTGGTTACTACTTTGTGGAGAAAATAGCTCTATAATATTCGTAAACAAAAAGGCGATAGACAAATATATTAACCTGACTAATGGAATCCCCATTACTAACAATCAGCATCATCCTCCACAGATGACAGGTTAAGCATGAAGTTAGTTCAGCTAACTTGTAACTACTCATTGTAGCAAATTTAGAAGGATGGTTTCCGGGGGCCCCGTGGATGGCGACCTAACATGCAAACGAGTATGTATTACATTTATAACAAATATGGCCACCAGTCTAACAATCCGTCTTTGCGACGCGCGACATATTTATACATATTAGATATTACTAAATACAGACCGCTAGCTTGCTTGATTCATTTCAGTTACATACAAAAAATAAACTGATAATAAATGTTATTATTACGAAGGTGATGTTGATCATGGTGAAATTAGCAAAGGATGATGATAGTGACTGTTAGTGATTATGAGGGGGATGTTATTAACCCTCATCACTGTCATCATCAGCGCCACCTTCAATATAATCAGTTTCACCTCTATCATTTTTTATGTAACAGGGATGGAAAATATGCTGACGGCCTAGGTGATGATCGTTTCTTAACATGAACCATGGACATCATTTCGTCATGTGCCGATCAGATATTCTACTACTATTAAGGTATCATGACTCTGTACACTCTGATTTCACTATCTTATGTTCACCCTTCAATCGAAACAAATAATAATGATTTTATTGCAAGCTACCTAGGTAGAGGTACGCTTAAAACAAAGTCTACCTGCGTCAAATTTAAATAAAGAATGACTAAATAAATAATCCTGGATAATTAACACAGCGCCATCCAGTCCCAGGGTACCTAGAGCTTGTGTTACGGGTACTAGACAACTGATATATCTAAATAGTTCGATTTTTTTTAAACACATACATAATATACGTAGGAAACACCCAGACCAATACAAACAATCATACTCGTGAATACCGAATGTTTGCACCGTACGAGGAATCGAACCAGCGACCATTAGGTGTGCCACCGAGGCCGTCTGGACATAGGTAATAAGAGTAGTAATTATGATTGACTAGTATTATGCTTTTTAATAGTCAATCATATTTAATTACAATCTAAATGTAGTTATTTATTCTGTGAAGTATTACACTGAATTTATAGATTTTTACATACTATTTACAACTTATAATGTAATCTATTTAACCTAACTAACATTTATTAACCTAAAACTTAACTTAAAACTAAAATATAATACTTGTGATTTGTATTTTAAATGAGTTTTATACTTAATGTGATCGATTTTTTGTAATTTTCTTTTTTTTATAGGGACTAAAATAATTATAACGTTTTTGCCATAAATCAAATACATTATGTTATTTTCCACGGTTTTAATGACTAAAACGGAGAAATAAAGTACTGTGGTAACGTTGCGTTGAAAACAATGACAATATTAGTAGTAATATAAAATGTAAAAGTCATGTTGCTGGTGACGAAATAAAAATCTTAGTTCTAATCAGCTTTTAATTTCAAAAACATATCATGTTATTTTTTTTTATAAATCGCGTTTAAGCATACGTCCCATCTCATGATAAACGGTTACCGAAACTTAAACGCTTGAAACACCAGGAATATCAAGCTTCGTAGATCCTTAAAAAATGTTAATATACCCTTCTTGAAAAAACATGTATTTTACTAGAGAAACTTCTGTAGATAGTTTATACCATCTTCTAAAGCCTCACCTTGACCATTTAGAATATCTGCAAGTGTGTTCTTGAAATTCGTGTAGTAAGTTTGTAGTGCAATGGTAGAACGTAGCTGTGGCATCATGTCTATCAATTGCTGAGAGCACGATCTGTGGTAAATTTGCTAGAACACACAAAGAAAGGGGAAATCTAGTCTCTAGTCCTCAGTGAAGTATTGCTTTGCTCTATTAAGTACTCCATGCTTTTTAGACGCCAGCCTGACTTTGTTTTCAATGTAACTACTTACTGTGCTCTTAGGAAAGGCGACCGTAGTTTTCCGGAAATAGCTATCTGTCTTGGTAGAGTTAAATGACTGAAATAAATTGCCGAGAAGAAGATAGAATTAAAGAGAATTATGAAAGTGCAAGAAGACGCGTATTTCTGAGACACTTGTCAGAAACACACTACTTTAACATATATCCCAGCTTGGTGTCTTGCATATTAGTCTTCGTTGATAATCCAGTTATGTCACAGTAACTGTCGCCACAAAGTACAAGGTACTTTATCAGGTCTACTAAAGGATGTTATCAGATTATCACCTATAGAGATAATAAGGGCGACTGAATGAAGTAGGTTCCGCCAGCTTTGACAAGATACTAATAACAACCACCAAACATCTCGTCAGAATAATGTCGTGCTAGTTGCTCCCCAACTTTGCTGAAGTCGATTATAGGCTTCAGCAATTATCTTCTAACAGAACAAGGACGGACTGTAAAGAACTTGACATTTCTCTATAAGGTGAATGATGCTATGTAGAATGACAAATGGAAACGAACATACCACAACTTGTATAAAATGAATTAAAAAATTAAATTAAATAAAAATTAGATTATACCCTTTTATGTTAATTCAAAGCATAAAAGCGATTGCAAGACAGTATCTAGACTTACCGTAATATTTGCGACCGTTGAATGATGGGAGTATTCTCATATCGTATGATATAAACGTAACATGTAGACAGGTACAATATCTTCACAGATTTCAAATGTTCTGCAGTCTATTTTTGTGAACTAATTTTAGAAGAAATACTTGCAGCAATGAACGACGAAAACGTTACATTTTTAACACAATAATAGTTTAATATAAATATGACTTATTGTTTTATTATAATAGGCAATAAATGTTTCGTATAATTATGCAAGAAATAATTTTATACATTATGTGCCCAGTTCCTTTTAGTCTCATAATTAAATAGGCATTGCCGTGTTTTGCATAATTATCCAAATATAGATGAGATAGGGTTTTGTAAAATGTAATTCTATTAAAGCCAAGCAAGTATTTCTCCCATCTCGGCAAGGCGACGATTGCTGATTGACTTTCCATCAGGAGAATCATGAAATTGTTTGCACTTCTAAGTAAATAAAAAGCTAAAATAAATATACTAGTATAAATACTTCTATTATATGGATACATACAGACATTTTATAATAGCGTTATTATTAATGATAATTAGTAAGGAAATAATGCTAGTTTAATTATTTACCATTGAAATAAAACGAAATTTTCTGCATTTACTTTTACATCTTATCTTTATTTGGTTACCCGTTAATTAAAAGTAATAGAAAATTCTGTATATATTTAAAAAATACATTCAATATCTATTTTAAATATACACAGAATTTCAAGATCTATTATTATTAAAAAAAACTTCGGTACGACTAAGGGACCTAGTCGCCTAATTTATACTTATTAAAACTTTAAACTATATCCTTAGTTTTACTTAGAAAATATACTTTATGAAAAATAATAAACTACATATACAAAAAATATACTTAATACCCAGAAATCTCATAAACAACTAAAGCATACAACTAATTCTGTCTAACATTAAGTTTAAACATTTTTATTCCGTTATTAAATAGTATTTTTTTTATAAAAAGTTAAATACTTATTTTTAATATTGTATCAACTCTCTGCCTTTTATTGCTCTTTACACAGTACAAAAAGAATAAATATCGGCATTATTTTCCAGTTTGTTTGGAGAAAAATAGATTTAAATATCTGGTACTTAGGAAAATAGGTAGTAATTGAAAATAATAGATAGTTTTATAGTACGGGGATAAAGTCTGCGTCCGGGAAGATAGGAACAATATGTAAAATAGCTGCACCAACAAGGTCCTCAACTGTAACTGTAAATAATTATATGTTACTTATATACATAATAATTAAAATACTTACAAAATTACATACAAAGTTATATTAAAGTATAATTACCCTTATAAATTGATATAATAATAATAAAAATATAACTAAAATATTAAACTAATTGGTATTTCTTTGGAATGGCATAGGTACGATTTAAGTTCTCTTGTCTTCTAAATAAAAATAAATCCACTCACATAATCTTGAAAATACCACTTGTCTAAAAGATTTTCAAACATGTATTATAAGTAGATATTAACAAAGAAAGATTTGGAGACCACTTTCTTACCATTATTAGAGTATATTATTGAAATTATGAAAAAAACTTACTTTATAATTATTTCTGCATTAGAAACTCCGCCCGCTTCCACATATTTATGTTTCCTCGCTCGATTGATCAAGTTGTCAAAATTAGATGGTGCGGTTTATATGTATCCAACAAGACATTATGGGATACGATTTAATCAGTGGTACTACTTGAGCAACCGAACCCTAGATGGCATGTAATGACACATCGTGGCCAATTTTGATGACTCTTTGCAATTGAGATGTTTTACTCCTGTATTTTTTGTCTTATACTAATGTCAGCAATATTATTACATTCTTTAGAAATATAGTTAAATTTGTTCTTACCATATTGTCCTTCTTCATGGGCACTTCCCTCCTGAGAAGACCCAGGCTTAGGAGATTTCATATCACCCTCGTCATCGTTCATTTCGTTATCATCATCATTTTTAATGGCGCCCTTTTTAGCTTTATTTCTGTAATATAAAATTATATGAAAAACATAATTCATGATTATGTTCTCAGACTATACATTTAAAAAAAGGTCACGTTAGGTGTTGTTGTCATTTCCCTTTTCCATTTCATGGGTTTTATCTAACAATGAAATGACAATTACAAATGACACTTAATTACAATTTACACTATAAGTTATAATTAAAAAATTAAGAACAGATACCTGGTGCCGGACTGAGATGAGCGGGCTTTAGCGGAACGTCTCGGAAGGTTACACATACGTGCTCTGCGATAAAACAGCATTAAAGCTTCGCCTGCAGCTTCATCGGGTGAAAAAGGTTTGCTCTAAAAACCGATATACTAGCTTAAAACTTGTAATATCCATATACCTAGGTAGACTTTTTTATGGATGATAATAGAATGTTGTACCCATCTGCGCTAACGGTTTACGCTGTCGGGTCACTATTGGAAGATGATAAAATGTCAGGTCGGTTAGCCCATCTTGGCAAACTTCAATTTACTCGATGGTTTACAGGGAGAATCGCGTGGAGGTTAACCTGACATGGCTCGTTGGTAGTAATGATAGTGGTAATTGCTAGTAAACGTTACTAATAATTCCTTCCTCCTCTAAGTAGACATTGTGGCCTTGCGTTTTAGTATACAGCGAACCGTCTTACTTCCGATGGTCGCGTTTACAATATTTTACACGACACAAATATTTGTATTCACGAGTAGGATTATTTGTATAGGTTTGGGTGTCTTATATGTATTATTGATTTATGCTTTAATGCACAATAAAATTTGTACTTAATGATGTAATGGCATTCTCAGTAGTTAACCTTAAGTACCTATACAGATAACGTTGTGAGGCAGTTCAGGGGAAAAAGGGTTAGCGAAAAAAAGTTACATGAATTACTATATATAAATTTGTTCTGGTTATGAATGTATTTAAAAAAATATGTATTTATAACAGTTAGCTAGTATCCATAACACAAGCTCAGGTTTACTTGTACAGCGCTGTATGAATTATCCTGAGACATTATCCTTACTAATATTATAAATACGAAAGAAACTCTGCCTGCCTGTCTGTCTGTCTCGCTTTCACGCCAAAACTACTGAACCGATTTCAATAAAATTTGGTACACAGATAGTCTAGACCCTGAGAAAGGACATAGGCTACTTTTTAATGCAAAAAAAAAGTGTTGTAAGGGGTTGAAATTGGGGATGAAAGATTGTATGGAAGAATCGTCATTTTTGAAGCTAGAAGCTTGAAACTTATTTTTGAGGCTGCTAATTAAATATAAATAAATATGACATACAAAGTTTTTAAAAATGTTACCCTTAAGGGGGTTAAATAAATTAGGGGATATTTTTTTTATGTAAATTCGTTATTATTGAAGATAGAACACTGACATTGACACTTATTTTCGAGGCTATTTATGAAATATAAATAAATATGACATACTAAGTTTGTAAAAATCTTACCCTTAGGGGGTAAAATAAAATAGGGGATGAAAGTTTTTTGTAAATTAGTCATTTTTGAAGCTAGAAACGGATTTTTAAGGCTGTTGATTGAATATAAATAAATAGGCCATCAAATTTTGTAAAAATGTTACCCTTAAGGAGGTAAAATAAAATAGGGGATGAAAGTTTATATGTAAATTCGACATTTTTGAAGCTAGATGCTTGACACTTATTTCTGAGGCTGTTGATTAAATATAAATAAATAGGGGATGAAAGTTTTTATGTATATTCGTCATTTTTGAAGCTAGAAGCTTGAAACTTATTTTTGAAGCTGTTGATTAAATATAAATAAATAGGTCATCAAAGTTTATAAAAATGTTACCCTTAAGAGGGTAAAATAAAATAGGGGATGAATATTTTTATGTAAATTCGTCATTTTTGAAGTTAGACGCTTGAAACTTATTTTTGAGGCTATTGATTAAATATAAATGAATATGACATTCAAAGTTTGTAAAAAATTGCCCTTAAGGGGTTAAAATAAATTAGGGGATGAAAGATATTAGGTAATATCGTCATTTTTGAAGCCAGATCTATTAAACTTTTTTCATTGGCTTTTTGAGTTACTGTTATGTATGGAAGTGTCGTCATTTTTGAAGATGAAACGATGAAACTTTTTCATTTGGCTTAGGTCATCAAATATGTTTTTCATTATTTGGTCAAGGTCACTGTTTTACGCAGACGATGTCGCGAGTACAGCTAGTTCTATTATAAATCATTATATTTATACTAGCTGTTACTCGCAAATTCATCCGCGTACTTTTTACCTTTCTTTAGTTTAAATATCAACTCAAATGAAATCAAAAATCTTTATTTTATGTAGGACGATGTAGTTATATATGAACGTCAAGTTTTTTGTATTATTATTTTTTCCCTATCGTCCAGTTTAGTAGTTGAAGTTGTACAAATTTAATTGAGAAGAACTGGTAAGAAACTCCACTGAATTTCTTTATATTTAATTGTTCAATTCATTGACATTACTTATATAGGTGTCTATGTTTAACATTAAATAAAAATCCCGTGCATGAACAACTATTACCATGCACGTGTTTGACACACGTGCATTATACGTTAAGTAATGAGTTAGTTTCTAAAATAAATGTAGCCAAGTCCTGTCAAAATCGGTCAAACAAAAGTACCCTATATAGTTTAATATGCATTTAGTGTAAAGCTAAATTACAAACAGATACTTCAATCATATTTAATTGTAAAGATATTTAAAATAAAAAAATGCAAGGTGAATATTAAAACTGTTGTAACTACACCTATTTTCGGTGTTTATATCATTAGCTAATTAATTCGCGACTTAAATTTTGATAAAATAAATAATTAAGACGATTTATAAAAACAACATGTGGCAACTTAGTACGAAACGAATAATATAAAAAAATATCGTCGACTAGTTGCCCCGTGCAACTGCATAACAATTACTTCACTTTCATGAGTATATTACGCCCAATTTATATAATATATTTTTAAAAGATAGCCTACATGTTATTCTGATATATAAACAATATTACTGTAGTTTTATCAAAATCTGTTAAGTAGTTTTTCCGTGAAAGAGTAATAAACATTCATTCATTCATCCATCCATACTCACCAACCATCGCGTTTGTAACATTAGTACGGTAAAGTCAAGGGAAGTGTGCAATAAGTACCTAGTTTAGTAGTACATGCGCTTTTCATATACATAAGGTCATCTATGTGTCTATATCTGCAGACGCAATCAATAGTGAGACTTAGGGGAAGGGGAGTTTAAACTGGACGCCATGCCTAAAGCGAACATCCGTTTCAAATACATCGCTTATAAATTTTATGCACTCTTTTGTATCATTGCCCGTACCTACCCTTTTAACGTTCAAATTTTGCATAAACAAGAAAAACGTGTTCAAAACAAGTATTTTGGCATTATTATGAAAAATAAAACGGAAACTATATACGTATAATGCACTTTTGATGTTGATATAAATAACGAGTTCTTGGAGAGTATATTCTCTAAAAAAGGCGAAACAGTAGCCGACTGTATTTAAAAAGCTATGATCTATCTTCACAATGAACCTCCATAAATGTATTTTAGCAAAGAATTAATTTAACTAGAACTATAAAGTATGTTTTTTTTAATCGTCTGATTAACATTTAACACTAAACAACTGTATTTATTGCATTCAAATGTTACTTAAATACTTAGGACAATAAATATTCGTACGCAAAATTTGTAAAAATCACGGGATCATACCACGTTTAAGCCCGTTATCATGGCGGTTAAAACACTGTCGAAATATCGGGCACTCAATAAAAATAAAACGTGATATAATCCCGTGAATTTTACTAATTATAGATACTGTTTAATAATGACCGCATCTAATTTAAAACAGTATATATTAAATATTCGGTTATTTTTTGACCTAGCAATAAAATATAATAATGTTTCTTTATTTGTTTTCAGCACGATATACTTCAAAAATTAACAGTCATTAAAATTATAATAATAAAAACGGGATATAGCCCTTATGCCATGCTCGCTTTAAACCCCGTCCCCCAAGCAAAGGGCAAAGTGAGCTTTCGACAGGGTATCCTATTTAGGTCTTATATTTTGCAGACATGAAAAATTTAAATTATTAAAAAAAAATTTGAATATTCATTATCGAAGTATAATTAATGTAGTTGCTAAAAGACATTACAGTTTTATTTTTCTTTGTATTATAATACCTACACTTTTCTTCTAAGTACAAACTTGTACCTATTCATAAGCACGTCTGTCTCAAATATATTTGCTGATAAAAAGCTTGTCTGTAATCTGTTCAAGTTTCAACGACGATCAAATTACTAAGTGTGCCAATGAAACACCTTTGCAGGTTTTAATTTCATTAGGTACTTGATAAGTTACATAAACGGGTAGGTTGACACACCCAACTGTGCTAACGTAGGTAGGAACATAATACAAAAATGTATGGATAATCATAAATATATCATCGTTTACTTAAACATAACGTTAAAACTGATGGACAAATGGTATAAGTTCGGTATAAGTATTCCGATTTACCATTTTTCTCTGAAAACGTAAGGTAAAAGTTAAAATATGAATAAGTAAGTACGTACATGATAGAATGCATCGCTAGACTTGCAATATTGATTTAAACAATTTTCCTTTCCACACCCATCTGTTAGCTGGTAGAAATATCTCTCGATTAATGTTTTAGCGATTCCTTGGAATTGCCTCTGCATAATTTTTGGGTTTTTAACGTATCTTCTTTATCTGCAATTAAGATATGTAATAAATTTGCGAACTGATGCCGCTCAGTGGCGGCGTTGAATGCGATGACACCTGCGCGATAGCGTTTCGCTCTTATTTTATCGACAGAAATGTTAACACAAAGACTCCCGACAGCGATGGTCTAGACTTGTACTTTCTAACTGGGGGTGCGTAATCAATAACTAGGTAGCTATAGTACCTAGTTAGAGTACCCGGATGGAGTTAACAACAAAGAATGGCTTGACTAAATGAATCAGCTATAATAATTAAGTTTATTTATTAAGTTCAAGCGTATTAATTATTAAATTATAATTATAAAGCAAATAAAAGTCTTAACTGATTTTTTTAGACTTAACAAAAGAAATTGTGGAAATCCCTGGTCTAAAGTATAGACATGATTTTTTTAGTATGGGCGGGGCCCTAATTAACTTACTATAATATGGGATTAGGGATACTAATAATAATATGGGATAGGGATTACTGTCCATAAAAAAAGATTTTAAAAAATATGTTAACTTACGGAATATGCAGACAAATATATTATATCGAATAAATGAAAAAAAAATTAAACATAGAACACTGTAATTTAACAAATACCCAATCTGATGACTTGATCTCAGAAACCACGTAAAAATAGGTTAAATCGACAACGTGACCAGCTCGTTGCACCACGGAAATCAATTTAAAACGCCATTTCGTGTGAGCCCAAAACGAAAATGGCGTCAGATATTCGATTCTGCGCGTTTAGAGCCTTTAGAGAAAAGACTTTAAAGGATATTGTAATTAAATATAATTAAGCTACATTAATGTTAAATCGCAAATGTGGAATTTATCTTTGCAATTTAAACAGTTTAAAATAGATAACTTACCTGCTCAACACAACTGATCCGGTGCGGAATAAAAATCAGCTCGCCTACTGCTCGATGGCGCTGGAAAATGAACTGCGCAGTAGCGATAAACTCTGTAATTATACTTACTGTAGTTTATACTTATAGTTTAGCAAGTTCAGCAGAGAGTGCATAGGTGGATAGCTAGATGCAATGCGATATGCATGTGAAACGATGTGCACCTACTAAGGCGTGGTAGTAAAAATGCATTTGCAGAGAAAATAAATTTATGCAACGAATATACCAATGTATTTTTCTTTAAAATATATGTTATATTTTAAAGGAAAACACATTAATTAAGACTGACTCTAATATTCCTATTTACATATTCTACCATACAATTACGTGATTGCTTTTCTGAATACTTTCTGTTGTATATTGTCAATTAAAAATATATTATTTACTTTTTAGGCAATTAATAATAAAAGACAGTTATTTTTTTCCATACATATTTTTAAGTTGGAAATTAATAAAGTAGATACCTACAATTACTTTAAGCAATTGGATTTTATTATAGATGCTGAAACACATTTCTTTGGACTACATTAATTTTAAATTTCGTCGAATCTACCTCCATGAATTCTACTCTGAAAATAATTATCGTTAGTTCTTATTGAATATGTCACGATAGATTTACAGCAGATTTTTTACTGGCCCTGTACCTTACACTCTTAAGGCAGATGGCGCATGTGTATCTAATCAAGGATATCGTAAAATGCTAATAGGAAACAAGACACAAGAACATCAGTGCAAGACAAGATTATTTAGTAATATGCCAAGTCCTGGTGACTTGGCATATTACTAAATAATTTCAGTCAGAGTGGTATTATTATACTGAATCCTCTTTTCATGTGGAGCAACTTGTGACCAACACAGTTAAATTGTAATATGTTCTTATATCATAACAACTCATTTTACGTAACATTAAGTTTGGGGATCAATACAACGAAAAATAAATATTTTTCTGCCATTCTGCAAAAGAAGGCCAAGAGAAAAGATATTCATTATCTATACACAGCAAAGAGGTGTTTATTTCCTTGTTTTAATACTAAACTTGGTAATGACTAATGGCAACACTAAAAGCTCAAGCCAAAAGAAGAAAAAGTAACAAAAACAATATTGCCATTATAGAAAAAATACTATCCATGATTACTGGGGATGGCAATTTCATTTATATAAATAAATAAGCAAAAAAGTAGGTATTAATAGAAATATAGCAATGTTACGTTGTAGATTTTTTGCGTACTTTTATTAAAATTGATTACAAAATACAAATAGGTTACATTTTTTAATTATAAGCGATCAAATTTCTAATAATCAACTAATCCATACAGATTGCCTTTCAAGCAAATTAATAAAACAAAGTGGTTGGTAGAAATAGTAGAAAAAAGTCTCCTATAACGGCAACACTGTAATAGACAGCAAAGCACTTCTTTTCTACTCTACACATACATACAAATACGTACAAGACAACTAGTAGCTACATACATTGTACATTAGAACCGATTACTTGATTTTATATGCAAGTTGGTGAATCAAATGTCGTTTTCGCTCGCCGCATAGCGGACGTCTATTGCCTAAAAGTAATCAAATCTGTTCAGATCGTCATTCGTGCATCAACAGTCGTGATTGCAAACAAACTTGCGAAGTCAGCGGTTACCGCGCAACCGAATCTACAGCGGCATCCGGCTGCCTGCCGACAGTTAGCGTAGACGCTTTATTATGAAATGATATAGTTTTGCATTGAATGACCACAAAATGAGTTCAAACAGCGTAGAAGCGGAATATATGGATATCGCCAACAAGAACGCATGGCCTATTATCTATCAGGTTGGTTTTGCGTAGGTGTGACTATCAGACAATATCTCATGCCACGCACTGTAATCCGTTGTATGTTATGAAAAAGTATGTCTAGAAAGTGATCATACTAGTCTAGATTTACTTTATCGTCACCTACTCTGTATTATTTTGCATGCATTGAAATTTGTATCTGATAGCCAGATTTACAATTATACATAAACAAACATGCTTGTTCTTTATGTTACATTGTTATCTATAAAATTATTATCCCAGAGCATAAAATTATTATTAACATTTTTTCTTTTATTGTGATGATGCATTACTTACTAGTGATGCAAATTTTTATAAGTTATAGTATTACCAGACTTTACAGACATACTGTTTAAATCTGTAATAACTGCTAATTCCTAGTAATATCTTTATATACTGTACATACTATTTGTTGTAACAATGTATCATCTATCACATATAAAATTATATATAATGATATATATAGTAGTAAGATAAATAAAGTGAACAATTTATAAATAGGTTTGCCTTGTATACAAAAAATTTGTACAGGTATCTTATGTTGAATATTATGTTATAAAAGTACCATAACATAATGATTCTGTGTATTATTTTACTTTATTTAATTTATGTTTATGGATTTTTGTTTATTATTACTTGTTTTCATATCCTATATCATTTGTAGCTAATTGAACACATTGAATTTAAAGTTTCTCTAGTGGTTCACTATAATATAGTATACCAATTATAAATGATAATCTTATGAACCTCAAAATTGTATTGTGCAATTTAATGTTCAAGATATTCAAATTACAGATTTACAGTCTCCTGGACTAGCATGTAAACACTAATACTATGTCACAAGAATACCCCATTGAAGTAACATTGTAGTATGTCAATAATGTGACTGTGACAAAGTGCTAACTTGTTTACATAGTAGTGCATTGTTACATTATAACTTGCTTATTCATAAGAATGCCAAATGTCTTATTAAGAAGAACATATTGAACTTAATAGTTTTTATTTTACTAACTTAATTTGGAAGAAAGGGACAAATACTAATGGTAAAAACAAGTTTGTCATTAGTTCAGTTTTACAAGTATATCTATTTCTCGGTTAGCATAGCAAAATGTATGTTATGTTACAATGTAAATCAGTTCATAAACTTTTGTCAATAACCCTTAGTGGACCCTTTAATCTTCAAAGATATGATAGCTAAGAGGTGTGGAGGGCATTATTAGTAATGGGGATTAGTTCTAGGAATATCTGGTCTACCTCCATATAATTCATATCGAAACAATTGTGGTTAATGCCTGGTAAATATGTTTCAATGACTAACTGTCTGGTCAGTTTATCTTATCTTATGATCATCCTCATGCGCAATCTATCATCATTTACTGTATCCACCATATACTGTAGGGCAGAGGGTGCAACACCTTTCCAATATTATTATTTAAAAAAAAAAGATAATGGTACCATTTATGATGTTTATGACAAATTATAATTATAAATAATTATCATTTGACTGAAAGTCATATTTTTTAAACATATATCTGTTTAGTATAGCCATTTATAAAAGATTATTCTTTACAGAAAATTGGCCGGGAATGTCAAACTTATCCATTTACATGTACCGAAGCCAAGAAGCCGCAGAATAAACCTCTCAACCGCTACCGTGATGTTAGTCCTTATGATCACAGCCGTATCATCCTTAAACGCTGTGAGCGGGACTACATCAATGCTAATTTAGTTAAGGTAAGCTTCACTTCTAAGAATAATATTTTAGTACACCAAAAACTGTAAATCAAGCATTCAGATAATTGAGAATCTTAATAATTTTATTTATGAAGATCAGCATGCTCTCTGTTAATGGAGTGTGGGATAATTTCATCTATGAAGAAAGCACTTTCATAGATATTAATAAATGTAATCTACTAAAGATAATCTACCTTTCGCATATAAAGTATTTTATTGATAGATTGTTATATTTTTTTGGGATTAGGAGAAGTGGTCGTTATAAAGACAACAAAACATTTCTTTGTAACAAAAATGGCAAACTACATATCTGATAGTAAGTGAGCCACCTGATGAATGATATACATGAAGAGCGCCACGAACATCACGTTATCATGTGACGCCCGTGATTGATTGCTGGCGATTCAGGAGGACTTGTTTTTGTGCCTCTATATCCTACAATTTCACTGTCTTATCTTATGCTTCAACTAATGCACCTTACACAGCAAACTTGCTTTGAGAGTGAAATGGGTAAGATTCAAAGATTACATAGCTGATTTTTACAAAGGTTACTTATTTACTTTGAACAAATTATATTATTTTATTGATGTACATTTTAATTTGATTGTGTATACTGAAAGCCGGATAATTGAGTTTATCCGTATATTGCGTATACTGCGTGCGATATGTCAAATTTCACTAGGATCTCCAGCAATTTAATTGTGAAAATTAAATTAACAGATAGCCCAGACATGCTTTCATATAATATAAACCATACATCCCTTATTTCTCCTCTTTTAGATTATTTATGAATGACTTTGTTAAAAAAAAATAGACTATGTCTGTGATACCATATCAAATTTCATTAGAATTGATCAACAGTTTAGCCGTTTAGTAGACGCTTTTACATTTAGAATATTATTATCGATGGATAAGATTGTGCCCTTTATTATACTATCGGACTACAAAAAGACATGCATTTGTCAATTATTGTTTTGTCTCACGATAAAACAGTAATTCGGCTATCCTATTTATATGTTATAATTACTGTTATTAACTGATGATTTCTAAAACCATGCATATTATGTACATACGAATTAATTAGCTCCGTATTGCGCTGAAATCAAAATGTTTACTAATTACTGGAAACAATGCGCAGATAAATGCGCCTTAAAAAGTTTATGAATAAAAATAAAACTTTTTACTTCCTTTTCCTATCATATTATTTTCCCTGATATTGATATAAAATTAAGTACCCTTAAATTACTATTTCCTCTTAGGTGGATCGCTTTTAAGTCATTACAATTATTTAAAAAATAATGCTTATAATCTGTATAGATTAACATACCTCCTTACTTTAATATAGGGAGCATTAATTTAATGTGTAAAATCAAAGTATATTTTGCTGCCGTAAAATATAAGAGATACTTTTCAGTTACAATATTGAATTAATTATGTAGATTTATCGAAATGCAAGTTAATTATAAAAGCTAAATAACCAATAGGCTATTATTATTGATTGTCTATAAAAGTAGGTAGTAGACGACAGTCGAAAACAATTTTGGATACTACATACTTAGAGAAATTAAAATAAACTCATACATATATAACTAAGTAGAAATATCCAAATATTATGCACACAAATATATGTATGTGTGGTGATGATGACGTCAAATCAATCCTGTGTCATCGCGATGATATACCTACTATGACTTGGCACCAAACAGTAATAAGACTTATATATTAAATATACTTATATATATGTATATGTGTGTATTGTATTAAAATTTATTGTCGACATTCACTATCTACCCCGAAATACGTTTTGTTTAGTACCTATGGAACCGCGGTTGTTTAGGTTTAATACTCTTACCATTATCTTTTTCGCAGTTAACGATATATAATTATAACTAGATTCTCTATACGTAGGTCGTGGTAGATAGTATATATGGATAATCTTATTTATTTCCTTTCTGATCGACCCCTTATCTCGATCAAACGGCGATCCAAGTCACAATGGCCGAGTTTCGAATCCTTGACGATGCACTCTGAAGTCGTAGCCGTTATGCCTAAGTTAAACGTGTAATTTCATTCACTAACACATGTGTGTGTCGTCCCTAGGAACAACTTTCTTTTCGTATGTACTCGTCATGAAAGGGATCCTCCTCTATTGTCAGTGCAAGTAAGAGTCGGGTAATGGAACGTAATAACCGGGTGACGGGCAGCAATATCCGCTGTGAACAGACAATCAAACACTTAGGTTGTGCGAAGGAATTATTAGTAATGCAGAACATTTCCTTAGAAATAAAATTTTATACTCTTTAAATTTGTGACTCTGTAAACTGTTAGCCTCACTGTGTGATCCCATTTCGACCTTAAATCCTTCACTGAGATTACTACATAATAGAAATATGTAAACAATACTGCTTTTTCTAATACCTACTAATAGTAGTATAATAATACCTACTAATAGCAGTAGTACTATCGATTTAACAGTCAATGAAATAAAGTAAATAATTTTACGTGTTTTTGTATCAAAGTTCAAGTAGAGTTCAAAGTGAGCTCGTTTAGGACTCAGAACTCCGGCTAGATAAACACTACAGTTAGACCTAGAGACTGAATCCTCATTCTTACCATAATCTTTAACTTTTAATTTACTGTAGACATACTATTTATGAAAACGTCATCTGTGCGATATGCTCTAGCAATAAAGTTTTTATAACTCTAATACTAAATATAGTACGAGTAAATAAGAAACAAGTGCCAGTTAAGTTTCTTGGCAGTATTTTCCAAATGGACAAATTAACTACAGACAGACTAAAACGAATTGGGATAGTGGTAAAAATAAAATAAGTACAAAATATTACTTCACTAACACAATGTTACATTTAAAATAGTAACCCAGCATTTAATGTAAAGTATGAATATATATTGCAAAGATATTATTGATAACTCTGCATGGTAACAACAATCAAATCAAATTGTGTAGTACATTTAGATAATGTACCTACACAATATTGATTTGTGCGCGAGAAGCTAATATCATCTATTTTCGTCGCTCGAAGCTGAATAAGCTCATAGTATAAATTGTATCATTGGAAATTTATTTATTAATTTAACATTTTATGTCATAAATCAATAAAATTAACTTTATTCACGTAGCAGTAATACAAGCAATTATGATAATTCAATTTAATGAGTTTAGAATTTAGTTTTAACGTGACATTATATTTTGAACTGACGGTATACTTTGATCTTAGAAGATTGTCTTGGTAGTCTATTATATCGGTTTAACACACCGCTTTACATTCCAGTGTTCGCAGGTGCTATTATTCACACAATAGAGACATGTACCATGAGTATGATTGTTACTATTGGATTACGTATGAAAATGTATTTAAGTAATAATTATATCAATTGTCTAGCACTCAAATATAACACAAGCTCTGTTTAGCTTGAGACTAAATGGCGGTGTGTAAATTTTTCATGTCAATTATTTTTATTATTTCAATGACTAACAAGAAACTCAACTGTAATGATGTTGAACTTGATTACAAACATACATATTGAAGTTTAAAATAAAGAGTTTATTTACCGGCATATACTATTATATAATATACCTGTGCAATTAGTAATAAACCATCAAAATTGCAGAGAATCGGTGGACATCATTATATAGTGAAGTGAATTCCTATTTCTTTACTCTGTTAATAATAGCCGTGCTATTGCTATGGCTGTTTGAGCTCCTATTATTTATATAGCTATAAATAATAGACGCTCAAACAATATAATTCGATATTGCTTTGTTTGTTTTACAGATAATTAAATATCATTCCCTTTCCGAGAAAAGCGGACTAAGTATCATTAATATCCATTTATGCTTAGTGCTCGAAAAAGTGCGTAGGCAGTTCTCGGAACACACGTCTGAGAGCTTTACACGCGTCGGCGAAATTATGTTATCAATACTTTTAACCGACTTTATAAACATTGAATTTCTTGTTAGCATATTTATTGTGTATTTTTTTCACAAAACTAATCGAATGTTAATGATCTTTTTTGCTATTATCAGTGTTGCTGAGCGGTAGGGATTTTTTTTTAACAATTTCTTTATTGATCACGCTCCCTCTTGATTGAGGTATTAACTGTCTGACATGAAGCAGCAATACGTCCTTTATAAAAGACAATTTGTTTCTATATAAAAGACAATGCATATCGAATACGATCTCTAACATAAGAGCCATAACAACGTTCCTATTAGTAACGAGAAATATTTAGAAACTATATTTCTTTTTACAATAAGTAAGGTACTTAACACAGTCATATATGTTATCCTAATAAGTTCTGTATTTTAAAATAATAATATACAAAACTGTTATCCCAGCTGGGGAACTAACATTGGGCATATTGGAATTAATGTAGGTAGGTATTTTATTATCGATGTTTCCATCATAGAAGATGAGTTATAAAAAAATTATGTCGCGCTAAATTTGAACTTATAACTTTTGCGGTCTACGTTGGGTTTTTAAACCAGTAATAGCATAAATAAAAAGCGATAAATATTCAATTAAAAAGGATTTGTAGTTTTATAACAATATAGTATTTTTAAACAATTAATTTAACATATCTGTTCTATTTTGCTATGGAAATTTATGGACTCATATCATATAAATCGCCTTAGCGACATAAATAATAAATATGATGAGTGATACTGTTAACGCTCCGTTGCTATACGAAATTTCTCAATTTTAACAACATTCTTATATCTTTTTCCTGAAATTGAAATTGAAGTACTTCGTTAACTTAATTGGCAGATTTGTCTATTTATAAGCGTCTGTATATGAGAATTTAATATCAAATAACGATAAAATGAAATATATTTCATATTTGCTGTTTATTATTCTGAAATGTATGTAGGTATCATCTACCTAACAGATTAAAAACACATTTTACGATTAATGAAATAGAAAAAGTAGCACTTTCTAGTATTGGCGTAGATTGAATTAAAACCATATTGACTTTCACAATGAGAAGATAATTATGATTCAGCGGCACATTTCTTGTTAAAACAAATGCTTAAGCGAAGATTTTCTTAATGTAATGAAAAAATATTTTACATAGATTAATAATTTTTTGTCGCGAGTAAACCGTTTATCTAATACTAACTGTTGCCGGCGGTTTTGCACGCGAGGAGTCGTTAAAGTAATAATGTATCCTTAGCGGATGCTTATGTCATAAAAAATATCTATGTTCCAAATTTCATGTTTAAACTATTATTTCCACTTACTTTTGTTTTGGCTGTGCGTTAAAGTCCTTTACAATAAACAATTCTATAAATTTAGAAAGATTATTCTAATGTTTTGTTATGATAACATTATATGTTATATTTTTAAATAGCTGTGTATATATGCAGTACACGAGTATTTTATAAGAGACGCGAGATTTTTAATAAAATACAATGTAATCAAAATTTTGCAGTTAGCTATTGATTATCCTGATTCGTTCTGCCAAACATAGTCACAGTTTATTATTACATCCTGTTCGCGATATAATGCATCTACCTACATATGTATAGTTTGTATCAGTCTTAGGAGAAGAAATGACACAAGCGCGCGTTATTTGAGATATACAAAATTAATAAAAATAAGTTTTATTAGTAATTAGAATGACAAATATATTGATTAGAAGTGGCAACCGACGCCTATATACGGGAACATAATCGCGAATATAACATAATATGATAACTTAGGACAGTTCGCAGCCCCATCTAGTTCTAGGCAGCTCATACGAATACATAGATGTACTTTTGCTATAAATATAAACATAATAGTTGTAGGAAACACCAAATTCTATATAAACAATCATACTCATGAAAACAACTCATTTCACTACCGTAATTCATCCTTCAAACCAAAAACGGCCTATAATCAATCTGCTTCGCGACATATATAGGTAAGACACCTATCTTAGGGTACCTGTGACCATGACCGTACAATACATTGTTTCATACAAAGTAGTCTGCAATACTATGCAGACTATTTTTTTATGAAGTATGGTCATGCCTGTATTCGTAAAAATGTCTAAATTTCATTTTTTTTTAATTATGCTTTTGCTGGAAATTTCTATACGAGTAATCAACATACAATATTGCAATACAAGTTAAAGTTAGTGGTTGGGTTGGATGCCAAGTTGGTGTATAGGGAGTGAACTTCAGATCTCACCCAGGTGCCAAATCGTTTGAGAAATACAATTTCTATTCTTTGTATGCTATTAGAAAGCTGCCACTATGTGCTTGCGACACTTATTCGTACTTTAATTACGGCAATACATGTCACTTTTCAGATAAAGATATTGTTAAAATTATTATTGCCGGTAATATGAAGCTGTTGCTATTCTAACTTCGTGTTTACATTACAAAACAATTGTTATGTCACTTGTTGTTTTGAATTATTAGATTATTAGTTTATATGCTAGAAAATTAATTAATTTAATTTGTACGTATAATTAAGATAAAACGTTATATTTTAAGACGGTGGTAGTTTCATATATGCAAAGTTAAAATTAAATGTACTCAGCGAAATATTAAAGTGCTGTCCTCATAAGGACATCGTCATTAACACTACTGCTGACTACCCTATCTGAGGTAACAATCATGACGATATATTATTATTATTATATAACTGATACTTTTCTTTCAACATTACATTACATTAATTTGCATGATTATGCAGTAAGGTGAGGGGAAGGGGCTTCTTAGTAATTGGAACTAGTAATCTCCATTGCTAGCAATGTACCATGTTAGGTCGACCTTCACGCTGTTCCTCCTGGAAACCATCGTGATAAATTCCTAGTGAATTTGTCACGATGGGGTAACTGACCTGACCTCATATTCATCTTACCATACTTCACTGGTGCCCCGCCAGCGTAAACAGTTAACGCAGGCAGGTGCACCATTTCATTATCATCCACAATAATAAAGAACTCAGTAAGGTGTGAAATAACTCTATGTAATTTATATACCAACCGACTAATATTACATATCTCATTAGATGGAGAAGGCCAATCGTAAGTATATACTTACGCAAGGGCCTTTGGCATTCACCGTGAGCCACTTCTGGTTAATGGTATGGGAGCAGAACAGTCGCGCCGTATTGATGCTGAACAAGATCATCGAGAAGAACGAGATAAAATGCCACTGGTATTGGCCGCATGGTGTCGGCGAGAAGCAGAAGATGGTGTTGAACGATGTGAAGTTAACAGTGGAACAAATAAGTGAGGAGGACTGCAATTACTACTCCACGAGGGTGTTCAAGTGAGTCACTAATGGTTAATGATCTTCATTACTGCCGACTTCATAAAAGGGGCAGTTTCTCAATACATCTGTATTTTTTATCAGTACCTAACCTCATAACTACATGAACCGCTTCTGTCGTGTCCAATTTGATCAAGTTCGAACTAGTAATTTTCGAGTTATCCATTATATATTTTTTTGTGGCCTGAAAATAGTGTTTTTAATGACAGACCGAAACTAAAACCTAATGAAGGCAATACATTATACATTTACACATTAAATAGTGTACGACGATATCAATTTGCCTAAAGAAACAAAATCTGAAATAAATTGTTCTATTAAAAATAAGAATTATAATAATGAAATATAAAATATGAGTTATTTTTAGAAATTTACATTATAAATGGATCTATTTAATGTAGTATATATGTATTTTAGAAAAGGGGTTTGGTTGCAGTTATAGTTTAACTCCAAAATATGGCTTATAGCTGTATTTATGACGAAAACAAAAAGTTCCGTCTTAATAAGTGTTGATTTTTTATAATCTGTCTGTGGACTACATTCAAATCGAGACGATTTGATACGTAGTAATATTTCAACGTTATTACAACGTGCGTAGCGCATCATAACAAAAGGGTGGGCAACAACCGAGTGTGATCTCTGAAATTGCATGTAATTGGCGAACTGACTCACAATAGGTTGGTGTATTAGCCGTTTATCCAGCTACAACAGAATCATATATCCATCATTCAGTTTATATACCTGCTTTGCTCATGATACGTGCAAAGCAAGTAACCTAGTTTTTAATGTATGATATTGGAATGGTGCACCCGCCTGCGCTAACTTTTTACGCTGGCGGGTCACCAGTAGAGATCCACATGAAATCAGGTCAGTTAGCCTCATCGTGACGAATTCACCAGGAATGTATTCTGATGGTTTCCTGGGGGAAGCTCGTAGACGTCAAACTGGTACATTGCCAGCAATGGGGTCATTAGTCCACATTACTAATAATCCCCTTCCATCCAATACTAACCCAGTTGAGCCCGTGAGTTCATACACCTGTTATTCAGAATAATAAGTTATTTACCTATAATTTTTTTATCTGTAAACTGAATGGAATAAAACAAATACGAACTTTTAAGTATGGCCTACCGCAATACATTTGTCTAAACCGCACTTAAATCAGTAAAGTTGTGTCTCAGAGGAGCGCGCATAAACATGACAACCAAAACAAAAATCTAAGTCTTTGTTTCCATTTCTAGATTAGTTATTTTGTACATTATCTGATGTAAATATATTTTTTGTAATAATTTAGAATATGTGAATTCTATCTAGAATCTTCGACATGGAAAGTTCAGAGAGCCGGGAAGTAATCCAGTTCCACTACACTACGTGGCCAGATTTCGGAGTGCCCACATCACCGCTGGCGTTCCTCGAGTTTCTCAACAAAGTTCGTTCATCGGGTGCTCTGAGTGAAGATGTTGGACCTGCTGTTGTCCACTGCAGTGCCGGCATAGGCCGTTCTGGAACTTTCTGTTTGGTTGACTCTTGCCTGGTGATTGTAAGTATAAACTGGAAATAAAATATGGGTTTGATTTAATATATATAGTTATCTTGAAAGTAAAAAGCAGTTATCGAAGTGCTATATGCTTGAGGAAACTTAGATTTATCTGTAATTATATAAAATATTAATAATAATGAACCAATGAATGTCTAATAAAAATATGAATAACATATGACGTGTTACACGGAGGAATGAGGATCGTGTTTTAAGGAAAGTGGATGGATGGAAAGGGAGAGGACACTCTAAAAAGATATGGATGAATTGTGTGAACTATGATTTGAATTAAAGAGTAGTATGCTGTGGTAGTGGGAGAGTGGGAGAGATGTGGTAGTGGGAGAGAATGACATACTGTGCCGACCCCAAATAATGAGATAAAGGCAAGCCAATGATGATAATTACTACGTCATTTCTATCTGTTTAGATTGAAAAGGAGGGTCTCGATAGCGTCAATATTCAGCAGATACTGTTGGAGATGCGTAAAGATAGAATGGGCCTGATCCAAACACCTGATCAGCTGCGGTTCTCCTATCAGGCTATTATCGAAGGCGCCAAGAGGCTCGATCCTAATTGGGTGAGTATACACATATTGAGCCGTTCAATTATTACGTAAGCACTATTTCTTTGCTTATTTTGGATTACATGGATGGAGGGGGTGAGAGCTTTGTTTACTTTTGCTGACAAGGGGAATGGGGGGGTAAATATTTGTAATGAATCTGCTTACGTAATACTTGAATGGCCCCTATTGCTATTAGACGCACATGGCTCTATTTAAAAGTATTAAAAATTTACACTCTAATATCAATACTACAATGTATATAATTGTTTAAATACTTTTAATTTACACAAAATGGCACACCAGATTCATTGTTCTTATCTCGTTCTCGTAATCTGTAACTGCAAAACCTATACTACTAACAGTAGTAGTATGCAATACAGACAAACAACAATTTAGTACACATACAGATTTGTACTAAATTGTTGTTTGTCTGTATTGTTAATGTTTTAATATGCTAATTTCCTATTCTTTTTTAACTTAATTTATTTACATAGGATAATTTTCCTATGTAAATAAATTAAGTTAAAAAGAATATGAAATTTTCCCGTTTTGCCTGTTATCATCTGCAGTATTATCAATTACTACAGATTTTCATTTTATAATATAATGGCTACTCGCCCCGGCTTCCATCCTCTTAAACTTTACTCTTGAATCACTCTATCTATTAAAAAAACACTTCCTTGAAAAAAACCTTCCTTCCTAAAAAAAAACTCCCTTGTGTAGTTTTAATGATTTAAGCATACATAGGGACGGACAGACAACGACAGCGACTTTGTTTTATACTATCTAATAATGACAATACATACGTAGTTTCTTAATTTTTCGTATATATACACAATTCATTTTTTATACATTGTTTTGGAATGGTGCAATCTCAAGGCATTGCACTAGTGTGGTAAGATGAAATTTACCACAATGTGTCTTTGGAGCACCATATGATGATCGGCCTAAAATAGTACATTATAAGCAATGGACCATCTAATTTATAACCAATTACTCACACAATTATATTATACTAAATATATACTGCAAATATGACATTACTACTTTGTAACATAAACAGAAAGAAGAACAAAAGATGGAGGAGAGTATATATTCTTCGGTAGCAGAAGAAAACGAGGAAGAAGCTCCCCCACCACCGCCGCCCCGGGCTGAGAGCCTCACCCGAGCACCAGCGCGACCTTTGCCAGCCATTCCCACTAGCACATCACTCGGTCAGTACTGCTCAGTCAGTTGTAATTAATTTAAAAAATATTTTTCCCTATAATGTTCATTCAGCATATAAAAAGCATGTGTTAAATGGTTGTTCACAAGATGATTAAACCGCTTTTAATGTAATTGAGCTTGCGGTATAGACCACCGCTTTACTTCCGATGTTCGCGGGTTCGATTCCTCGCACAGACTGTAAATATTTGTCTTCATGAGTATGAATATTTGTATCGGCCTAGGTGTATTCTACGTATATTATGTAGATAAAATATACATATAATTAATCTATGTATTTATATCCATTGTCTAGTAATTATAACTAAACTCTACTTACCGTGGTACTAGATGGCGCTGTGTTAATTGTCCAGGGTTATTAATTTATTTAGCTAAATGTCTGATCTAATTTGTTCCAATTTGGAAGATATGGTATTTTTTATCAATGTGTATAAAAAAGACACTAAAGGTTTTGATGGGAGGTTAAACACGCGTCAATTCGTTGATTTTTCTCGTGGCTTTCAGAATTGTTAATAGTCATTTTTTATGTCTCTCATCACTAAACTATATCTTTTAACAGTATTCTTCTGGATTTCCAATTACATTTTGAGGAGAGCTACGAAGTTCCTTATCTGTTTAATGTAAATTAATTTTAAGTTAATTTATAACGTATTTTGTGTGTATCCACACTCAATTCATTCATAATTTGTAACGAATATTATTGTATGTGTTCCATACGATTTTAGTTTCGATATTATTCATATGTAGAAATCCGCTACAAATTTGAAATACCCGTCGACTAATGGACGTGACACGTCCGTCGGTAATTTCTTTCGTTGTATTATGATCATTATCGGTATGTCACGATAGTGACGGTCACAGTTATGGGGGGAAAGCGCATCAACGCCGCTGACAAATATTCCTTAATGGCATGTCATGTTTTACTACGTAACAGCGTGTTGTGGCCAATAGTGATAAATATCAAATCGAAATAAATTCTTAGTATATTTTTAATATGTAGTATTTATGAATAATGTTATGGCAAATAAAGGTATTTACCTCTCTCGACGTTTCGACTAGGATGTACTAGCCGTGGTCACGAGGTGACCATGCCTAATAAATAATGTATATTAAACACGAACCTGACACGTGCAAAGTTGTCTGCGTTTTTCATTTTCTCTCCTCTTCTATTAGTTATAGAATGTTATAGGATATTGTATCTTCAAGGAATTGTAATTTTTAGATCAACATGTAAGTAAGGTAGTAAGTATGATTATAACAGTGAAAAAATATTTCAATTCGAACAATTAATTCCTATGATATGCCTATTCAACCAAATCAACAAAAAACTTCTGATTTATAACATTAGTATATATGTTTATAAAATCTAATCGAAGGAATGTTCAATATTTTACAGAAGATATTTTATAGTAGCTTATGTAGAATCATGAAAATGTATTATATAAATAAAAATCAATAGCCGAATATCATCAGTACTTCAGAACGGCTATGCGCATTTCGCTCATTCTTTATGCTTGTGTTAATAATTGTCACGGCAAGGTTTGTATGAATAAGAGATAAGTAAAAAATTTGAGATATTAAATGTCCATATAAAAGTCATATCCATATCAAGTCGTAGTCATAATGTAAAGAAACATTTGTCATCAGTTCCTTCACTAGTACACCCTTGCGAAGACTGAGTGGGCAGCTAGTAGTTACGATTCTATTTTAAGCATAATGTCTTCCCACACTGCATAAAATGAATCAATCGAATGTATTAAAGGAATTGAACCAATCTAAGCCAATGACTGAGTGAGTAGAGGATGTGGATAAGTAATAAACTACCACTTGTAAAGGACGAGAGGCGGTTTTGATTTTCTGTCGTCAATAAAATTGATGCCAATTCATATTCGCTGTGTATATAGAGGGGCGTTTACAATAACAGTGCACAGTAAAATACGATCCATTTCTTTTCATTGTGTTATTGCACAGAAATTATTGAGAGATAGAAATTATTGCAGTCCCTTATAAACATTATTTAATAATGGACCAGATGAAAGGAATATATAAATATTGCCGTATATATAATGAGTTTGCCGTAATGTTTTCAGGTAACCTGAACTACACTGCTCAGGAGTCGTCCAGCTCGGATGAATGCCCACCGACGCCTCCCGCCCGGGAGTCCTCTTCAGCATCCTCCTCTCAAGCTTCCAGTGCTGATGACGAGGACGATGAACCGCCCCCAGCACCTGTTGACAGGTAAAATTTAATATAATATGAATTTCAGGCAGTTCAATATAATATGAATTTTAATTTCAATGCCTATCCATATATTAAAAAAAAAATTTTTTTATCCTTATTTATTTCATAATTGGCCTTCATTCGTACCATATTGTTAGAAACAAAAGCGGACCCTAAACGAAAAATATATTAAATATTAAAAGTATATAAAAAGGGTAAATTAAAGACATAGATTAATGAGATAATAAGAATTACTTTTACAGATTTTTTAAAATATGCACATAGAAAGAGATGGAAGCTGACTGAATATGCATATATAAATATTTTTATTAAGTTAAAAATGAAGGAGACAAGATTTAATTATTTCTTATTAAAGAGTGGTCTGATTCTAAAAATCAAAACAATACAACTCCCAAAACTACCTTTTGTTAGCTTCAATAATTGACGTATGTTTTTTCGAGAATTACATCCCATTATTGTTTTTACTATTACTTTACTCTTTAGTATATACAATATAATAATAAGGGTCCAGTACAGGAACAGTAGGTTTAGCTAACAATGGAGATACTGTTATGGTGCATATTTGATTATTATACAATATTGATAACTATAAATTTTATTTTGGGCACTCATATCACTAATACATCTGTAAAGTCCTGTCTTCATCAATGTAAGATCACAGTCCAACAATTTTTTACACCTCTATTGTGAAGACAGCGCTCACGACCTCTACTAATACCTACTCATATTGGTTGACCTACTGTTACTACCGAACAAGTGGTATCTGTGGTTATGTATATAAATTTATGGACATGTGAACATTAATTATTTACTCATATATTATGTTTGCCAGTTTGGTCTAACCTTTACTATTGTTCTTGTAGAATATATGATAAAAAAAATTAAAATTGTATAGTATATTGAATGAATTATAATTTGTTTGTGTAAAATTATAATACGCTTGACCTTATTTTTGTATGACAATATTAATGTTCTCAAAGACAGGCATACATGGAACTGAACAAAGTGGAAATCTAAAAATAAATTTAGATATTTTTGTTCTATTTTGATGGTTAATACTGGTGTGTTTTAAAAATTATTTTCGATTTTCCACTTTGTGGAAAATTTTTCGTTGCTTTATTTCTAATGGTTTATAATGTTATATTTGTTCTCTCAATATATAATATGAATTATTAACTATGTATTATAAATAGAATGGCAATCAATGCGGCTCCGTAAGTGACCGGAAGGTGTCGACCGTGAAGTATATACACAAATATAAACATCAATGAACGCATGCCGTCATGTGACTACTAGTACCGGTTCATGTGTAGCTATTCCTGACGAACTAAGGTGTCATGACTGTGTACTTTGTAATTTCATTGCCGTATGGTACTCATTTACCCTTCAAATCGAAAGACAGCTTAAACTGCTAGGCGGTAAACTTTGGTGAGACACAAACCACTTTGTACAAAGTTTACATTGGTAAAATATTATTATTGATGTTTCTTACAAACTGTATCATTTTGACAAAAAGTAATTGCTTGCACATTCTCCCTGATTTAATTTAAAAATAATAATATTTATGTAATCATGTATGAACTCATTAGAAAAGACTAAGAACTGAGTTTCTTATCAATTCTGAACTTGAGAGCGCTCTGAAACGATGATAGATTTGGCATATATTGAGAGTGTAATAGACATACAAGAGTAATTTGATTTTATTAATGTTTGTTAGACCGTAGTTATAATAGTTATCGTTTTCAATCCACAGCGGAGACAGCGAGTCCCGAGAATCGTTGCGCAAACGCCGTAACCGCGAGCTAGCTGAACGTGTGTCGGCGATGAAGCGCCGCGGCCGCGATGCCGAGAAGTGGCACGCGCTCAAGAGGTCACTCTATAAACCACTCACAATCACTTTTGGTGTTTTACTGGCCAGCATTTTTATATACTCCTACGTTAAACACTAGCCAGTATACAGTATCTATATCTATCGACGGCGCGCGACGCCAACATTTTTATACCTATCATTTTAACAACACCGACCACCATTGGTTGCAATCCAGTTCGTTTTTAAGGTTTTCTTTCACCTGTATTTGTACTGTTGCAATTCTTTTTGCAAGATCGATATACTCCAATGTCACCATAAATGATGATAATGCTATAAACAGAGGGAACTATTATTGCATTTGATTCAACTGTAGCCACTGTCGATTCTTACAAAATACTTATCGGCAGCTTTTATATCGAATTTTTAATAGTGATCTAGCGTTTTTATACTTGATTGAAAATTTAATAATATATCACTACATATTGAAACATTTGTGATACACTATCATTAATGTTGTCACTTTACACGACATCTGGTATATTTCTATAAACATAATGATGTATTTCTATAAATATAATGATATAATTCTATAAGGTTAAATCATATCTTTACACAATATGTGAAGATTATGGCATTTGAATGAATGGTTTTTAATTTAGTTGATTTTTTTTTCTTGTCAATTGTGACCTGATATACATACTACAAACTGATTTTTTGTTGTAACTAACTAATAACTACAAAATCATCTGGAATTTATTATAAACTTATTTCAATTAACCAATAAATGCAGTCAACAGTTTTTTTTTATAAAAGGTCATTAGACGAACGTTATCAGTATGTAGTTATATACATCATTAATTGTACTTTATTCCCTAGTACCTATAAGTATTGAAGGTAATTAGTTCGATTTTCAGAAGAGGAAGTTCACGATCAAATACAAGTTCTTGATCGTGATTGTGTGATCGACGATAATGATCAGTTATATATATATATATATGCATGCCTTCTAATTCATTATAATAAAAATTCTTATGATAACAGGTATAATGGTAAATTTTTGTTATATTATCCAATAGCTAAGGTAATATGATAATAATATGCGTTTTATAATTGTAGTTACACTTTATTTAAAAATACATATTTAAATGGTGGTAACTACTATATAACTAATAATTTAAATCTAACAGTATTGTACTCTATTTACATAAAAAAAAATAAGAAAATGAAAAAAAACAAAATATGTATTATAAATTCACTAATCTGCGTTTCAATTGGATAGATTTTCTGTGTATAATACACTATACAAATTATTTAAACAAATGATTTTTTTTGTTTTATACTAGTTCATTTCAAAGCGGTTTTTGGTTATGTTTGTAGTATAAAAATCTTTTTGTGTTAATAATCATAGCAATGACTGCATTTACATACAAATAAATTCACAGTCTGTTCATATGAGAAAGAGTTGTTAATTAAATCATCCAGTTATGATGAAGGTATTATTTTAGCGACTTCAAGAAGAAGGAATTCTCAATTTATGGAAATTTAATTATAATAATAAAATAATTGGAATGGCATATAAATGGCGGCTCGTCCGGTAAAAAGTATTAAAAATATTTATAAATGACTCGCTACTCGCCCTGGCTTCGCACGGGTGTACATGTGTTATATATATAAACCTTCCTCTAGAATCACTCTATTAAAAAAACCGCATAAAAATTCGTTGCGTAGTATTAAAGAAATAAGCATACATAGGGACGGACAGACAGCGACAGCGACTTTGTTTTATACTATGTAATAATGATGAATGAAAATACATCATATAATTACATTTAAAAAACACTACCTCCTGTAGAACTGCCATATTTAGTTAACAGCGTTAATGTCATTGTGGCCAAACTGAATAAAAACGAAACCGAAGAATTTTTTTTACAATAATAGACAATCATATGACCTTTTTATTATATTTATTTATTACGTATGTACTATTATTTCTATAAACATATTCATTTTCAAAGAAATGTATAAACAATCTAGTTACTTATCTTCTACTTAAAAATATCCCGTATTGGTAAAACGCCTTGCAATCAAATCAAACCGATAATCATATATATATTAAACTTAGTATTTTGGCAAGGAGAGACTTTATACAGATTTATATAAAGCGAAAATCTGATTAGACTAAAATATAAACACAGTGAAATATTATATTTCCTGATACTGGCAATAAGGCAATTTAAACAATTTTTTTCATTAAATTACCTGAGAATATCCATTTTGTTCATTCAAACTGTGATGGATGTCCATCATATGAATATAATAGAAACTATAGAACCGAAAAGACTGTACTACGCAAATAATACTACAACAATAAGACTGTATAGGATTCTATAAGCAAATTATTCTAACTAATCACTTTATAATTACATTGAGCAATCATAATCCTACTAATATTATTAATATGACAGTATATAGTTAAATATTTTAAAACCTAGTTGAGCATTGTTAAGAAATTGAATATCATGTTTATAATTAAACGGGTAGAGGAAGGCCGTATAAGAGATGGGTGGACTGTATGAAAGTATAGAGTGAATAACGAGATGACTGCGAACAGGAATGAATGTAGTAGAAAACTATACACAACCCCAAATAAATGAGATAAGCAAAAGCAGATTATGATGTTAATTACACTTTCTATATCAATGTTGATCACCCCTGAGATGTCTCTTGGACAATGCCGTGTCTTTGCTTACATTTTTAAATATTAATTCCGTTTATACTGTACATATAATGCACCTATTTTTGCCGCAAAAATGCTGGTTCACAAAATGTAGTCTGGTAGAAATAGTGTGTTAGTGAAATACCACCCACAAATACCACCATAGAACCATAGCAAGCACAATATATTTTACGTATGTAGAGATATTCACGATTATAGAAGATCCTAGAAACAAACCACTTTTCATAGTCTCGGTCGCCCGCCATTCCAGTTATAAATAAATAAAATGTGATTCTACACTTGACTCTCTTTGTGGAGTCGATATTTACGCACTTATAGACTACACTTACATTGAAAATTAGCTTAGTAATACGTTAAACCTAAGCAAGTTTTTTTCGGCGTATGTGAATCGACCGCTCGATCACCTGACTGATAGAACTTATGATGATATGAAATATTAGATAATTAGGTATATAGATTGGCGATGGAAAAGACAAAAAATATAGTAACACATAGTGCTAGAGGCCGTGATAAGTGGGCAAATCTTCCACATCTACACGATTGATTGTTAGGCCAAAGCAGTTATGAACGAAATGGAGTTTATTTTTGCATTTTAAAACGTAACTTCGTTAATTAGAGTGTGGGTTGGATATTATATAATAGTGAAAGAAAATTCACCAAATAACATGTTATTACTCTCTGTCACGTTTAGTATTTTAAATACAATAATTAAAAACCATTATATACTATGTATAGAGATGTATCAGAAACAATTTTCATTTTACTAGTCTTTTTTTTTTAAATAATTCAATTAATACTACGCCCTACCTCTTCAGGATTGTCTTGCTCTTTTTGTTATAATATAATTTATCGCCCTATATAGATTGTTAATCATCTGTAATACACACAGATACAGATTAATATCATGTAATTTAGAAATTATGACAAGTAATAATTTTTTAGTAATTTTCTAAACAACTGCGATAAACAAAAAACAAATTGGCAAGCCTTCCTAAACGCAACTGTGGCATAATAGAGGAAAGAAAATCTACTCTATTTAACACAGCAGGTCTAGACTTCATACATACCCGCTCGTTAGATCGAGGTAAAAACAAACTTGGGTGATAGGCACACGGTTTATTTTTCATTTAAGAGAATATAACTCTTAGCACTTTTTAACTCATTGAACCCAACTTTTGTTGCTTCCTGATCTCGTGCTGACGTATGATGAATGTGACAGTTTTTCGATATGTTCGTTGTTTTATGTAGCGATAATATTATGAGCAATACTTCAGAGTACAACATTTTGATACTAACTTTTATATGATTTATCTATGTATATTGATATGCAATATATGCATGTTTACTTTATGGGCGAATCGACTTCTATTGTCCAATTGTGTCCTTCTCAAAAATGTTTATGTTCATAGACTTTTAAAATTAATTCTTGTATTGTGATATGGTTATAAACAGAGATCAGACTTAACTAAGTGTATTACCATAATTTATACATTTGTTAAGTTAGTCCAGACAAACGCAGAGGGGAGAGTTCAATAATTTGTCTATGAAAAATTTGCTTTACTTTTTTAAATAATTATTCGTAACATAGTTTATTGGCCCTAATATAAAGTTAGTCATAACATATACGTAATATATTTATATATATACCAAACTGATTCCTAGTGATACACTCTTGTCAGGGTACAAGTTACCAGGCTGAACACTATACTCATGTTTTAACCCATAATAGTTTACGAGTATCAAAGTCTAAAATTACCTGAAGTAAATGAAAATGTAAAAATAAACAATTGTGTTTAATTATGTTGAATTCACTTAAACAACATAAACCACATTATAATTATTGAAAATTTTTATTTTTGTGTAAATGAAACGGCTGTATACATTTATTTACCACTCTGAATAAAATGTAAAAGGTGTCGATTGAAAATAAGTAAATTATAGAAAGTAACATCAATTTGCAACTAGTTAGTGTTTAGTCTTGTCCCTTGTTTTATCTGTTTCTTGTCATTACAAAGTACGTGGTCGTGTAGTTGTTTTTGTGTGAAACATTACATATTTATTATTTTTCCTATAATCAGTTAGTATTAGTGTAGCTGGATTTCAGCTTGGTAATCAAATAACTGTTAATTCAATATACACATTAGTATGATAGTCTTGCAGTATAATATATACATTTAAATAGTTATATCTGACAAGTATTTTAAAACAATTTTTCGAGGTTCTTCATAGATCTTGTGACAACCGTTAGAATCCATAACCTGACTGCAATTATCAGTCACTCAACCGTAGGTAGTGTTAGACGGTCAATTACATCGAAATAGATGTAATTAATACAAAATCGTTGCGGGCATCATGAGAGTTCGACTACTTTCTCTTATACTCATTATCATGTGGCATAAGTCAGTGAATATCAATGGTGTAATTGAGAAAGAAAACACTGTTGCAATCAACAACAACCAACAAGAGGTGCCGAATAAATAACTTGTATGAAGGTCGTTATAAGTATTTTAAAAATTGTATCCACTAAAATTACGATTTATTTTAAACTAATGTTGGATCAATATGTTGATCCTATAGGTCCTATAGGTACCTTAAAAGTAGTAAGAATTGGCAAGATGTCACTAAATATACAACAAAATTAAGGAAGTCACAACTTTCTTTAAATCTATATTGCAACAGATGAAGTAGAGATTGTAGAAGGTCGCAATTTTCATGCTGGTTATCAAACAATAGTGATTCAATTGAAAAAGTGATATAGTTAGCGGCAACTCTTATTTTAAAATTTGTTTCATTCACAAAGTAGTGTAGCCGAGTAAATGTTAGAAAAAGAAATCGCAGTATTTACTATTTTGTATTTTATTTTTTCTTTATATATTAATATTTGTAACCACCGTTATAATGTATAAACTATATACACAATATTGTATATGTAATCAAATGTATAGCCGTATTATTCACAAACATACATCTTCATTTGACCTATATAAGGTATTTCATGATTAATTTTGAACTTAGAAATAAAACTGGAAAGAAAGCGCGGTAAATTCCAAAAGCGAACTTTATTAATAATTTATTTTTTGGGAATATAGTGGAACAGAATTATATTTTTTTCTTAAACTCGACTGCTTTCAGTTAAAATAATTATTTACGTGAGTACGTAGTCAGTTGTTCAGTATTGAATAATATGTAGCAGTTTTGGTAATATATTAATAACGTAAACACCTTTTGAGTTTTGTCAAAGTCTCATGTGTGGCGCTGTACTTTCTAACGCCATTGCCAAAACTTGCATTTGAATCACGAGACAACTCTGAGTACCCTCAGGGGGCAATATTTTATATTATATGACACTTAATATTTACATTTGCATCGTACATCCGAAAATGTTAAATATTGCATAGAAAAGAAACTACGATTTCAAAATTTAAATTTATAGTCACGTTTATTTTACAATAATATTAGCTTTAGTTACAATCGAATCATTTCGTTGTAGAGGTTTATTATTGTAAAATGGCGTACTTATTACAATTAGTTATTGTTATTTAGCTCACCGTAATAATACGATTTATCGACAGAGATCAATCAATATCATATTTTAATCATAACCATTTTATATTATGAGCTTAAACTCATTGTGTTTAGATAAAATTTAGTATGTAACTCGTGATAAGTACGTAATTACCACTTATGCATCCATTGAATTGAATTAAGTAAACTTTAAAAAAAACAGAGTATGTAAGAAGCACTCCCACATTAAGTACCCTATACTTTATGTATTATATAACAAAGAATTCATAATCATTTATCAATTAACTTTATTATGCGTTTTGAACTGTATTTAGAAGTATTACATTTTTAATAATGATGTCAATTATTTTACACATGCTAAAACCTAAAGCCATTTTAAATGTAGACAAGTGGCTGATGATATGGATTGTATTTCTGCAAAAATTACCGATGTAGCCGTATTATTAGGTCAAAAATATACTTAGAGGTTGAATCAGTTTACTCGATTTAAATCGGCGAATGGCAGTCCCGCTGCCTGTGTTCGAAACATCAGTATTGTAATAATTATTGTCTAGCCTGGTTTCTCATGAAATATATCATATATTACTTCATTAAATCGAAAGCATTACTTTTTTTTAAAGTAATAAATCAATTACATTTCGTTCCTTTGTAAATCGTAAGTAATTAATGAATATTTACTCATTTTCTGTAACTTTAAGGAATTTTGTATTATCAATTATTTTAAATAGAAAATAAAAGCAATTGAAATTATAAGCTACTTTTTAAAATGGCCGCTAGCGACCAAATAGTAACTATTAAAAATATAACAATCGTCTCCAATAGTTGACGCTTTTCGTCATATTTTATTCAGTATATTATATTCGGTTAACCAGTGTGTATGCATTACGGCGTATTGGATGTTCAGTACATAGTTCATACAGATGTTTGTGTAAGTTGACTGTAGCTGGAGTATAGTATAGTAATATCTTAACATCGGAGTTGTGATCGAAATTATGAAATTCATTCTAACGTTTGACGGTAAAACACTTGTACGGGCTTTAACTCGTTTGTAAACGATATATTTTCGTTGTTGGTTGTTTTTCATCCGTAGAACAACGATTTGTTTTAATCATTAACTTCTATCTTTAATATTTATAAGACATTCGTTCTAAGGGTAATACATTGCATAACTTCGTTAGAAGCAAAAGGTGCTAACCGCGTTGACCACAACACGATTATAGTCTTAACAGACATTAGATTAGATAATAAATCGGGTTGCGATAAAAAAAATTCAACGTCAGTTTATTAATTTCAGGTTAAAATCGGAGGGAAACCCTCCTACCGAACCACGTGAAGACTGAGAAGATTAGGTAAAACTTAGAACAATTATTGTATTATGAAACAATGGGACATATCTTTGTTAGAGGTGATTAGTTCTGAGGAGCGTGCAGTCGGCGTGGGTTCATGGCGGTTTTCCTTGGTAGATGCCCCGTAGCATTTGCCTGGTTTGGAGTTACACTTAATAAACTATTATTTCACAAACGTACTACTCTCTTTGTGAGGGGTAAAGTTTTATAAATGCCCACTTTTAATGGTGTAAAAACTAAAATGTAAAACACTTTTGTGAACTAAAAACTTCTTCCAAACAGAACCTAATTCTGACGTAGTTATAAAATCTTAGACAAACTATACTGCCTCTAAATTTTCTAATATTTAGAAGTATAAGTACGTAATTATTTGTAGTATGCAATTAATAATTAAATGTACAAAAAATTAAAAGTAAATATTTGAAATTAACTGAAATGCTGTACACAGTGCGTGCCAGCCCTAATATTACTGCAGATAATCTTTTGGGACTGTCAGTACTAGAGAGGTCGCCCATTAATGACGCGAGGCTTTTAAGGTGGGAAAGAGGGTTTGTAAAAATCACAAAAAGGGAAGTTTAGTGCAATATCACGTGTATTGTTTTTAGTACACGTGTAATTTATATACATTTGCTAGTGACTTTGCTTACATATCAGTTTTATGGTTTTACCAAAAATACTTGATTTTGGTAGGAGAGGTGGTTTAGTTTAGTTTAGTACCACACAATGAATAAATGAGTTTTTAAAAAAGGATGCTAAAAGCATCACGTAATTAATGGGCGATCGTTTAATTCTTGATAAAAATGAATGCCTGCGCAATCAAATAAGAAGTAAATTTTAACGCTAATACCATTAGATTCACTTTCATTAATTTATTTTTTGCTTTAATTTAATTGGTTACATATATACATTGGCGGCTATTATTAATTTTTTTTTCTAATTTGTATAATCCAAATAAATGATAACGAAGTCCCATAAATAACATTTTATTGCGTGTAATTCTGATCAGAGATAAACGTTACGGTGACAGTCGACACTCGGACCAACTGACAGGATTTCGTCAGCGTATAGTAATTTGGCTAGTAGTCCCTACCGCCGTACCCCGCCAACCCTCGATAGTCCGACGTCTAGCTTCCGTCCTATTGCAGGCGCTGTGTCAAATTTTTCGATGATCTTTACACTTGTTTTTTTACGATTCTGAAACAATGAACTGCTTGTGAACGGCAGCCATAAATAATATTCAATCAGCTTTTCATTCTCGCCGATGCTTAGGACATAACTGTTGGTTGGTAATGTTTAGGTGGTTATAAATATCGCAAATAATTTACTTGTTTATTATTTTTAAAAAGGCTAAAATGTAGTATAAATATAAAGATGCTAAAAGTTCCTTGTACAGTATAGACTTTGATATGAATTTATAGACATCGTATGAACCTCCGACACCGTGATATAGAATCCTAATAAGATTTAAATGTAATGATTTTGCACGAAAATATGCCGTAGTTATTCCGCTTTGTCCAACGATAGGCCGGTTGGAGCTGCGCCGTATTATGACAGTAGCAAACGTAAACACGGAAATGAACAGAGTGAGGAAAAAAGGAAACAGCGCGCTGTCTCATGAATATGAGTGTACTTAACAGCGCTCTCTCTCTATAATTAACAAAATCAGATGAATTCTAGACTCATGGACGCAGATATTGGTAAACAGCATACAACCCCTAGTATTTAGTGAATATTGTTAGTGAGCCGCGTATTTAATTATGTACTTTCGTGTTCGCACTTATGAACTTTATTATTAACATTAAATCATTACGGCAAGTCCGTTAATTTACCGTATTACCATTTGATTCTCTATGATAATACTGAATGTTATCGTCATGTGTTTTCATTTACTATTTGTTTTGTTTGCTTTCTTAATGGAAAGCAAAAATTAGTTATACAACTATATATTATATCCGAATAATATATGTAGGTCTGATGGCACCTGCATGTTTACAGCCTAATCCTTTTTTTCTTGACCGTCTAGTATTTTTTATTTAATCTTTAGTTCTGATTGTCATAAAACGAAGAACACCGATTATAGTTTTTTTTATTCTTATTTTAAATGGATTATAATGTGTCATATTGTTACTATTTAATATGTAGTATATTTAAATTTTATATGTTGGTTTATTTACTTGCTTATCTGGATTAACTTTTATGTTATAAACGGCTCATCGTCCCCATTTGCCATTGTATTTATACTCGGCATATGTATGTCGAAAAATGTAGCGTTTCTTAAGTATATATTATCAACTGTTGATAATCTTTGGTATAATATGGTAGAATTCACTTTATTGTTATTCAATAACTAATTAAGTAGCTACCTGTAGGTTTTGTAGCAGATGTGTTTCTGAGATACGTCAATAGATGGCGCTAGGTGATATATACCAATTTTGCATATATATTGCATTTTATACAATGTTGTTCTATATGACGTTATAAACCTTCCCACTACTACTTTTAATTAATATATATATCATCCTCCAAATTTTATACTTAAAAATTGATCCGAATTAAAGAAAGTAACGGTTTTAATAAGTATTTGGTAATTGAAGGTGTTAAAATAAGCCATCTCTTGACGTATGTTTCACAAGTATAACATTTCTCTTTACGGCAAATCAATACCTAATGGTTATAGATCAAAATGGGTTGGTCCCGAAGTACACCTCTAGTAGTAGTTCCTTGTAGGCGCAATATGACACGATTTGTATTCCATGTTTACCTATTAGATATTATTTACTTGTAAATAAATGTGTACTAAGCGTGTATGAGGTAAGTCTTAGTATATACGTTAGTGTTTAAATTTAGTTAATTGGATTGCTAATATTTTTCTATCAATACCTTTATTGGGGAAACCTTTTTATGTAATAAATACTATAATAGTTGAGTATACGAAGGCTTATGATTAGTTTTTGGTAACATATGTATATTTTGAGAGTTGTTATTACAAGCAAAAGTTACGGAGGTCCTATGTCTGAGTTTCTAGTAAAAACTCTTTGTTTGCTTTAAAGAATGCTGTAATTTCATTTCCACTCATATGAATATGAGTTTGTGAGATGCTCCCAAGATTGATTGTAATTGATAATACAATTTTGATATCGCCTGTGTTGCAATGCGCTGGTAAAATTAAACGAAAATTTGAAAATATGGTAATGAAAGTATTCAACAGTAGGTATTTATAACACACCTTCCACCTGTCTTATTCGTCTAAGTTGTGAACGCTCGTTGTTACATGGTAATAACACAGGCCAGGGCGATTACTGAAACAAACGTGGAAGTTTCAGCGTATTTTATATGTCCATGCCACTGTTCATGTGTATAGACAACGGCGTCCTCTTTCCGTTATCGAAGTATCAACTTCATTTATAATACCTGTCATATAATTGCAGTAATTACTCTTTTTTTTCGGACTACTATAATGCTGTTGAAGCTGTAAAGACCGCAGCTGGCCTTCACAGCTTGAGAGCAGCGCCGCTTCAGAGTGCAGATGGCACTTCATAGCCATCGAATGACTTATGGAGCGGTTGAAGGGCAACTCCCGCCTGACGGATGCGATTTTAGTCTGAGGGCACCGATCGGAGTAATTACTCACTCATATTTTGGTAACTTTTGCTACACTACAATAATTATTGTGAATATGAATTACTCTAGGTGTCGAGATTAATTTTGTTACAACTCAATAGATGGCGACATACACATGTATAAAATCAGTAATAAGAAATTAGAATTCCGATATAGCTTTATAACTTAGTATGTTATTTTTTTTATTGAGTAATAGAAATAATGTTTAGGAAATGTATAACTAGCATAGCAATATCTGTTTTATCTGTATGTTATAAATAAGTATGGGCCAGTGTTGGCTGTGTCGTTAGATTTCTTTTGTTTGGTACCATATGTTTTTAAATTATATGTATATTATAATTAGAATTATGTACACCAGCATTTGAACATGAGGCAGACTGAATGAGACGTAAAATTATTTTTGATTTCGTCGCCGGGGATCAGTGCCTCATAATAAGTTTAAAAAGCTGGCATACAGTATTTTAATAAACTTCCTAACATTAGCTGTAATTTAAACTATCGTATTTCTAAATACGATAAAGTATGTCTGGTTACTGAATTTAGCAAGTTTTGTTATTTTTATTTGAATTGGACTTAAAAGGTTTAAGAAAATAATAATATTGTTACTATTAATTATATTCAATTCAAGTCTTGCAATTCGGCAACAACGACATATTTAATTAAAGATAAATTTGCAATTTGCAGGTGAGTCTAAGCAAACCTCTCTATTGTATTAGGTGATTTGGACTCGAGTTAAATTTAAATAACAGTACTCAGTAATGCCCTCCTACACTAATAGATATTTTTCGTATCTAGATTTTTCGTTAAGATAGTGAATTTGTTAACACTTGCAATCCCAGTAAACGAAGTATTGTTATCCCGTATGTAAAAAAGTAATAATGAGCAACTCTATTGTTTGTTTTTAAGTTTTTTACATTTACTACAATATCTGAACTAACTTGCTGTAGCTTCAGTTATTGAAAGAAGGCTTAGTTTCGGTTTAATTAAGGTTTATATCAATTGAAGTAGTTTGTTAGTGTACGTATATCAATGTATTACGGTTTGTTTTTGTATATTATCGCGCATGATGCACATACATTATCATATATAGGTTATATGAATATTTTACGCTCTAAAAATGTTTAGGATATTTTATTGGTGATTCAAATTCAGTCCTTATTACAATACCAGTAAGTTGCATTTTGTTTTTTTTCTAGAGCTACCTAATGTTTGGATTAGAAAGCAATTAAAACATTTCATTGTGTAAACGAAATAATTTCTCCTATTGTAAGGCTTATTTACATCTTGCCAGATTTATATTTATTTAGTATAGTTTAAACCACTGACAATAAATATTTGTTTGGTGTATTCCCCAATAAAGGCAACATGTGTCCATGTGACATAGGTACGCATGATATAATAAATATATTCGTCTTTAGATATGTATATTACAGGTTCATATTCGGATATTCCGTTGCATAGGTCCGAGTTACAGAAATTGTATCTATCCTATCTGTTGTCATATTGTATTCCAGTTTACTGTACTGTTTGTATTATAACTATGTCATTGAAACGGATGTTTAAATTTAACAATCTGAGAACTGATTTTTAATGACATTAGAGATTATTTTCATTTATAACCAAACTTTTGGATATGTGTAATTTGCAGATTTTATTAAAATCAAACAATAATTATAATATTTGTTTTATTTTTTAGATCATGTATATAATTATAGTGTCAGTGTACTAAATATCATATGTTATATTTAGGATCATAATCACAAATATAATAAATCAAGCAAACAGCCAGACAGACAAAAGTTTATAATTTTTTTACATGTGCAATTAGTGAAAAGCTGTTAATTTGAAATTACAAACAGACACTTCAATTCTATGTATTTGTATAGATATCGACATAGGCGATTAAAGAAATGAATTACAAATATTGATGACAGAGAACTAAAAAGATTTATTTTTCCTAAATTTTTTAGCTGACACTTACCTAATCTAAGATATTTACCATAAAAAGAGTCGAGTGTCATCCACACCATCCTCCACTTAAGGACTTTTTTGTTTGAATTAAAAGAATCATAACACTTTCATTATTATTTTATTGAAATACAAAGCATGCAACAGATTCGAGGTAGTTATTAGTTATAGCTCACAAGACAACCTTTCGTTTGGTATGAGATAATATTCTCAATCTTACTTGAATCTACCCAACCAGATATATCTTAAAATTGTGTACAAAACTAAATAGCAATAAATACATCACACAAAATAAAATTAAAAGTTTACAGAATAGTTACTTGTCGTTAACTATTACTGTATACCTATTAATTATGATATAACAATATGTACAAAGATATCAAGGACGATAAGAATATATTAATAGCTTACATTAGACATTCTAATACCTCCTTCTCTAATACAAAAGGACTTGGGAACCCCAAGACCCCAATTTGTGGATTGATTTCTTCCTATTAAACCAAAATATGTACAATTGTTTTATAATATATGTATGCAAATATACTTACTATCTTTTTCTATTAATGATGTATTTAAGTTATATTATATAAAACATAAAATATATTCATTATTAATATGTTTATTATAATATATATTCTAACAAAAGGAAACTTGGGTAAATATATTTTTGCTGGTTGGGATATTTTTACAATTCAACATATATATACAATTATTTATATTAACTCAATTTCCTACTTGTATCTAACGTTATCTTTAAAATATCATCCTGATCATCTGAATGACGGTCCTCCACAATGCGGTTTTTTAAAAACATTTTGCCACGCACAACCACCATGTGGAATCACCTTCCAGCAATGATATTTCCGAATCGATACAATATTGAAACCTTCAAGAAAAGAGCTTATTCCTTTTTAAAAGGCCGACAACGTACTTGCAATTCCCTTGGTGTTGCGGGTGCTCATGGGCGGAGGTAATCACTTACCATCAGGTGAGCCGCATACTTGTTTGTCCCCGTGCCATAAAAAAATCTAGTAATCATTAACGCCACAAAAAGGAAACTTGGATGAATATGTTTTTGCTAGTTAGGGATATTTTTTCCGATTTCCTTTAGTTTCATCAAGGCCGAAAATAAATTCATTTCAATTTTTAAAATACATGTATGTCCACAGATTAAATATCAGGCTCGGTGACATGAGACGATACTTCCACGCTGCTCCTGTTGCTAGCTTGAGTCCGGAGTCGATGTGCAGCTATCATCACATTACCAGCTCTCTAAACAAAAGAAAATACAAATTGAATAAGTTGATAGGTCGCCGCTTAAGTAATTGTATTCTAATGCTCTTGGGCGCTGCTTGCCCTTACATCTTCACTGAAGAAAGGAGGCCAATACATATGGCACTCCAAACCCACGCAAGGACTTACGGAGTGTATGAAAGCCAACTCCAACATAACGGATACGACTTCAATGTGAGGGTACTGCTAGGGGTATGAACTGCAACTCAGGCCGTCCTAATTTCGAACCCGAGAGCGAGGTATTTAATTTAATTTAAACACAGATAATAAAAACAATTTGAAAGCTAGCGGTAGGCTCGTTGGATCAAATATACCCGCCAGCGAAGGCAGATCGAATATTGTGTTCTGGCATAGACAGTCGTCGCGGTATTTTATATGTTTATGGTTAATCGGTATTTTCTCTCATGATACTCGATATCTAAGTACATACCTGCCATCTAGCCCTGTAGTTTGCAAGATAAGACTTCATGTTCTTTCTAGTGCGCATCATGTGACCAGCACTAGCTCCTTTTGGCGGGCCCTCCACAATCCATTGATGGTTCAGAGCGTCGGCGGCGGACATGCGCTTCTCTGCGACTAATATTATCAGACTATCTACGAAATCCTTTGCTAAGTCCGATATTTCGGTAAACGCTGTATCGTTATAATTATAATTGGCCATAGTGATATTGGCACTCGTCTCTAGCCACGTGTTTCCGGCAAACGGCATCACTCCTGAAAGTCTAATTGGATTTGTATTAGTTATGAAATATTTCCACCCCCGTGATATAGAGGTTATTATTTATAGTTCTTTTCTGTGTTCTAATATCGTAGTAATTAAACTGTACTTACAACATGTATGTTACGACTCCCAAGGTCCACATGTCACACGCAGTTGTCATCTTCTCATAATTAAGAATCTCGGGGGCAATATAATCCTTGGTTCCGTAAATAACCTTCACATTGTTGCCATTATCCAACATTCTTGCAAGTCCAAAGTCTATTATTTTCACCTGTCTGGAGTTGGGACTTAGGCATATTATATTTTCGGGTTTTAGATCTAAATGAGCGATTTTATGGGAATGTAAATAATATAGAGCCTCGCAGATCTGACGTACGTAGAGTACCACATCCACTTCTTTAATATTATCTTCTTGAACTATTCTGTCGAAGAGTTCCCCGCCCCAACAACTGGAAAGAATATCAGGGTAAAGTAAAATTATCATGTTATGTTCTCTTATGCTGTGTATAATACTAGCGACACCCCCAGGCTTGAAAACCTTAAAAAGTAGACACCTTTTAGCGGCTACCTACAGTTATTATAACCACAACCTTAAACTTTTTCAACATCACTCTGTTGATCTCATGGGAAAAATCGCATGAAGAAATAGCGACTCTACTACAGTTCTATACTATGTATAGTGATGTTTACTAATGTAGTGATGACAAATATCCTACACCAGCGGTCTTCAACGTTTTACAAATAAAGGGCCAAAAAAATTTTTTCCGCATAGCGGGCCGCATCATAGTTATTTTTATAAGAAACGGGAGCTCAATTTAAATTACGATAAATGTTTTATTATATAGTTAGTTGCTACTCCATGTAGTTCACTCAATCAATCAAATATTTGTAGTTTGTCAATAAATACTATTCCAATGTAATGCAAAGGATGGACATACTTACTAATTCATTACTAAAATTAAGGAGTCCTTCGCAACAAAAGCATCGATCAACTCCACGATCTTGGGATGCTTTAATACTCTCATGATCTCATATTCTTTGAATGCTGTTTCTCTTCTCATCTGCGTCTTAGTTTTCTGTACCTTTAATAATATTATATTATTTTTATAGAAAACTTCAATTTAAGAGTAATATTTCAATTTAATTCAGAGATAGAACGATGTTATTATTATTCGCCAAACAATAAACATATAAATAAAATGTATCTTTATTTACATAAAATAACACATATACAAGGTATAGTAAAATAAAAAAAAGAAAATATAGATAAGTACATTGGGCTATCTGTACTAATATTATAAAGAGATAAATTTTATATGCATGTCAGTTCGAGGTAAGCTCCGGTTCTACTGATCCGATTTTGAAAATTCTTTCAATGTTAGAAAGTTATATTATACCCGAGTACACAGCAATGAAAGATATGGCAAAAAAATAATCATGTTGCATGCTTACGCAGCGTGCGCTGGGTAAAGGGTTAAATTTAGGCCAAAGGTATGTATGATAGTTCTCTCTAAAAAGTTCGCAATACATATATCTATGTTAAAGGATATATATGTTTTTATGAACTTATAAAAAAGGTTATTTATTATGTTTTTTTATAGTAGTCAAATTTCTTCTAAAATAATGCATGGTTTGCGAATGTTTTTATAAATATTTTATAATGGAAAAATAATTACCTTTGCAGCATAATAGGCTCCCCGTTTATCTTTTACCAGACTGACGCTACCAAAACCACCAGAGCCTATAAGGTGATCGGTTTTAGTGTAAAACGATTCGAATTCCTCCATTTCTTTGACGTTACAAGATTTTGTTACAGGTGTCTCATCCACTGGTAATGGAGCTAGAATTAATTAATTGGCATTTAATTAGTAAAAAATAACACGAACTCACTTCTAATATTATTTAGCACTTTATTTTGTTAGTATAAATAAAATATTGTAAAAGTAACTACTGAAATAGACAATATTAATAAATAAGACTGGTCAACTAACACAGTAAGCAGAGCTTGTATTATGGGTGCTAGACAACTGATATGTTTTTTGTAAATACATACACAATATACATAGAAAACATCCAGACCGATAAAAACACATATTCATGAATACAAATTACTGCACCGTGCAAGGTATCGAACCTGCGATCATCGGAAGGTAAGGCGGTGTGCTAAGCTTTTATTACTTTAAATTCTTTTAATATTCTAGTTGCTCACAACACGCATGCATTTTAGTGCTAACGATTGCGAGTCTTAGTATTTATTCCAAGTCTTTACATGTTTAGCGGGTAGATTGTTACCGCTTAATAGCGGTGGCAATAATTTGCCACGCGCTGTCCGTAGATTCGCCACACATGTTTCTGATATAAAAATACAAATTCACAAGTCAACATACATATGCAAATACTGCATTCACTTGTCTCGTTCATCGGATCAGCAACTGTTCTTATTCGAAATTCCATCATCTTCTCTATGGGCGGATTTTTTATTTCAAACTTTGGGCTGCTACTGACACCCAGCTCAGTATAATCACCGTTTTTCTGGCGAAGATCAATGGCGTACCACATACTCGGGTAAGCGAAATCTTTCCTGTAAGATTATTAAAAAATATACAATGAACAAACATACATGACATACATACATTTAAACTAGGACAATTTATACAGCGGCATCTAGTTAGAAAACGAAGCTGTTTGTACTATTTGTACTAAACATCTGATATAAATGCGTAAATACATAATAAAACTGCAAACTATGTTTGATCTCTTCTGTAACTAATGCTTACAAAGAAATACCTACTTACCACTCTATAACAACGACGTTCCTATGCTGCCCAGATGTCTCTTTTAAATCTTCTTCATATAATTCTACTGGAACTGAAGACATAAAGTCGTCGGCACACACATCGAAGTAATGAAAACCGTGTTCTTCTAACCTGAAATACAAGTAAAAATATATTTTTTAGACTCTTATCTTACATCACAGCGAGACACGCATTATTTCGTCGTTTAAATACTTGAATGGAATAAAATATGATAAGGCGCCCAACTTTACAGTATTCGAAGAAATCAACCGAAGAAAGAACTTAAGTAGTTTAGTTTAACCGTGTTTTTTAATTAATATGAACAATCCGACTCTGGATTGTTCACATTAATTAAAAGGCACGGGTTTACAATCAATAGGAGGTAGGTACGTGTATAGACGGTAAGATGATATACTAGCACTTGAACATTTACAACCTAGATACATCACTCTTACCTGAAAATCTTAGTCATAGTAGTTAGTAATTCAGAATCAGGAATATAAATTGAAACTCCATGTTTTGATCCAAGTCTCATGGTATTAAATCAAATTTATAGTCTACATTATATAAAGTATTTATTCTTAATAATATTTATTCAATCTAATAAAAAAAACAGAATGTGTAGATATATTTTACCTGCAGTAAGTGATTTCCAATGCTACTTGGTTATCTAAGAAAGTCCCAAAGTGCCCGTTGCCGTTTCGGTCCTTTACCATCTGCATAGATAACAATTAATAAATATTAGGTACGTAAAATTACTCTAACTTGTAACATTCGCGTTCATTGTTGTAAATCAATTGCCAGCTTATAATTATAACGCACTGCTAATAAAGCACTGGCTTAATTCAGAACAACAAACATTACCTACCTGCGGTTGACTGCCTAAACAATATAATTCAAAAATGTGCATTAAAACATATTTTCACCATGGTAAAGGTTAAATATCCAGCAGATAAATCAGTCCTATTTCGATTCAATTAATGAAGTAACGCCATTATCTCATAGTACAATATCAATAAAATCAATCATCATTTCTAATATTTATCTCGGGCCATTATAATATAAAAAGTACCTACTAGCTAGTAAAAGGCAGATTTAATAAATCGCTGTGCTACTACAAAATAATTATAAAATTCAAGCAAGTAGAAATTACATACAATGTAATAAAAAAAATCGCAAATATGCACATTTAAAAAAAGGTATGCTATGTATTATATACAGAAATATATAAATAATCTTCCTAATTCCAACCTAAATCATAAACCTTTTCTACATATATACCTAATAAAATACTAGTGGTCGAACATTGGTCAAAATTAGAGCACAATTAATGTAAATTATAAGTTTGAATATTATCAAAGTTTTATTGTTAAAGCTATACTTTTATTCGTATCTGTGTCAAATACACGGTGGTGTCTATAATGTTTTTTTTATTTATTTAATAATGTATTTTTATTCAATATATTAATAAAATATTATTCATTATATTATTATTCTGCACTCCTCGATATAAACTAAAAGTGTAAGAAGACTCATATATAGACCATATTCCGGGAGCGCAATTTTCGTGAAAAGGTACAAAGTTTTTGCTTCACGTATTAATATTAAAATTAAATAGGTAAAAATTATATGTAGGACAGATAGTACAAAAATACTCTGAAGTGTGTCTATTAAAACTTTAAACACCAATAAAAAATAACTTACTTCGTTATACTCTCTGTAATCACCATTTGTAAAATTGTCTTTGGTTGAAACATAACGTATCTTAGATTTAAGTGTTGATATGGAACTGAACATTTTCGTTTCTAAGACGATAGCAGGTACAATAGTTAGATTTGCGAAGGTTCTGTTTATGCGCACGGACTTTTGGTTTGGGAGGGCCCGGCGTAATTCGCAGATTACTTCTCCGTTCATTCCTGGCTCCACATTTTTAATATAGAGTAAAAACTCTCCATCTTTGCTGACAACCTGAACATTAACAGAATTAATTCACAATTTCGAAAAATAATATATGATTACATATGATATTTTCGTTGTTATATATATTACAATTAATTAAAAATTTCCAAGTAGTGCATTATATGTAAATTTAAATTTAAAATTAAATTTTGTAATTTATGACAATAACACTTATAGGTAAATGCAAATTGTTTGGAGTTATCACTATGACAACTTTGTCACACTTGTTAAAACGTTAAATATAAATGAACAACACAAAATTCTACCAACACCGCTTAGTCCACATAAAAAAGAGAATAATAATGTGCCCCCAGACTAAAGTCGTATCCTTCAAGAAGGAGGCGGCCATCAGCCGTTGGTTACTAAAGTCCTTCCGTGGTTTGGAGTGCCATCTGCACTCGCCCCCTATCGTCCGGTGAAGCTGTAAAGGCCAACTCCGGCAAACAGCGGAAGTAAGTAGTCCTAAAACTATACTAATTCGCTTCAATTCAATAAATATACAATACTTACATTAAATCTTGTATTGCTGCGTTCCACTCTAAAATGACCGACGTACCAACAAACATAATAATAACCTGAATCATCTAACTCAAAACTACAATGAAAAGATATTGCAGAACCATTACAAGTAATTACAGATACTAATGGTTTCTTCAAGACGACTAAAGGCGGATTTTTCATAGGGGTATCTGAAATGTGAAAAGTAAAAAAAATACATAGAAATTAAATATTGTACAATAATGTTATCTTTGTTGTAGTTGATAGTCATTATAATATAAATAACCTTAAGCGTGCTAATATTGAACTTACTATTTATAGTTAACACACAAGACGAAATATCTGACTTTCCTGTTATTTCGTTTTCTATAGCTAAAGCATAAATCGAGCTCTCTCCTCTTTGAGTATCTAATATTCGTAAACATACATAGCCTCCATAATAATATTCAGGTAACAGTCGTTTATTTTGAGTAATAGGAAGATCATTTTTTAACCATTTCACAGCTATATTTACGCTATGTGCAATTTTAAATACAAGCATAACTTCATCATCTTCATTAACTGCTACTTCATCAGGTGGAGATTCCTCTATAAATAAATTATTATTTAAATTGTGCATATTCTCTTCAAGCACATGTACATCTGCGGTATTTGATGCAAAACCATATTTTGTTTTTGTAACTACAGTGTATATTCCAGTATCAGATAATTTTCCACAATGGATAGTGAGAACCGACGATGTTGTGTCCTTTAATATCATAATGCGGTCATTTTCTACTATAGGAATATCGTTTTTAAACCAAAGATAGTCTGTTAAAGCCTCAGAGTTAAACTCTACTTCTAGATCTATTCTCTCTCCTAATGTTACAGCAATACTTTTTAAACATTTTGATACAGCAAGGGCCCATCTCGGGCACGGACATGTATGAATGGTTTTGGTATTTCGTGCATTGACGATTAATTTGGCACTCGAATAATACATGCCATATTTGTCATTAAATACTATAGTGTAAATGCCGTGATCTTTCGCAGTAACTGCATCTATTTCCAATCGTCGCCATTTTCTGTTGTTTATTATCATAATCCTATTAGATGGATGTATTTCTTTACCGTCCTTATACCAAATACTAGAGCTATCTGGCTTATTTTTTATTTGACATTCAAACACCGCTGCAGCTCCTTCATTTACAATAGTATCTTCCAAAGTATCATCAATTTCTAGTAGCTCATCATATGAATATCCCACTAAAAAAAACAAAAGAATTTATAAATGGTGTTGAGATTTTCAATAGAAATAATTTAATTTGTGACAATGTACTCACGTTTGTCTATAAGATCACTTAAATATTTATTAGTTGCCATTTTTAATATCTTGTTTACGATATTTTTTTAGGTGACTTATAGCTACTAGATGTATTTTAGACTGCTTAGTTGTGTAATTTCGAAAGTAAAATCTGGAACAATATAAGTATAATTTAAGCGCTTTTTATTAGGGTTTAACTGACTATTAGCTGAAAATAATATAGGTAACATACCATTGAATATACGATTACGAGTAGTAACTTGTAAACAATTTACTATAAGAAGGTTAAGAAACGACGGTCTAAATGTATCTGTCTAGCGCCAATTAGGTATATAATATCGATGTATGCGTGTATGTGATTATAACCGTACAGGACTACGTGAGTCACCCGTCACATAAGGTCATGCAAGGTGAAAACTAGAGGCCGATAGGTCCAAAATCATGCGCAACATAACAACCTTATAAACACACCCTACTTTAATTAATAGACATAATATGTCATTATAGAGGCAAACCCTTGCAAACTTTATGCTATTTTACAACTATGAGCGCAGGGACTGTATTTATCTTGTGCTGGTAAATGTAATTATGTAAAACATATACTATTTAAATGTCGAACGTTTTTGATGTATGTATGATGATGTTATTTGGTTCCTGGAAGAAATAGAGACTAACGATTGTAATAAAAAATAGTACAGTATCAGAACGGGAGTATACCGGTATATACTATATGTAGCCACAGTTATTATACAAATTCCATTTAGTCTTGACGTAGATATGGCTTTCTAATGCAGTTGACTGTTGATTCACCGGAAGAAAAAGGAGACGAGTACGAGGGCACTCTAAATCAGACAACAGCGTATATAATAAGCTTTCTCCGGCAAAGGTAGGTCAGGTAGGTAGCGTAGTTTTGGCATCTGCGCGAATTTCCGTTCAAGCGCAAAGAACCGTCTGTGAGCGACTGCGTCTGAGTTAATTAAATCAGAATCTTTTTCAGAAGAATAAATCCATGTTATATCTGATAATTATAAATAAAACGACGATTCCAATTTATTGTCACAATCTAACATCCGAACTAATAATATACGTCGTCTATTTGAAAAAAATATTTATTTTTGTAAACTTATCTCTAGCTTTAGTAATCACAACCGCGGAGAAAGAATAAGAAGGTGAGTCACATCTACACCTAATATCACCCATAAATACATAACTTAATGTGGAGAGTAAAGAGGGAGGTGTGCTAGTAGTGCTAGTACCCGGCTCTACCCTATTCCTTTAATAATTTTAAGAGAATAGTTGAGCACCGACAACAATATCAAATTCGTCTAGCATATATTTCATGTTAAATTATTTAAGTGTAATATTGTTATTTGTTTTAATATAATTAGCAGGAAGTCGATACAATCGAAGACGCCATAATACAATTCACGACGAATGCAAAAATATAATATTTATCATTAGCATTGACGCGGGATTTTAGGAACCATTAGATACCTATGAAACATCTTAAAAAAACTTGTCATTACTTTTGTAACGCGTGCTCTAAATTTGGATGGTTGACAATAAGATAGTGTCATAAGACCTCACATCGGAACTAAGTGAGACAGACGGTGAATCACTATTAACTACGTGAGTATGTGTAGTAAGTACTCTGTGACAGGAAGCGATCGCTGTGATGCATCAATGAATGTGTTGGCGAGAACTGCGGTCGCCCCATAGCGCGCTGCTACTGCGCAATGGATAGCGTATGAGACGAAAAATGCGTACTAATATCATGCGAGCTATTTGTACTACAAAAATGCAGTAAAGTATGTCTTTTTGACAAACATTACTCGAACTACATTTAGATAATTTATGGGATAAACTAAAACTAAGTTAACCCAACCACCTTTAGCTTAACTAACATAAAATGATTTCGCGGTAAATTCATATTTTCTTTACATAGTATAAAATTAAATGCTTCCGCTGTCTGTTCGTTTAGAACTTTTAAACTCCGCAACTGATTTTAAATCAGTTTTTAGCAATAGATAGAGTGATTACAGAGGAAGGTTCATCATTCAAGATGTACACCCATGCGAACCCGCGGCGTGTAGTGTAATAAAAAATACTAATAAAATAGTCGACCAACCTCTGGTCCCCATAAGCTTTTTGCCATAGCTGGCATAGGTAATCAATGTTTTATTATACATCAATTAACGGAAATCAAGTTACCGGAGGTAAAATTTACAAAATAGTTTCAGTTGACTATTTAATTTATTTGGCGTTTCCCAAGAACAAATTGTCTGTGACAACGGGCGTCAGACAGGGGCCGAGAGACAAGATACGGAGCGGTCAGACTGTGGTCCCAGTGACGAGGTGATAGCGGTCAATTAAGTGTATAATAGTGAATCGCGAGTCATTGTGAGTTCCTTGCAGAATAGATAAGGAGAATGGACTATCAAGATATTTCTTGCTTCATTCACTTTCATAACTCGTCCCACGATCGGACGCTAATTTCGAAGACACTAGACTGTCCCCTTATATGATACTAATATTGTTATGATAGGCTAGGCAGTTATTTAAGCCTCCTTCTGCGAGGAAGTTGTTTCGCGGAAAGAGATGGCGGAGAGGGACTGGACCATGTTGATTATTCGGAATATAGAAGAGGATTATGCTCATTTATAAATACTATATAAGTACGTCTCACAAATTTCAACGCCATTCAGCGGTTATTTAGTATTGACAAGTAACAAACGAAAAACTCACATTAATAATATTATTACAGTAACGAGGCATTTCCATGAAATGCCACAGTTACAAAGGCATATAAAGATGGAGTTAACCACAATGGTAACTCCTAACAGGTACAATAACGAATACGACTCGAAAACCCGTTTCGAAGTGGATAACGTTAATGCTAATGATACTATAATAAAACTGTTTATTTAATTAGAACTGTCTTAAACATTAACCTTACAGTTGACGAAGTCTATTAAAGACGCCAAGAGTGTATAGTTATCTACTAATTGAAATGAGTATACCGATACTAACATATATCTTGATGTCAAAAGATTGATGGTAGAATTTAAAATTAGATCTCATTATTCTTCTTAAGGACAATCTTAAATGTGCAATACATAATATGTAGGTACCTAAAAAACTCAATTAAAAACAAATATATAGATATATTTTTTTAACTTTCGCATTTAGAACACATTAATACTGTACTTAATTGAGATTTTACTAAAGTATTATGGTAAATATAGTTATTTACTTCTCTAAACGCGACATTTCGGCTAGATTATAATAGCCGTTCTCTCGTTGTATTTGCTTTTAACAACCTTCCAAACAATGTGTTTACCTAAAATCTTATTAAACTTTTGTTAAATTGTAGTAAGTAGATAATTATTATTATCTATAGTTTATGTTGACGCATTTTAAGAAATGATTTTAAATTAACACATTGCACAGTATATTTTATATTTCAGTGTCATATATCAGCTCACACATAAAATACACAATCATACGGCTAAAACGATTTTAATAAAATTTTATACACCAAAGACCATTATTTTAGAATAAAATTCGCTTTTATCACAATTCAAGTTGACAGATCGATATGATATAGCTATCATAATAATAAGGGTACGAACTAAATCATTAATACCGTAATATTAAAAGTTTGACCTTTAATGGACTCAATTAGCATAGGAATTCTTATAAGAACTTGTAAGGATATAAGGCGTTTGAAGTCAGAAAATTATATCTGTTACTTCGATTGATGTACGCTTGAGTTCAAATTTAATGTTTACATATTTTGAACGGGGCTAATTTAAAATCGCTAGCGTCTTATGCCTCAACCAAAGTGTCAGAGAGGCAAATATGTGCACATATAAGGAAGGTAGCCGCCAACATATTGTACTGTGGTGATTATATCACCGTCTTGGAGCCCGGTACCCGCTGTTCAGTCGTCAGAACTACGTTTTCTGTCCGTTTTAATTACTATTTCACTGGACAACTTATCTCGAATAGTATTTATTATATAAGCATGAGCATATTAAGGCTGTGACAATTTGGTAACTCTATAATAATAATAACATAAAAACTAATAATGTGTTATACAGTACAGTACAGTAAAAGTACAAATGTATTGATGAACTGTTATGTATTAAATATTATTGTGTATCTCTTTGGAGCATCAAATGTACATCGTTGAGTTCCAATAGATATGGAAAATATCTATCATTTTAGAACAGGAAATACTAATTATTTACAAAAGTAAACCTTTTGTTATTCTAGCAACAAAAGCGGATTCTATCACCCAAATGTACTTCATTTTTACACGGTGAGTCGTCGTCGTGGTTTTTAATTCGACAAAGGTTATCTTTTATCTCACACTGAATATGAAAGGCGAAATTGTTGGATGATAGTTTGAACTAATTTTGATGTTTTTATATCAATTTCAATAATAGGTACAATTTCACCAATAAACATAGCATGCAGTTACAACATGCGCGTTTTAAATTGGCCATAAGTGGAGATCTCACGGATGTGTTATGCAAACTTTAGCCATATAGGATTATCGGCAACAAACATCACGCAGCGTCGTAATGGGGACAGGCAATAATAGTAAATAACAGAGTCAAATACATACTGGGTAGGATAATCAAGATTTGTTATAATCAAGATAATACTCACCATATAGGATAGTTTTACATTGTATTTTTATCGCTTCAATTTTGATGTATATAGCATTATTGAAAATAGAGAGATGGTAGAGTACTATTAATTTATATATTTTACGGATTTAGACTCTTATAAAATACACTCACCGTAATCTTCAATCAGGTATCTGAAAAAAAAAACTATTAGATTTTATACTGGAAATAATTACTTAATCCTTACTTATATTAATTACATGTACAAACTATATAAAACTATGTAATATAACCGGATGTGGGTAAATATACAGTATAACTATGAATACATACAAATACCAACCTAGTAAATGTTTTGCTATATAAATTAATTAGTAACAACCGTGGAGACTAGAAAAGTGCTAAATTACTATTAAAAAATAGGCGTAGTGACATACAACACCTATTTTTTATGCCGAGTAATGACTGAAATAGAAAAAGAATATACTACAATAAAAAAATTGTATCTAAAACAGTTTATAGCTTATTCTCAGACCTACTGAATATACACACAAAATTTCATAAGAACCGCAAGCCGTTTCGCTTGAGATACGTTACAAACACTGCGACTCGATATTTATATTAGAAATTCCATTCATTATAACAGAACATATAGGTACAAAACAATAATAAAAGCAATTATTAGTAAATAAACATGATTCTCAACAGGAATGGAATGTGCATTTGCATATCGTTGTAAATTAATACCAAAAAATGCTAAACTTGTAGGTAACTCTTAATAAATGTACTTTAAATTGTTTTAATCCGCAATCAATGAATAATATATGCATAAATAAAACTAATGGAGAATTAAGCTAGCCAAGATAATGTAGCAGAGAATATTTTAAAGGAATTTGTTATTCTTGG